GGTTCCAGCCCAGAAGAAACCAGCCTTGGCACCCCAGTTCCAAGCAGAAGGGTTCAACATGCGAGGAGTGATGATGTTGGTCATGATTCCGACAATGTTGTATGTGTTTCGAGCGAGGACGACGGTCTTGGTTCGGAGACGTGTGGAAGACAACTCGGCGACGAGGGAGTAGCAGACGGGTCCGACGGTCGAATCGTAGGTAAAGGTGTAGATGAGAAGAAGAGATCCGATGGTCCATTGAGCAGCGACGTTGTCACGGCCAGCAAAGGCGACACAGCCGATGGTCAGGAGGAAGACACACATGGCAAGCTGTCCATAGAGGTAGAGGGTTCGACGACCGAACCAGCCCATGAGGAACCAGGAAAAGACGGTACCGACAGCGCCGATGGCGTACTGGCCGAGAGACATGGAGAAACTGTTCTCAACAGCCATACCGGCCTGCTGATAGAAGTAGGTGGAGTAACCCATAAAGGTAGCGCCGCAGAGAGTCTGAATCATCCAGGTAACACAGACGATCTCAGTTCGGCGAAGACTGACACCCTTGAAGAGATCAAAGTATGAAGTACCAGCCTGGGCTTCCTTTTCCATCTCGTTGGTGTGAACCATCATAGAAATGGTCTCATCGGGACGGAAGTCGACGTTGCTGTTGCGGACGGTGAGACGCTCGAGGGATCTCTTGGCCTCTTCGATGCGGCCGCGACGAACAAGCCACCAGGGAGACTCAGGAGCAAGGTAGATTCCAATGATGAGAGGAACAGGCCACATCCACTGCAGAGCAAAGGGGATCTTGTATCCGAGCTCGTCATCGCGGGTGACCATGGCGCGAAGAACACCAGAGGCGATGAACTGGCCGAGAACCCAGCAGAGGTTGACGTAAGTGGTGAGATAAGCGCGGAGGTGGGTAGGGCAGACCTCAGAGGCGTACGTAGTGGTGAGGGTCTGGAAGACACCCCAGGGAATACCGATGAAGATCTCTCCAATGAGAAGCTGGACCAGAGTCTCGGAGAAGAAGATGATGAAGATGAAGCCAATGCAGCCAATGAGAGCACCGATGAGCGTCTTGCGATAGCCGAAGCGATCAGCGATGATACCGTTGAGGAAAAGACCGATGATTTGACCGCAGAGAGTTCCATTCGAGAGACCAGATTGCCAGGCAGCTGTCAATTGATAGCTGCCATCCGGCTGCTCAACACCAAACTTCTTCTGGAAAGGAGGATAGGCGAAGAGGTTGTTGAGGAGGACAACATCGAAGCCCTCCATGATAATGCAGAGGGAGAGGAAGATGGACCAGAGACAAGCTTTCTTGTAGAGCTTGAACGACTGTAGCAGGCCCATGTTGTGCTCTGCCTCAGTAGCAGCAGCGGCTTCATGAGCGACGTTGGCGTCGACTGGCACCGCTACGGGGGCGATGCCATTGTCAACCTTGCTATCAGACATGGTGGGTGATCAATGAGTAGTAGACTTAGAAGGTGAGATGAGTGATGATGGATGTGAGTTAGTGAGCGACACGCGACATCTTATAGTCGGAGATGTTCAAGGAGTTGAAGCTGTCGAGAAGCGAAAATATTGGAAAAACAGGATCATGATGCAAAGTTTGGGCCAACTGTTAGCGCAAGGGGGATTACTTTCGCGGGGTTGGCCGTGAAAAGACCGGTGCTAGACCAGAGTGGTCTAGAATTAAGCGTAAATGAAGCCATGTTGGACCGGGCGTCAGCCACATTGTAAGGTTAAATCTCTAGGGGGAGACTCTGGAGGACGTTCGAGTCTGGTTAGCAGTAGAGGAGCCTCTCCGTTGTCTCTCCTCACCTCCCCCATGGGGAGACAATCATGTAAATCTGGGGTTTACTCATCGGACCGAGCATTGACCACTGAGACACCAAAAGTGGCGGAGATCAGCAGATGCTCGTGAGGCATTGGGAAATGAAGACGAGGGATTAGACTTTGGACTTCTCGTCGGTCCGGCCAAGAGCCAATCAAGACTTAATTATGTCGTCGGTCCGAGATTAGACCAATGATGTTGGAGATGGAGACTCCGCAGACTTTGAGATGAGGAGGGTTGGGTTTCATTCGGAACTATTTGGTCGGTCCGACCGAATGGTGCGGGGGAACGGTCGTGATCTGGGGAATGAATGCGGGTAAGTTACCGTCAGACGATATTTAAATCTACTCGGATCATTCTCTTTGCATGAAGCAAGTTCTGAATTAAATTATTCTTTTTTGATCTCACAATGACTGTCAGCAGACGCTCAAAGCAATGGTGGAAGCAGGCCATCATCTACCAAATCTACCCTGCATCGTTCTGCGACTCCAACGGCGATGGCATGGGTGATCTGCAAGGCATCATATCCAAGCTAGACTACATCGCCAGCCTAGGCGTTGATGTCATCTGGGTATGTCCCATGTACGACAGCCCGCAGGTCGACATGGGCTATGATATCTCCAATTACGAAGATGTCTACGCTCCATACGGCACTCTCCAGGATATGGAAGAGTTGATCCGCAAGACACACGAAAAGGGCATGAAGATTATGCTTGATCTTGTTATCAACCATACTTCTGACAAACACGCTTGGTTTGAAGAGTCAAGACTCAGCAAGGATAGTCCCAAGCGTGACTGGTACATTTGGAGACCTGCCAAGTATTCCCCAGAAGGTCAACGTCTTCCCCCAAATAACTGGCGCTCCAATTTCGGTGGCGGTAGTGTTTGGGAGTGGGACGAGACAACGGGGGAGTATTACCTACACCTCTTTGCAAAAGAGCAGCCCGATCTCAATTGGGAGAACCCAGAGACGCGTCGCGCCATTTATGCTTCGTCGATGGAGTTTTGGCTCGACAGAGGCGTCGATGGCTTCAGAGTCGACACCGTCAACATGTACTCCAAGCTCCAAGACTTTCCCGACGCGCCCATCACCGACCCGAAAGCGAAATACCAGCCTGCTGGTCTTCTCTACTGCAACGGACCTCGCATGCACGAGTTTCTCGGCGAGATGAACGAGATTCTTGAGCGGTATGGCGCTATTACAGTCGGAGAACTGCCTCATACACCGGATCTGGAAAAGGTCCTGAGATATGTGAGCGCGAAAGAGAAGCAGCTCAATATGGTGTTCCAGTTTGATGTCGTGGATATCGGGTTTGGAAAGACGCATAAGTACGAGACGGTACCGAAGAATTATACGCTTCCTCAGCTGAAAGATGCTTTTGGGAGGACGCAGAGTCTGATTCAGGGTACTGATGCTTGGACGACTGTGTTCATGGAGAACCATGACCAAGCACGCTCTGTGTCACGCTTCACAAGCGATAGTCCAGAGTACCGAGTGGCAGGCGCTAAGCTACTGGCTTTGCTGCAGTCTTGTCTAAGCGGTACGCAGTATGTCTACCAAGGACAAGAAATCGGATCCGTCAATGCCCCCAAGGAGAGTTACCCATTAGAGAACTACGTGGATATCGAGAGTTACCAATTCCTCGATATAGTCAAGGAGCGATCGAACGATGAAAGAGAGATCGACAAGGCCTTCAACGCTCTTCAATATCTAGCTAGAGATCACGCTCGTATCCCTATCTGCTGGAGTGACTCAAAGTACGGCGGTTTCTCCGAAGCAGACCAACCTAAAGAGCCCTGGATGCAAGCCCATCCTCTATCGCGTGAGATTAATGTCGCATCTCAGCTTGATGATCCAAACAGCGTGCTTTCATTCTGGAAGAAGGCACTGCGTTTCCGAAAGGAGTTTTCTGACCTGACGGTGTATGGAGATTATAAGCTAATCCGGCGGGAGGACCCTGATGTTTATGCTTTTGTTAAGGAGTCGCAGGTAGATGGTTCTAGAGTTGCGGTTGTTTTGAACTTTACTTCTGAGGAGAAGACGTTGAGTCCTCTGACGGGTGAAGAGCTTGGTGTTAGTGGACAGGAAGTCAAGTTGGTGCCCATCATGTCGACACATGCTGGAAAGGAGCAGACGGGTGTCTTGTCGCCGTTTGAAGGAAGGGTTTACTTGGTGACTTAGTCATGGCATAGACATAAATAATAAGAGCGTTTCCAGTTACTATTAGGTGCATCTTCAGTTACTGTCTGTTCATTCTTCGCTAAGCTTGGCAGTGCTTTCTCAACAGATAGCCTAGTCCACAATGAATCCCGACGCAGTGGTATTCTCTCTCTAGCCTCTAAAACAACATACTAGCATTCCTATTGGATAACCCCGCAGGCACCGGTCATCTTGGGGACCAACAAATTGGACATCTTTGCTGCCATGAAGCTCTCTCCTCCAATTCCTCACTGCATTGAACATTTAGTTGATGCCAAATGCGAACGTTGTAAATTCCAAAGGCCATCATTTTTCCGCTCTAATAGTTCTGTGGCATTATCTCAGCAAGGTAGCTCTAACTTGTCAAGTAAAAAGCCATACTTAGGAATGGGGTATGCGTACCCCGTTCCTAACGATCATTCAGGATTAGCTTGTACAAGGCCATTGAGTCAGTCCGTTAGTGAAATCGACGGATCATTACTCGTATGAGGATTGCTCTAGGGGTGCCCGCGGAAGCTTCCGTGATCCTTGATGGAAGTGTTGTGCCTTACTGGATTAGGAAAGCTGAAATGCAGCTGCAGGGTATTCAACCAACACCAAGTTGCATCACAATCTCCTGCGCAGCGGCGCAGCTTCGCAATGCCTCTTTCTGAAGCAATTAGTGACGCAAGCTAACGACCAACAGCTGAGAAAACCTCTCAATTCGACACTTATGCGTGCCCTCCCTTCTTTCCTCCCCCTTTTAGTTGAAGAGGGCTGTAACATACCCATGAGCCAACAACGAAACCACCTGCACCAACGGGCGTCATTCCTTATGGGTAAAAGCGCCGAAAGGTCAGAGGACCTGGCATCCGTTGGTACCGTACTTTTATATAGGAGACGAACTCCTGAGATTGTTCCCTGTATCGCCTTTCCGACTTTTGCTGACAGACTACATTATCTGAAACCCAGTCACTCACAAAACAAACTTTTCAACCCGCAATGTCTTTGTACAACCCTTCTTCAAAGTCATCTCAGAATATGAACAAGAGTACCATGTCTTCTGAAACGGGAGAGACATCTTCTGGCTACGATGACCGCCACACTCAGCAAGGAGACAGTGGTTCCACGTCTGCTGATTCTTCTGGTTCGCAAGACGCAGGTCCATCCGAAGGAACGGCTAATGCTACCCCTCGAAGTTCATCAACTACTAGCGGAGATAAGCCCGCCGATTCTCGAATGATTGTTGATGATCCGTTCGATAACGAGAAACGGCAAATCCTTTTCAATGCTATTGATAGGCTTCAAGCTTGTGGCTCCCACAAGTACTTGGCCATTCCACAGGTATGTCTAGACTCTCATACCATTTTAGCGAGTTTCAGGCTGATACTGTCCAGCTCGTCGTCGTAGGGGAACAATCTTCTGGGAAATCATCCCTGCTCAGAACATTGACTGACATTTCATTCCCCGTCATGGCTGGGATTGGTACACGCTTTCCAATTCGTGTCGTTTCGCGCCGTAGCCCTAGTGCACAGGGCAGTAGGGAACGATTTCGTATTTCACTAGAACGCGCACCACGAGATGTGAACGGCTTGCAACGAGCTGATGCTGCTGCAGACGAGTACCGTCTAGAGGGAGACACTTTGACCATGGACGTATTTGAGGCTGCGCTTAAGGATGTGAGTGATTGCCATTTAACTGGGGTATACCGAGTTCTGACTAAAACATCCAGCTCTCTGAGAATAAAATTGGCATCAGAAAGGGTCAAGGCATAGGGGCTAAAAACTTTGTCCCAGATATTGTCAGAGTTGAACTTGAAGGACCTCACAGATCTCCTTTCAACATTCTGGATCTCCCAGGCCTCATCTCCTCAGAATATGGTGTCAATGAACCTGAGCCCCTCGGGACACAGGAACTAGCTAAGGAATACATCTCCCGACAGGAAAACACAATCATGTACGTTTCTTGTCAAATGACATTGCCAAGTTCAATTCAAAGGCTAATCGCAGGCTAGATGCACAATACCCGCAACTTCTGACCTGGGAAATCAACGGGCTTATCAGATTTGCAAGGAACATATATCAGACAAGAGGCGACTGGTTGGCGTTTTCACAAAGTGTGACAAAGCGGATCGCGAAGAAGCCGAGCGAGCAGTCAGTCAATCCTCGAACTTGTGATGCATGGACGCTAACATTCGTCAGGTCATTTCAGCAAAAAGTAATATTGTCAACGGAGACTCGATCTTCGTGGATGGCATGTTTGTCGTCTGTAATAAGACGTCAGAGTCCCGCGTCAATGAGGATGAGTTCTTCAGCCTCAAGCCTTGGTCTCAGATACACAGTGAACGCAGAGGAAGCAGGAAACTCAAAGATCATCTTGGGGAGATTCTGACTCACGAAATTGAAAAGGCATTTCCAAAGCTTGAAAACAACATAAATTCAAGGCTAAAGGAGAAGCGTGCCAGGCTCAAAGACATGGGTGAACCTCGACTCAATGATAGTCAGAAACAGGAGTATCTCAACCACTTCGTACGCGAGTACTCCTCCAGATGCACATTGGCTCTTAGACGACCAGGATTACTCGAGTCAGAGACCATGGACCTGAGACAAGAGCTGAATCACATCAACACCCAGTTTGACAAGGTCATGAGATGGGTTGGCGGGTTCTGGAGGTTTGACAACGAGGGCGTGGATCCACGGGCCGTTTGCATCGCATACGGAGCATTCATCGACAAGAAACAGGAGCAGTCGAAAACAGCGGGAGAAATCTTATTTACGGTCCCTGAGCCAGAGGATTACATGGAGGAGCTGAAAAAGATCCCGGCATTTGAGGAGTATGAGCATGTCGAGCCTTATGGCAAATTTGAGTACACGGTGAAGAGCAAACTTCGCAGGTTCGGCGCGTCTCAACCGCCTGGCGTGGTAAACTCGGACATTTATCCGGTCATCTATCGAGCTCAAGTATCCAAGTGGAGCTCTATAGCACAAGAGCACTTGGACAGAGTCAAAGATGCAATGAAGTCAAGCTATGAGGAGATTCTGCGTTTTGTTTGCCCGGACTCTGGAGGCACCATGATTTTGCATCATGAGCTCAAAAACCGTCTTCATTCAATGTTTTGTGAGACACTGAGCAAAGCCCAACAAGAACTGGACAAGTACTGCGAACAAGAAACTCAAAAGGAGCTTCTTCAAACCACCAACAATGAGTTCAGAACTAAACTGGAATCTTGGCGATTGTTGAGATACGCCAGAGCTTTCTACCTTGGGGCCGGTGGTGAAGAGCCCCAAAACCTTATCTCAAGGCAGACTTTGGACAAGATGTGGATGAATATGGATTTTTCAAACCATGACAGAATGGTGCACGATATACATGATGTTATCAAAGTATATTATGGGGTAAGGGCCAGACCTGGCCATAATTAAAGACCAGATTTGCTGATCCAACATAGATTTCCCTGGAGTCATTCATTAGCCATGTCACTCAAACCATAGTGGAGGGTTTTGTGATGGACAAAAATGGCCCTTTGAGGAAGATGACAACTGAATATGTTCTCAGCCTTCCAAAACAAGAAGTCAGCGACATGACGAAAGAGGACAAAACGGCAGGTCAGCTGAGAATGCAACTGAACAGGGATATTAAAGAACTGGAGAGTGATCAGGAGATCGCGAAAGAGGCAAGGGTTAAAGTGGAGGCATTGAAGCGTGATTGATAGTGATTCCATTACATAGCGTCTACGAAACTTCCGAAATTGATTTAAGATTCATAATTAGCACTCGCCTATGTACCCAGGCTAATTATTTATCTGGTAACTTAGTCACGGGAAAGCTATAAATAACAACAGCCGTTAGCAAGCTCCTATTAGGGCTATGCCCCAAATGCCTGTTTATTTGTTCTCATTAAATGCAAAGTAAGCTTCTAGATAGTCACGGTATACTTTCTTGCTTCCGAAGGACCCATATCCACTAGCAATAAGGTTATCCTCCAAGCTTGTGTTGTTGTAATTGCACCAGTAAATCCTCTAACCAAACTCATGAAAGGTTTACGACACAGCCATCTTGCTCTCCTTCTCCCACCAATCTCAGCCATGACCTAACAAACCCTCACTGATTTGCTCATCCCTCTGCGCCTCTAAAAAGCTCGGTAGCTGCTCCTCTGCAGGCGGCCTAATCCACGATGAATCTTGACGCAGCGGTATCCTCTCTCCAGCCTCCAGAACAACATCTTGCGATTCCGGCCTATCATCGCTCGGCTTCAATATGAGCAAATCAGACTTTCCTTCTGCTTTGAATCTTTCGCCTGCGATTTCACACTGTACTGACCATTTTAGTTGATGTGAAACACGGATGTTGTATATCTGGAATGAGTGCGTGAACTCGGACTGCACAGATGTCCAATGTTGGGGGTAGCCTGTTTTCTGACCAATGCGCAGGTTAATCATTTCTCCAATATCTATGGGCTGGGAATCGGCTGTAAATGGGATCCGTATTGTGCCGCGCTGTTTGATAGCCTGGCTGAGTCCAAGGTCGATCTCTGTGCTTTCCGGTACTTGTAACCCCGCATGACAGATAATTGTCGTGGTGGTGACAACACTGATGCGTACCGATACAAGCTCGACGTCTTGCGCTACATCTCGAATAGCGTCGCTCGTTTCTTCCCAGTTCGGCGACACTAGGAGCGTGAACGGTATTGGTGTCGGGTTATCCAGCTGAACGACCTTGGGCACTTCAACAAACAAATCAAAGGCCAATGCTGGATCCTTCGAACTATGGAGAGATTTCTTGATCTTGTCTTTCCAAGAGACCTTTGTATCCTGCATTCCAGGAACAAGCCGATGGCTCGAAACTGTACGCTGGTAGTAATATCGTTTAAGCTGAAAATCTGCGATTGGAGATTCCGGAGTGGCGCATAGGACTTTGAAAGGAAATGTAGCTTCCAGGACTTCTTCGTGACCTTGAACAGTCATTGTGATCTTTGCCTTGATCACATACTCAATAACCGCTGCCATATTCTTCGTCCGAAGCATATACGATGGTGGCATGTGATTCACGGGAGCCAAAGGAGTAGAATCATTGACGTAATTCGGAAGCTGAACGGTAAACGGCCATTTGTGTTTGTGTTTTGATGACTCGATATGTATAGGGCCCTGGAAGATGATCTTTGGGCGATAGCAGAGGTCGAAAATGCCTCGGTACTCTTGGGAGTTGTTGCCGATAACTCCAATTGTCCTCCCTCGGCCAAACATGCAGATGCTCACAGTTGCGTCGGGACTTATTGTTTGAAACTGTCGAAATACATGGCCGGTGATGAAATCGCCTGGAATGTATGCATCCTTGTCCAGGCTGATGCCCAACAACGGACCTGATCTGAGTGCTGTATGGATGTTCATCGCGATTAATCGGTATGAACTCAAGAGCTATGTTCAAGATTTCCAGGGACTTTGATGTAGTCGTGATCAGGCGCCTTTATTTATTTATCGATTGATGATATGAGGCATAACCGGATTGCCCGTGAGGCGCAATGCTCAAATCAAGGCTGATTTGCTCGAGGTGTCCAATCGCAAGGGTGCATAGGACCCTCTTTTGGGGGCCAAAGTGATGAGAGCTGGCGCCAAGCAATTCCCTGGCGTAGCGAGTTTCAGATGTAAGTCAACGTTGCTACAGGGTATCAGATTGGGTTGACCTCAAGGACAAGGCCTTCTCGAGACCTTTTTTATATGAGTTTATTCTCTAGCTAAAGTGCTCATGAGATCAGTTCAGTAATGATAGAGTGTAATATCCTTCCTCGGTGCAAATAGATCATCCCGACGCGGTGTCCGAAGTCCGTGCTCACCGAAGGTTTGGTGAGTGCCCGATAAGTGGTGCCTAGATTGATCAAGATGCGACGGCATTGAACTGACTGCACCCATAGTACTGTAAAGATTGCTAATCCGGGCTTTTAAAAATATTGAAACAGCATGTCCAATTCCCGTCATGTCAGCATCCAAAGGGTGATAATACATTAAAACCCACCGTTTGGTCATAGTCGGGAATAATTAATAATCATAATGAGATGCGCTAGAATTTACATAACTCTGCCGGTTGGGGTTGTACAAGCTCGGGGAAGTGGGTCAGAATTGTGTAGGATGAAAGCCGAAGCCTTCGGTGATTATTAAAAGGTACATAAATCGTTGGGATAGAGACTTGATTGGATAGACAAGTTTGTTGGGATAGAGGCCAATCTCGAGATGGTGACCTGGTTGAGAAACGTTTAAACAACAATTCTACCCTTGCCCGAAGCTCTCAACAGCAATCTAGGTGAAGGAAGCAAGCGAAAATCATGGAGCATAAAAGCCAGGCATCTTCCACTGACCAAAACAGCCGTTACCATCCACTCACTTCTCATTCGACATCACCACTCAAAGACAAACTTCATCCCAATCAGAATTACTCTCACCATGCCTCTTTGGAACATTTATCACACTGAGGGCACCTTTGCCTCCCAAGAGATCCGAAACAAGTTCGCCCAAGACATCACCAAGATCTACTCTCGCGGCGAAAACGGCCTTCCCGCTTTCTACGTCGTCGTTCAATTCATCCCCCTTCCCACGGGCCATGTTTTTGTTGGTGGCGAAGCCAGAGACGAGAAGCCTTTTGTTCGACTGGTTATCCAGCACATGGCTGTTCACAGTCATGAGGGTGTTCACATGGAGGATTTCCCTAAACAGTTCAGCGATTACATCAACGCTACGATCAAGCCATACATCGCTGATAAGGGCTACGACTGGGAGATTACCGTTACTGATACTCAGCGCGAGTTTTGGAGGTTTAATGGAATTGCGCCGCCTCCTTGGAGGAGTAAGGCTGAGAGGGTTTGGGCTCGAGATGGTCGCCCTTCGGAATGGGAGGAGGAATAAGGACCTGGTTTAGACAGGGAATTGGCGATTGGATCATCTGGGACTGTTCATAGTCCTTCGCTGAGAGCTTTTGTGAAGCCCTAGCTTGGAAGCATCATCCTCTTGAGGCTACATTTGGAAAGTTGGCACGATCATGTGCTCCGAGACATCATGTAGATCACACCAGGCACACGCTGTCTGGCATTGGCTTCAGCTTTGTGGCCGGGCAGGATTATTAATCTCTAATTCCCACCCACCAAGTTTTCAGAGACTAAGATTTATCAGGAAATGAGTTCTCACAACTCCGCTACAAGTATATTTCTCCGCACTAATGCGGACTTTAGAATAGTGACAATCTCCATATCAAACCCCAATGACGCTCACGAAATACATTTGCACCGATAACTTGGGGCTGATCTACTGCAGCACACTCTCAACGAGGGCTGGTAGCTTTGTCACCCTTGGATATCGAGGTTATGCTAGCCGTGAGCACCTGCGGAATTCCAAAGTAGTTAAACTCCGCAAGCATACAAGGGAGCAATGCCCCCCGTACGGACCTTTTTCTATATAAACATGCCTCATACCGTCGGCTGCTTCGCTCTTACACATCATATTCTACTCAACTACTTACCCCAGACAAATATGTCACTTCCCGAGACCTATCGAGCCTTTAGACGTACAACTGGCGATTTTCCTCGGACCGTTGAACTGTCCATCGAGACCGTGCCACGCGTACTTGGACCGAACGATGTCCTGATCAAGGTCCACGCAGTCTCACTCAACTTCCGCGATGTTGCCATGTTAAACGGGATATATCCGATGACAATGGAAGACCGAGGCATTCCTTGCTCTGACGCTGCTGCCGAGGTCGTCGCAGTCGGTTCAGCCGTCGAAGGCTTTGCTACCGGAGACCATGTTTCGGTTATAAGTGACCTCAACAATATCACGGGATCTGAAGACGAACCTCTTTATGGTCTTGGTGGAGACACCGCTGGTGTTCTTCGCGAATACGCCGTTTACCAAGATAAGCATCTTGTGAAGCTACCTCAGCAGTTATCATGGGAAGAGGTAAGATAGCAATTCTAGTACTCTTTGTAAATCCTGCTAAGTGATTGATGCAGGCGGCTACTATCACGATCGCTGGTGTCACAGCATGGACGGCCCTTGATGGCTTGACCACGGCATCCAAGTCACGCAGCGCTCTCATGCAAGGTTTGATCCATGCTCCAGTTCTTCCATCTGAGAATAACAGTGAGATAGGCACCGGAGGCGTCAGCATGTTCGCCCTCCTGATTTGTCTCGCGGCGGGCATCCAGCCAATCATCACATCTTCATCGGACGAGAAGCTTGAAGCTGTTAAGAAACTTGACCCTCGAGTCCGCGGCATCAACTACAAAACTACCCGAGATCAAGGAGCAGAAGTCCGGCGTTTGACTGACGGCCAAGGTGTCGATTTTGTCATCAACAATGCGGGTCCAGGGTCGGTTCCCCAGGATATCAGCTTCCTACGCCAGCGAGGCGGTACAGTGTCACTGGTTGGCTTTCTAGGTGGTATCGGTGGTGACTGGCAGCCTGCCGCGATCATGGCCTTGATGACCAAGTCTGCTAGGATCAAGTGAGTTACTAATTTGCCAGAATCTAGGTGATTGAGGAAACGCGCTAATAAATGATGCCCCAGGGGAATCGCTGTTGGCTCTAAGGCGGATTATATAAACCTCAATCGGTTCCTGGAAGAGAAGAAGGTTTCTCTTTCTCCGCTTGTGGACCGTGTTTTCCCGTTTGAGGAGTCGCAAACAGCATTTGACTATCTCTATGCTGGCAAGCATGCAGGAAAGGTGGTCATCAAGATTTAGCACGATTTCATCTCGTATTCCGGGTAGATTCAACGAGTTGAACTTCAGGCTATCTTCACGAGAGATTCACTACTACTTAGGGCGAGATAGTCAACCCTACGCAATCGCGATGATAAGTGGGTTGGCTCCCCATATCTAAAGATGTCAAACATGAAACCATTAATTACTGACCTCTGCACTAGTGACGACGGGCTACCTCCATTGTCGACTGCTAACAGGAAGGTCATTCCGTCAGCCTAAGCATGCCACTTCACGTATGATTCGTCGCAAGGATCTCCCGGTTTGGTCTGTCTAGATTCTATAGTCCTCAGTGATATACACGCATATCCCGGCGTTCCCGCTGTTGACCGAAGGAATCCAATCATGAAACAGGCGGTTAATATGCGCTGATGAAACGAAGAAGAATTCTAGAATAAATCGCGCATAATCATGTTAAAGCCAGGATCTACAATCGGGACGTGCATGCCCCAACGCGAGCATTATCCGTTTCCAGTTTCTGTTACCCCTTGCCAAGTGAATTGATACGAGGATATCAACGTGTAATTGGTCTTATCGCTGAGACAGTGATTGAGGCCTTCTCCTTGTTCATTAAGGAAGGTTACCGTCAACGATCTGCTGATTGATGTCAGTGCATCGGTAACTTACTCGTGTCTTTATCCGGATTGGTGTGACGTGTAGATCTTTGCCGGATAGTAAGCTAAAGCGCCGCGCAAGCTGTGACCACCAAAAATATCTTTAGCAAGCATGGAATTTCTAGAAGGAATTAAAGTGAGCGGAATGACATAACTCGACATAGTGGCGTAGATCTACCACGCATGCCGACATCCTCTGCTGCATCTTCCGTGATGCTCTTGGTGATATTCACTGCCAAGTATGACAGTTCAATCACGTCTGGGGAATATCCGCCTTCCCCATGGGGCTCCTGAGAATTCTGGTTCTCATCAGTAATGAAAACTCGATATCTCACGACTCGGGGACCTGATTTTGCAAAGCATTTGCATTGTCTGGTGATTAGAGGGACACGAAATGTGGGTTATTATGGAGATTTGACTCTGGTGATGGAGTTTGCCAAGGCGAGAATGGAGATGGTTTAGTCATAGTATGATGAGCCCATAATATGCCAAGAAATGGTCAAAGTTGCCTCGCGTTTGAGAGTCTTCTTCGCAGAGGAAAAGATAGATAACAAAAGGAAAAAAGATAAAAGGCGGAAAAAGAGATGAAGAAACATCACGAATGTACACCATCTGCATCTTGTCGACGTCGTGTTAACGTTGGCGGCTAAATGAGGCTCAAATTCTAGACGCGTCAAGACAGGCACTGACGTCAACCCCGGCGATACCGAGCCACAAGAAAGCACAGACTTACTACTTCGGTCTAATTTCCAAGGACCCTGAGTCTGTTTAGCAAAAGCGCAGCTCTGGTCAGTATCCGACTGGCCCGGACAACTTCCTCGGTGGATATAACATTAACGTCTCACTGACCGAGTCTGCCCGAATTCTTATAGACCGATGTGGAACGTTTCATAAACCCCCATGGGGCTTCCGTGTCTGGCGATATCCACCGTGATGGAGTCTAATGCAGCCTTGATTTCAGCGGCGATACTTGGTGCGGACCAATCAAGAGACCACTGCCATGACGTCTCAGTGTCTTGCCCAGCCCCTATCCGTCGGACCATCGCTGCGTAGATTCGTGAGGCGAGTGATATAAAGCCGGGTGAATTCCACTTGCTTGCTTCTTCAGCTTCCAGCCTTCGTTCAGAACATCTATATCATATATTTAATTGTCCAAGTGACAACTACCAATACGCAATATGGAGAAGGATAACGTCGCCAAAACTGCTGGACAGTTTCATGATCCTAGCTCTGATAGTGATGGCCTCAAGCACGAGATTAGTTCTCAGGGTCACGGCCATGACTTCCAGACTGTTCAAGAGTCTGCTGACAACACAAACATTTACTCCCAAGGCGGCAAGAACTTTCGAACCCTGAAGCGATGGGACACCATTTTTATCCTGTTCGCCAATCAGATCGGCCTTGGTATCTTGTCTCTCCCGTCAACACTCAAGACCCTCGGTCTCGTTCCCGGTATCATCGCCTTGATCGGCATTGGTGTCATCTCATGGTATACAGCCTATGAGTTGCTTCAATACTACAGACTACACCCCCAGGTGCTGAACATCGTCGACATGACCCGCTTCGTTGGTGGAAGGACCCTGGAGAGCATTGCCGGTGCCATGATGATGGTTCAGGTCATCTTTGTCGCTGCTTCAGCTATGGTCACTCTCTCAATTGCCCTCAACACAATCAGCAGCCATGCAGCTTGCACTGTTGTCTTCATCTTCATCTCTTGCGCAGCCTGCTACATCTTTTGCATCCCTCGCACCACCAAGTTTGTGTCGCATCTTGGAATCCCCAATGCTCTTAGTGTTTTGGCTGCATGCATTCTAGTCATGGTTGTTCTTGGTGTTCAAGGTCCCAAGGGCGTCGATAACATGGCTGAGTGGAAGAGGGAAATTGTCATTGTTGGGAATCCTAGTTTTCGAGACGGTCTCAATGCTTGCTTGAAGATTGTCTTTGCGTATGCTGCCAATCTGAGCTTTGTTGTAAGTACATCACATATATAACTACGACTTTTTCCTAACTGGTGACAGAGCTACCTCGCTGAGATGACCAATCCCCTCGAAGACTTCAAGTTCTGTCTTACTGTCCTTGAATGCGGTTCCATGACCATGTATGTCGTTTTCGCCGTCATCTTCTACTGTCTCGGAGCCGAATACACAACCTCTCCCATTTTGGGATCTACCTCGACCACCTTTGCGAAAGCTGCTTTCGGCATCGCCCTTCCCGCCATTTTCGCTACCGGCCTCGCTTATGGTCACATTGGATCCAAGTATATCTTTGTCAATGTCATGAGATGGACCGGTAACCTCAACGAAGTCACCTCCAACTCTGTCAAGTCTTGGTCAACCTGGATCGCTTCCGTTACTGGCTTCTGGATTGTTGTCTTTATTCTATCCAACGCAATTCCTGTCTTTGACTCGATCCTTTCCATCACATCTGCGACAACAATCTCTTGGTTCACTTACGGTTTCAGCGCCGTCTTTTGGTTTCACATGAACCAGGGCCAATACTTCCGCGACTGGAAGAAGATCTCTTTGACAATCGTCAATGCGCTCCTCATCATCATGTCACTTTTCATGAACGCAGCTGGTCTGTGGGCATCCATCACTGAACTTCTCGACATCTTCAACTCTGACGGTGGCGTTCGTGGTGTTTTCTCTTGTGGAGACAACTCTTGAATTATCTGCTTGTACTATAGACTTCTGCCTGTAGCGTTATCAATTACATGGCATTTCATCGTTCATTCTGTCTCCTAGGCAATGATTGTGAGGCGTTGGATTTTGTTGTTCGTAAAGTTTCAGTCGAAGGAAACGGTAGTCACTCCACGACTGACTTTTTAAGCTTCTGTGTTGGCGACGTGATGCGATACCAGCTCACGCCTATCGTTTCGTAATGAATTATTGTGGTTGAGAGTTTAAATCTGCTGCATACTATTCGTAGATTTATGGATTTTGTTTATCATGAAAATTTGGATGGATATTTAACTTATAATTCAAATGGAATAATAGTATAGCAACGGGAAAATGGGATTCAGATGAGGCTAATAGTATAACAAGGGGAAAAAAGGATTCAAGCGAGGTTAGTAGTGTAGCAGAGGGAAAAAGGGTACATTTTTCTAAAGAAGATATAGACCATAAAAAAGGTAAAATACCAGGGAAGAAAGAACTTAAAAATTAAGCCTGGATATGGTTGTGATTCCGCCAATTTCCAGCACCTTCCAGGCCTTCGGGAATACGGCGATAACGCGGTCGTTCCAGGGCATGAGTACGGAAAGGTGCGTCTTGGCACGAGCGAGAATAGGTGCAGAGTTTGCCGTGCGCCCTTAATTGACATTAACCGTCGACGGCTGAAAATGCGCCTTCTGAATGACATTTGTGATACCCACCGACGAGAACTAAGGAATTGCAATGTTATATATAAAAGATAAAGCTTCAATCAAGAATTCAACGATACTATCATCATCCTTCTCTTTTTCTTCACAATGACTCGCAATGCATCTTCCCCGCCTTTTACCATTCGCAGCCACCAACCGGGTGACATGGGCTACATAACCTATAGACACGGTGCAGTCTATGCGAAAGAATACGGCTTCAACCATCGTTTCGAATCTCTCATTTCAAGAATTACCGCCGACTTCCTCGACAACTTCAAACCCGACCTAGAAGGCTGTTGGATTGCTGAAAAAGACGGGTCATTCCTCGGCTGCATCATGTTGGTACAAGACAAAAAGCCAAAAACTGCAAAGCTACGATTGCTATTGGTGGATGAAAGCGCAAGAGGCCTTGGTGTTGGGACAGCCCTGATTCAGAAATGCATCGATTTCGCGAGAGAAGCGGGGTATCAACATATCGATCTCTGGACGCAGAGCATCTTGGAGGGTGCACGGCGATTGTATAAAAAGGCAGGATTCGAAATGATTGAGACACAGAATCACAATGATTGGGGCGTTGAATTGACCGGGGAATTCTGGACGCTCACGCTTTGAGGCTTGTGATGGGGATAGTGGCTGGGGAGCGCTAGGCTTGAAAGGGCAAATATGCGATCGCACAGGACTAGAAGTCAATTCGTTTGCTGCCAATGCTTTTATCGACTTGCTGTTTTCTGATCCCTAATACCCTCCCTCTACTTGCAGGCTTGCACTACAAACTATTTGTATTTCTACTGGGTAACCGCCCCGAAATATTCTTCTGCCACAGACGTCTACAGAAACCTTAAAAATGCTTGAGACGACTGAATTTGAGTAAGAGGAGTAAATAGAGAGCTGCTTAAGTGCCTTACGGCGCACCTTCCTCAATCACTGTCACGCAAATGGAAGCCCACGTGGCAGACAAGCTTAAACGTCGACGACCAATGGGAGAGACTCTGTCGTCCCAAAAGGGAACATGTACTGAGCGAGAACCTTGAACGACGCCACCAGAAGCCCTATAACCCTGGAAACTCTGTCCAAGGTAGCATGCTTCCTTCGCTTTCACGACTTGTCTGACTACAATTCTTCATGACTGCTGGTGGCACTTCTACTGTGATGACCTTGTACTACCCCTATGGAGGATTGACACCTCCTGACGGAACGACTACAACTGTTACTTGCCCACTGTCGCGGCCCATGCCCGCTGAGGGGCGACAACTGTCACCTTCACAGCTCCAACGATTAGTGTCACTGCCCTTAGTGCAACTAGTAGTGGCACAACCACTATATTCACATGTCACAGATTCCGATGGAGGCCTGACAACTCTTACCTCTACATGACTTACAACTTGCCTGAAACTGGCGCCGCAACGGCTGAAGTCACGTATGCAACTGAACCGACGCAGAGCTTAGACACGAGCTTTCACTGCCTCAACTACTGGCCTCATCACTCTTTCTCTCGTTCTGTAAAGACATGCCTTGTTACTCTATTTAAAACTAGGTGCGCGCATAATGAATCAACCGCCTTTCTCTGATAAAGCACATTACGAATCTGTTGTGAGCTTAAAACTAATAGAGAGAGTAGAATAGACATCTTGGAGGCTCCGACAGACTTCTATAGAGACCGGGTTGACCGTCGGCTACTCGCTTTCCCTCTGCACCTCGCGTCAGTGATTAGCCTCTTTCAACGGAGGTCTCGTCATGTATTTACCTTTGTATTCCAGCTGCACCTCTCGCTTCAATTTATCGTCATTCAATGGACCTGGTCCACCGTGGAGGCGCGCCTTCCCGATGTCCCGATGAACACGTGGATGTCCACATTTCGGTTAAGCTTAATATCGAGGACCAATGACAGGGATCGTGTCGTCCAAAAAGGGAATACGTAGGGCGAGGGAATCTAGGGAGATGTTAATGTCGGCTCGAAAAGGCTGGGAATGACTGACCTCGAGAGGAGACAAGCGACACCAACTCCATCGGCACTGAAATGGAGCGAAGACGGATGTGACAGCAGCTGACCTAGGTAAGGGATGTTCTGGTATGTTGTCTTGGGTAGCGTCCTCGACAGGAAGAAGGGAGGAGGTCTGGTTCGTCTCCATACAAAAGACCTCTAGTTCACGCTCGGCCTTGGCCAAAGCTAGCTCGAGGTCTTGCATCTTGCGGCGATCGGCCTCGCTAGGGGAGGTGTTGGGCGCGGTTCGAAGAGGGAGTCAAGAGGATGTGAACGGCAAATACGGTCGTTGTTGGAAGGCTTTTGGCTTGCGATAGCGATGCGTGAGGTTGTTTGGGAAAGCCTCGGAAAGATTTTGATGTGCCTGAAACTCTGGGCTTCTGTCTTACTTTTGTGGGCCATCTTTGCTCACACGTAGCAGCAGCAGTGGCAATTTGCAGTGGTGGCCACTTCAGGCCTTGATTGAGTCGTAACGTTCAGTGACCAACCTTGTTGATCGGTGGCGTGAAACCTTCGATAGGGAAGTCGGTTTGTACCGACAGGGAAATGGACCCCCGAACACTTGCAAGATCGGCCCTCCCTTGCATCAAATCATCCCAGTCTATCGTGACGGCAACATCAACATTTGTGAAGTGATGCCGCTCGTGGATCAAATCAATACTCTAGACTAATACCGGCACAGAAGATGAAAGTACACGCATGAAAAAACATGGTTTGGCAGGTGACTTCTTCCCTGCAAGCTCGAACAAGACCAATGCCCAACTCCTATGATTCGCTCCAGGATTAAGGGTCACTAGGAACAGGACGGGATACGAAAGCTTAAAACTACAGCAGACATATTAACTTTAGTTCCACGAAAGCTTCTGTAATAAGTAATAAAGCTTGTTCAATTAGACTTTCGGAGCTTCATGTATCTAGATGAGTAATAAGTATAAATAGCCCCCGACTCCTTTCTACATAAAATCCACCACTACCATCCACAGACAACAGCGCCAAACGGAAAGCCCAAGTAAAACCCAATACCCATACAGCATGCATGTTGTTTCACTTATTGTTTTGCTGCAGAGCATCCGGATCTGTGCAGCCAGGCCTGTAGACCTTCAACCAGCTACGTTGGCGACAAACGCAGATAAGATTCTGACCCCGCAAGATGTAGTCAAAGGATTTGAGGATTGGTTCAAACCCAAACCCACTGCCAAAGTCCAGAACACCAAAGAATCTATCTGCGGTGATGATTCAGAGAAGTGTGATCAATGTAAGAGTCCAGAGGTGCCAAGAGAAGCGTCACTAACTTGCGATAGGCGCTAGTAAACCGAATTCGCCCCTGGATATGGGAGAAATATTTGACTCTGGCAGGCTTGATCAGAAGGTCAACGGTACGGTGTCAAATGATATCGAAGGGAATGAAAAGTCCAATGGCAAGCCGAAAGCCGGATCAAACGAGGAATCGAGTCACAAATCCAATGATACCGAGACATCTTTGGAATTGCATGACATAAATTGTTTCGGTCGGCACCAGTTTGGAAAACACGAAGACATCCACCAAATCTCGCAACAGAACTACGCAGGCTTTGCGTGTCCGGAGACCGGGTCAAAGATGATCAAGAAAGGTGACAATAGTACCTTCATCTCTTATCAACGATGGATATACGGCGCGCCTTATCTATACAACGTTTACTGGAAGGACGGCTGTGAACTAGAGAATGGCAAGACTGAGCAGGACGTTACTGATCCATTAGAAGAGGGATACAAGCCCGAAGCACGTGTGTGTCAAGAGTTTCTCGCCAAAGCCTACAGGGGTTGCAATAATGGGGGGACAGGCGGTTCGTTGCAGGCCGGCTGTCTGGTGTATGAGTTCCAGGCCAGGGACAAGGAAAAGAAGCATGCTCCTTTGCCTTATATGCGAGGGGGAGAAATTCTTTTTGATTGGCCACCGGTTGCTGGATGAACATTGGTCGTCGTGTCTGAATCAGCCGCACCATGTTAGGAGCACAAAGTAGGGGCTGGCGGAGTCGATGGTCTGTATCATGTCATGGATGAAGCTGAACCGGCTTCAGAGGAGATAAGCTCGGCTTGGATAAGACGTGATCTCAAATATTTCTAGCTATGAATTTGGGGTGTGAATGAGATTCAAAGATACAGGGCTCCAAGCTCATTGAACTTTGGATACGCAAGGCGCGAAAGTGCAATAAAACATTATGAAACAAGAACAACCCAAGCGCACCCAATTGGCTAGGGATGATTGGTCCACCTGTCACCTGACTTTTCAACGATAACCTTTATCTGAGGCGCTTAGCTTCCAGTAGCTGACTCCATCAAGAAAACAGCCATGATTAAAACAAAGCTCCTGCGACCATGTCTGCGTTGGTCCTTGGCTTCAAGATTACCGACAACGTCCCGCTTAAGCTACTCAAAGGACTCCGCTTTGAGTCTGCCCCGCAAATATCCATCAAGTGGCTTCGAGATAATTGACTCATCTGTATTAGTCGAAGAGGAAAGGCTGCCCCTCTACAGGTGCCAGGACTACTACTCAATGCGCATTGGCCAGGTGATTCACGGGAGGTATCAGGTGGTTGCGAAGCTGGGCTACGGCACGAGTTCAACTGTATGGTTATCTCGAGATCTTGGGTACGCCCCTCATCAATGTCAATCTCATGCTGACATTACCAGAAATGGAAGATTCTGGGTGTTAAAGGTCCATATCAATACGCTGAAACATAATCAAGAGCTGGTTGTCTCTAAACACTTGTCTAGCCTCGATTTGGACCACGCAGGTCGCCAGCATGTACGAGAAGTCCGGGATACATTCAAGCTTAGTGGTCCCCATGGAGATCATGAGGTTTTCGTCATGCTACCATTGGGGATGAGCCTCAGGACTCTACAAGAATTACAGCAAGACGATGTTTTCCAGCAGTCTCTTGTCACGTCCGCCCTCGACCAGACATTGCTAGGTCTCAATTATCTTCATGATGCTGACGTGATTCATACCGGTAAGTTCATGACAATCCGTGAAAGAATATCTGTAAAAGATCCAGCTGACAGTGAAGAAATTCATTCGGACAACCTTCTTGTTGCATTGACAGACGACTCGATCCTCTCGACTGTGGAAGATAATGAACTTCACCGCCCCTCAGCCCGAAAGTTCCTCGACGGAACAGTCATTCACGTCTCACAGTACATGCTGGGAGGAGCTGGCGCGCTCACAATCTGTGATCTCGGACAGGCACGTATCGGTAAGGTGCATCGTGGCAATGCCATGCCGTTGCCATACCGTGCTCCTGAGGTCATTCTCGGCATGACGTGGGGTAATTCTGTGGATGTCTGGAGCGTGGGACTTTTAGTAAGAAAAGAGTCTAATCTTTTATGGAATCAAGCTGACGAACCCAGGCCTGGGACCTTTTGCACAAGAAAGGCATCTTTCGTGTATACGATAAATCTGGAGAGCTCAACGACGCTCATCATTTAGCGGCGATGACTGCGCTCCTTGGACCACCGCCAGATGTTTTCCTCAGGAGGAGCGACAAGACGCGTAAGTACTGGGATGCTGAGGGGAGGTGGCACGGCCCTGTTCCTCTCCCTGAGGGCGCACTGAAATCTCTGGAAACAAACTTGTCTGGGGAGGATAGAGATCAGTTTCTTGACTTTTTGGCTGGCACACTTACCTGGCTCCCGGAGGATCGGCTCAACAGCGCCGAAGCATACTTTCATCCCTGGTTAAGACGAGAAACTGGTGTTGAATAATAAAAGGATGAGTTCTTTCTTCTTACATCCCATACCGCACATCAGTCGCCAGGTCGGCCATGTTTCATTCTGATTCTAGGCGACTGGTATCGCCAAAGTACTGAAGATTAATTCCTGGATGATCTCATTTCCGGAACCAGACAGCATCAGGCAGAGCGACAAAATAAACTTAGGCTAAATCTAGGTAAAGCTACTCAAGTCCGTTTGCCATCTAAGATCAAGCCTCTGTGTCTTCCCTCATCCCCTAGCCTCTGGAGCAACAGTAAGACAGCTGTTTCAACATGCTTACCCCGAAGATGAATACCCGAAAGTCAGTGCAAGTTCAGTTTTTTGCAATGAGAATTGATTATCTTTCTCGCCGTCCCGGCTGTATAAGTCTAAGCATCAGGGATGGAGATGTTTTAAACTGTTTGCAGCCTTTATGGACAATTCATCGGTAGGGATATGGAAGCGGGAGTTGTGCTCTGAGGGAGATACGGAGCTCAAGCTATTAAAGAGTCTGAAGTTCAGCTTAAAGACTTACTTTCCAAGCTTCGCGACTATGGCAACTTCAACATCCAAGCACTTCCACGATGATTGAGATTGAGTGTTACCCGGATTTTATAAAGCAAAATGTACTACATGGCATTAGTTTACTAAGTGTCCTGATGATTTGATCTCCGACTCAATCTAAGATGGGGTATACAATGACAAAAGGCCAACTTAATACGCCATCACCCACCAAAGCGGTAGGCTACAATGGCTGCCATCTTCCACAAAACACCCAATATCCATCATTGTCCTTCTACGTCAGCTTTGTTCGACAATCTCCCAGTCTCCCTCCTTCGTAGCCTTGTCGTCGGTAGTCTTGCACTGTTAGATGGGTATGGGAATGAAGGAGTCAACGTACCTTTTGACTGCCAGGTCCGTTTTCAGCCCAGAAACTCTCCAAATCAAGGCCCATCTTCTCTGCAAACTCCGCTGCGGGAAAGAGGATCGGGCCAGTGGTCCACTTGACAAATCGACCTCGCTCGTTCTCGATCAAGGTAACTCGAGTCTCCCCTTCCTTGAGACCATTGTTGGCCTCTCCAGGGTTACCGGCGTTCGTGTCGGATCGTCTGGCGGTCTTGAGGTTTGCCTCGAGGACCTCAACAAGCTGCTTAGCTTCCTCGACCTGTTCTTCCAGGGCTTGAATCTTGGCGTAGAGATCACGGCGCTTGGTTTCGCTAATGCCAGACATTTCTGGTGCTTTGAAGTTAGCGGGGAACAGAAGAGAAGACGTGAACCAACCTGCGTGATTTGAGGTGGATTGCTTGTGTGGATGTGAGAGAGTGCTGGCAAAAGTAAGATGTCTAAGGAAAGGTCAAAATGAAGTTGATGAAGAAGGATCAAAGAGATCCAGAGTCAAGAAGACGAAGGGTCAGCTAGAGGTGTGGAGAGTTGTGGAGCTTGTTGCTAGTCATAGCGGTTTGGCAATGGTCTGGCAGTGGCAAGGGCTGATGGTTATGCAAGAAGCACTGGCCTTCATTCGTTGAGACTGTGATTCATATAGACTTGTTCAGTTGAGTTGGCGCTTTGGACGGCAGTGGAAGTGCTGAAGTGGACACTGTATTGTTACTGGCCTGGACCCACAATTCGTTCCCCAAGGCCACCACGCTCAAGGCAAACCTGGGCGAGTCAAGCGTGCGGCATGCAATTTATGGCCATGAAGCTCAACTTGACTCATGTTTTGAACACTGATCCCATTGAACAATCGTGCTTGCGAGCACAGCGCCAATTGGATCTTTGCTGCGCGAAAGAAAATCAATCGAGGTTGCCGCACCCAATCTGATCAACTCAACCGTATCGCAACAACGAAGCTGACCGACTACAGTCATCCCATCTCGGACTCACCATTGCGGTACCTGATTCCGACACGAACCTCATTGATGGATCTCCAGAGCGCAAAGAACAGCGCTCACGTCCAATCCAACAGCGCATGAACACCACTCACGGCCATCAGCATTGAGTTCAGTCCCCCTGCGGTCGCACTCGCGAGCGATGTTGAAGACATGCGACACGTCAGAAGGCAGCAAGAAGATCAACCTTCTTCGTATAAGAGGCAGCGCACTGCGGCTCAGCTCAGTTGATGAAGACCCTTGGTCATACAGCCGTCAATTCGACGACCGCAAATCGAGACCGATAGAAGATGATCGGGGGACCGCACCCATCGTTGGGCTTGAAGCCGGAGGAAAGGAAATGAGCGAGTTCAATTTGGACTGCGACTCCGCTGCCGCCGTCGAATCCCGTGGTATCTTCAGCAGCCGACAAGTGACCAGATGGAACTTGATGACCTCGAATACGACGATGCCTCCCACAAGAACCAAGCAGTAAAACATTTATCAATCACAAACAGGTTCTGTCTGCATAGAAACAATTCCTTCTTCAGTCTCAAGCACAGGAACGGTGCGAGTTGCTGACCTCCGAATCGCCTCGAACCCATGACTCCAGAGTCAGCCCCCTGTATTGCGAGCGGCTTGGCTCATCACCAAATACAACAACCGGAGGAACGGAATGGTTCAAAGATGAACAGCGGCCTGCATTCTGGAATCTGGCCCTGACGCTGCTCATTTTCCGCCTCTTTCTCCGCTTCACCGATCGATTCGTCTTGGTCTCCAACGGCAGCGCCACTTGGAGGCTCGTTCCCGAGATCCCTGAAAGCAGCTTTTCTGACCTCACTTCCGCGCATCTTCTCAATTCGGCTTCACTGTGTGCTTATTTACTGGTATATCACCCGTCCGAAGCGCCGATGCTTCCTGGCCGTTGGGGTAGATGTCGCCCCAGTCTCGTGGTGGTCCCCGTCGATTGTTCTGAAGCGCATCGGACAAGCAGTTCCTCACTCAACCGTTAAATCACGCCTATGTTGATCACTCACTGATTGCCAGCCGGTTAACTCCAGCATGAGATTTACAATATCACGCTAAATTTCCCGTCAGACACCCACACCCACAGTCTTCCAGCTAGCGCCCGAGCCACTGCGAGTGCTCAATGAACATGGCCGACACCAGCCACTTCTAATCTCCACTCACACAAAACCGCTTTTGGAGCCGCGCGACTTGCGTAAGATCGAGCTAACAATAGCGCGGTCAGCATGCAGGGGATTGACATTTCGGCGCTACCCGATCCCCCGCCGACATCAGTCCGCTGTTTTTCTCACCCCCAGCCTGTCCACAGATCTAGCTTCTGTCGGATTAGACTTTGGTACCAATCCACGTGTCCTTCACCGTGAGCACGTTTCTGTGTTGCTGTGTCCAATGGGATAAGGCTTGTCGTCCGAATTGGGGAATTCCATCTCAGCATGAGGAAGGTTCGCTTGACCTATGGCCCCACGAACCGCTGCTGGGTGCTTTCCGATATTTGCAGGTAGATGACAGGGCTTAAGCTTCAGTGGCTCGCTGGATCAGTAGGGGATTGCTGGAGCGGAAGACTTGGCATGCGCGATTTGGAGCTGGAGGACGAGCAACGATCACAAGGGCACCTACTCATCTCGTCTGCTGAGTCCATGCAGAAGTAGGTTAGCTACATTGATCACTACGAGTAGTTCATGGCAATGATCTCAAGTCACTGATTTTCCATGTCAATTGGGATAAGTAATGTAACAACTAAGACAAGTCAAAACAGAAATTACTACCTCCTCAGTGATCATACATTTAATGCCCAGATGCCGTCCCCAGATGAACATTTACCAAACACTATCGCGCGATCCAGCAATCAACACAAACTTGCCCACCAAATTTGTTCATCCAGTTCCCTGTTGACTCACCCAAGAAACTCGGGTTGCCTTGTCAGGGTCTCCCAGTTCCCATCTGGGTCGATCTCTGGGTTGCCATGTAGATTCACAACCCGTCTACTGCCCGCAATGGTGCGCAGGACATTGCCAATCACTGTCTTGTCCGGCTTCTGAAGCCCATCATCGGCATGGTCTTCTTCCTGCAGGGGCCGGTATCTCTGGTTCGTGGTTTCAATGTCTCCAAAGATCAAGAGACTTGACTTTTGTCGAGTCAGCGCCACGTTGAGACTTCTCTGCTCCGCGACAAACGATGGCCCGGTTTCGCGGGTGACGCACAACGCCAGAACCACGATCTGAGCTTCTCGACCCTGGAACGTGTTGACTGTTGAAGGCGTAACATCCTTGAGTCGATCGTCGTCTCTGAATCGCTTCCGGATTGCAGCAAGGTTTGCTCGGTAGTAAGTGATGACGGCGATGTCGGCGGGGTTGAGTTTCAGTTCTTCGATCATCTTGACCAGAAACTCAGCAATCAAATCAGCCTGTCGAGGATTGAATCGCGTGGCCTTGTGAGGATAGTTTCGGCAGGGACACTTAAGACAATTGAAGAAGACGGGGTGGATTTGATTCACACCAGCTGAAGGAATGTGATGTTCAAGTCGTAGGTAGTTCTCGACTTGCGTTCCGATGGGAAAGTTCTTCAACTGACAGTGTGAACTGTACTCAAAATGTGAGATCAAATGTGGGTAAACCGTGTTCAATGAGAGATCGAAGAGACCCTGCGCCATTCGATGTTGGCGGTAGAGATTGAACACAGGCCATCCCAGATAAATGAACAAATGGAACCAAGAGATGCGGTAGAAGTTGGCAAATCTGTTAGTAGGAAACTGCTTCTCCTCTGGTGTTTTGTCGCGTCTATCCTTGCCGGTATGGAGCAACTCCATGGCCGTCGGGAGGACAGGGGCAAGCTGCTTGGTATCGCCAAACATGATCATGGGTCGAGGCGTATTGCCAAGAACCAACAGACCATCAGAACAGAACAATGTGGCAGCCTCATCAAAGATGACGCCGCGAGCCACATCCGAGTTGTAGGATCTGTAGAGGAAGGAGTTGGACGTCGCTGGAGTCGTGGCCACGACGTTGGAACATTTGATGACCAGGGCCATCAGATTGCGCAAGGGTTTCTCGTAACTTCCGGTTGAGTACAGTCTGCGCTTCTTCGCCGGGTCCTGCTCTTCTGCAAACTTCACAAGGCTAGAAAACTCGGACATGTTGGAGCGCTTGACGCCAGGAACCGAGAGTCCTTTGAGTCTCTGGTGAAGGTCCCAAAGTTCGCTGTTGTCGCCGGAGGTCAATTTCGGGACAGCGCTTGAACCCAGAACCCGCAGTGTCCACCAGCACAAAGAGTTTTCGAACCTCCACGCCGACGCGCTTCGAGAGCCAGGCTTGAAACGCAGCCCAGCCAAAGCTCGGAGACACTTGTCCTGCTCATCTTTGAGTCTGTACCCCCGGACGACCATCAGCTGATTGACGGAAACATCATCGGCGATGAGCTTCTTGATGATGGACTTGGCCAGGGCGTCGGTGCGGTCGAGGATATTGTCGGTTGCTTCATTCGAAGCGGCGCTCAGGTAGACGTGCTTGATGGTTGGGTTGAGGCACATGAGAACTGTGATGGCGGAGGCGAGTGTCGACTTTCCAGTACCAGGAGGACCAGAAACAATTCCAAGACCGAAATGAAGGCTGCTGAAGTATTGTCGTACCTTGCTTCGATCGCCTTCAAAAACAGAGCCAAGGCAGGTGTCTCGAATTTCGGCGGGGACATCTTTGAAGAGATCAAATGGCGGCAGGTTGACCTTCGCGCCGGACTGATGAAGATTCCAGAGTCCCTTGCCGATCAAGAGTTCATTGAAGATGGCCTTCTTGTTGGATGCGAGAGTATCCTGCTGCATGGTGACAGGCCAGACCTTTGGATCACTCAGACGATTGACGGCATGGACGCGAAGCTCTTCCCCATACGCGTTTGATTCGCAGATGAGTTCCAAGCAATCCCGGTCAAGTTCCTCTTTGACTCCATCGTATTTTTCGTGAGCGATGGGCGAGAAGGCGTGTCCTTCGCCTGTGTCTGGGCGCAACAAGACCAGCGGAATTCGATCGTACGAGTCAATGTTGGATGGGAGTTCTGAGTCGCCATAAATGACCGGGGATGCATCCCAGACAACAGAACGACGTCGGGAGTCATTCGCCAGAAACCTGACTTGTAGCTTGGTGTAGGATCCCTTGAGCGCGCGATGGACAGCTCGCCAATGCCGGTTTTGCTTGACATGTTAGCTTGGTCATAAACTGGGATAAGGTACTTACGAAGTTGTTTCGCGGGGGTTCCAGGAGACACAAGTATCTTGCCGCGTGTTTAATGGGCCCGTCGCCAATCTTCTAGATGAGCGCCGGCATCTCAACATCGTTGACATGTTCCAGGTCGTGGTGAAAGTCCCAAACATCTTGAACGTGAATCTGGGTCCAAGCAGTATCTCTTTCGTTTCGGTTCTTGAAACAGGTCCTTTCGTTGAACAGCATGCCTCTGGTTTTGGGGATTTGTGTATTATAGCGCTCCCAATTCCATCTGTGACTGTACAAGTTAGCTAGGATATGAGGAACAGGCGCGAGACTTACTCATCACCGAATCCGTAGTCGCTAAGTTGGGGCCGCTCATTAATGCCCTTGATGATGGTTTCGATATCAGCATTGCTGGTCTTCACCAGGAGAGTGAAGTTTCGTCTCTGGAGGATCTCTGGTAGGGAAATGACCCCAGCGATCGGAGTATGCTTGTTGACCCACTCATCAACAGTCGTGTTCGCTCCGTGAAATGGAAGGCCGAAGCCGATGACTGTGGCGTTGGAATGAGGAGAGATCTGTATCTCAATGAGTCGATATTCAGACAGTTGATCATCAATGCCTGACAGTTGGTTGTCCTTGGTGAGTTCGTGCGTAGTCGCAGTGAAACCTCGTGGCGGCAGGTCGATTTTCACGTGGTAGAGAGTTGAGTCTGTAGTTGCATGGTCAGCGGAATACCAACTCCAGATGCTTCGATCTGTGTCGCGAGGGAAGGAGATCCGAATTCCTTTTGAGTTGAGGCTGATGAGGACATTCGGAGATGACTGAAGCTGGGTGAGTTTCGGGTCACCTTTATCCGTAGCCTCACGCACGATAAGGTGACAGAGAATTTGGCGAGACGCCATAGCGGCGGCAAGAAAGAGAGAAAATGTCGTTGGCGCAGAGTTTTAATGAATGAGAAGGCTTGTTGATGGAGAGAGGCAAAGCTGAGGCGGAGAGAAGCGGGGCACGGGAGGTTGCACGAGGAGCGGCAGCGAGCGAGAAAAACAACACTCAGTGAGGGATGCAAGCGAGTGAATCACGCTAGCCTCTTTGGGCTCGATGGGCGATGCTCAGTCTCAGGGAGCAGGGTAACCAGGACAGCCCATCTCATTCAGTGTGGCTGCTATGCTTTGGGTGCTGAGTAGTTTTCAAAGCGCCAGCATGCCAATTGATTTGATACTGTGCTGAGGTTGACCAGTTTGGCAAAAATTACTTCCTCGTCAGTTCGCCATCTCTTCGAGGTCTATCATGTCAAATAAGATGCAGAAGTTTGGTAGAGTATTGACAGAGATGACATACTGTTGACTTTCTCTACGAAGACTGTGTCCACATGAATTTTGAAATTTGTCCTAGGATCGGAGGAACATGGTCTAGGAGGTGAATGTGAAACGCCGCTGGAGTTTGACGAAGTAGCCTCCGAGTCTGACTCACCACCCACTACCTCGACTGTTTGCACCATGTCCGACTGCACGAAACTCACGGAATTTATGGTGTCATAATGTTTTGTTGACTAGATTCTTTTTCTGTTGTGCAGGTGAGGTGAACTCTTATGTCAGACTGAAGTCTCTGTGTTGTTCTCAGTGAGCCTCTCAGCTGGCAGAGTCGTCTTTTAATCGGTAATGTATGCCAATCCGGTCTTTCTGGCCAAGGGACAGGTTCTCGGGTTCCATTCCAGTCCAGCCAAGAAGAATCGGATTTGTTTAACCCTTACAATTACGTTTTAACTTTTGTCCAGTTGCCAATGCCATAAGATTTGGGTAGTCGATCTAGTAAAGAGGGAGCACTGGCATTTTTGCTGTCGAGATCATTGTCTTGAAATTCAGCCGATGAACTGCTTCTCTAAGTTCCTAAATACCGATGGAGACCAACCTCAGTAAGACAGAGGTGGTAAGGCGTTCGTGAACGAGGTACCAACAGTCGCTGGCTTGGCTTGTACTGATCGCATGATGGGAGGGAGGGAAAAGTTACGTACATTGAGCTCAAAGTTTACAGGCGGTAAAACCACTGAAGTCCACTGCAGTCCCCTGAAAGCAGGGTCTTCAAAACGGCCACAATTCGGTACGTACCTGGACTCGGCATTGTGGATGGGAAGCACAGAAAAAGGTACGTACCTTGCCCGAGGCCCAAAACCTTGCCCGACAGGTCCTAATCCACTGACGATCACTAAAATTCACTATAGTCCCCTGAAGCTCGCTGGAAGTCGGTTGGTCAAAACGCCTCAACACCAGCACACCTCGACTTGGTTGGCCACAAAAAAGGGGTGCAGAACATGATACGTCGCTGAGACCTAAGAAATCTCAAATCCCCCAGTAGGCACTAAGTCCACTGAAACCGGCCCGTCTCCCGGAAATCTGGTGCGGAGAACGGCTTTGACCACGGAGCCGGCCGTATCAAAACCGTGCTGGCCCAAAAGGGTCAATCACGTCTAAGGCAAATTGTGGACAACGCCCTTGGAAACCCAAGACAATAGTGAGGGCTTGAAATATCCTACTCATCAAACGCGGCTTTCTTCGTAAGAACATAAACAACTTGATGAATAGTATTATTGTACGTAGTCTCATTTCAGAAAACATCGGGCCAAGCATGGTACTGTGGTTCTTAACGTCAATCCTTTCTTCGAGGCCATTTGCATTATGAAATATCAAGTTTGAGTCCCAGTTCAGCCCCTGACGAACGCGAGACAATATCTAAGACCATAGCTCGTGTCACATTGCAGTTCATCAAAGCGTGAAAAAGAGTCGTACACATTCAAGTTACATATCGACTTATATACGGCGAACTTTGCTCATCTCGTTGCAACTCTGAACCTGTTGAATAACCCCCAAATGCCATCTCAATTGCCGTCCTCTGAGCCAGTGGGCAAGGGAGACATGGAGCACGGAACGTCAAGCCCATTGGCAATACGCCATTCTCGATAAATGTCCGAAAAACTGCGCGCGCGGCTCGGGAAATGGTCCAGGGTCCATGGGAAATCGGGCGCTTCTTCCCCAAGTTGGCAGACTGAGTAAGTTAGTGACGGCTTCATCGATCGACGTACATGTTGTACCTACAGAACCTTGTCCAGATAGCGGACTCCAATGTATAGTTAAACTGTGCGTCGACCACGAAAAACATATTCATTCGTGACAAGTCGCTACATACCCGTTGTATGCAACTCTCCTTCGTCACCTGAAAGACCTGGTAGTCGAGTGACCCGAAATATCTAGCCACATCGAAGAAATACTGCAGACGGGCATCAGGGTCGGTTGTGTCTACCTGGGATGCTTCAGGGTATTCGTGGGAGGGAATGACGGTTGGCATGGTTGGAGACGGCGCGGGAGACTTGCTATGGGATTGTACGGTGTTGTTGGAGAAGATTGGACTTGATTGAGTTTTCTGTCTTGGGAACTGGGAGGGGCATGGGGTGAATGAGCCAAGGTGGTGGGTCGTCTTGATCCAAGAGCAGCTGCTGGCACTGACAAGAGGCCAAACAACAACTACGATGCTCCATTAGCCGCCTGCAGTTCTGGGCTTTCTACACCTCCCATATCGTGAGCCATCAATCGCTCAATCGGCCGGCTGTTCTCTTCTCCTTCACGTCTCCTCGAGTCGTAACTGTACCTTCGCATTCGACACTCCAACTACGAGATACAAAACGCAGACTCATCAAAGCAACGCCTCTCGACAGTTACCTCACGCTCACACCATGGAGTCTCCCAACAGCACCTGTCACACGTGGACACACCGAATCCAAGGGAGAATTTTAACGAACGATGAGACCTACTTCGAGTACTTCGCTATGGAAGACGGCGACGAAACCATTGTTATTGGAACTTGCTCCGGCTGCGGTGCCGAACCATGTGGAGATCACCTCTTGCAAGGCTTTCGAGAGTGTGACCGGCAATTGGAACGATATTGTCGAGAGGGGTTTACCGGAGGCGAAGTGACGGTTCGGTTTCTCAAGACACGAAACCAACCTCTCACGATAATGGAAACCACCCGCTGCCACGTCTGCTACAGTCGCACCCACCCAACAGCGATGTGCCTCAGGCTCCTTGATAGCCGTACCTGTCGTTGTCCCATTTGCCGCAGCAGCCAGCACGACATAGGCGACTGTCCAGATTTCGACACGATGAACCCCAGCCGACAAGTTCAGTTGCTTGTAGCGGATCGCGCTGGTCTTCCCCCTCTGGGAAAATACTTTCCTTGGTGGGATTATCTTCACCGATGGATGAATGACCCTGTCTCTGAGAACAAGGTTCTGTCTGGGTTTGCGTGGTCAGCGAACTTCGCCAAGGAGATCACCTTGAGAGAAGGTGGACAATACGTCAAAATACTTCAAGCTGTGTTCGACAAGGATCTCGATCGTTCACTTCTGCCGGTGGATGAGACCACTCGCACAATCAATGGCGTATACACCAACTTGTGGTGTCCTGCCAACGTTAGAGGATGGGTTCACAGCGCCGGGTCGAGCAACCAGTGACTGTACACACTGCGACCGTGTAGTAAGTCTTTAACCCTTTCCATCAGAGACGCAGCAGGCTTTGTTTCCATGTTGGAGATATGCTAATACACCGGTCTTCCAGCAACACGTTACTCTTCGTTCCTGAATAATTGGAGCATTGCGCCAAGCTCATGGAGAGGACAGCCGTGGGAAACATTACAGAGTCAATGATCGATCTTGTTTACTATCCTGTAGCCTGAAGTGGCTAAAAGTGATCCCCGCAATGCAACTACGGGGATGAGCGACAATCATTATGTGTGACAAATAGAATCTAGTTGGACAGTGGCTCTAAGTGCATCAATATATTTAGGCCAACCTTCTCTTCAACTCCTCATTCTCAATCTTCAACAGTTCATACTTCTTCTTCCAGTCATGAATCTCCCCCGCTTGTCCAATGATAATCTCCCCCAGCCTCTGCGTCTCCTCCATGCTTGGTGCCCCCGGATTCGTAGCCGTTTGACTAGAGGCGTTGTCCTCGGTCGAGGCTGGCGGGCTGTCCAGACGAGCCGGCCACGCCCTGCCCTCCCTATCCCAGAAGAGTGTGAAGACGTCCTTCATTGTCTGCAGGCGCGCATCCGTAGGAAGAGCGCTGACCTTGTGAGAGTGGTCGACCTCGTGCTGATACTCCTTGATGGACTTTTGCTTCTTGCCATCGTACACCTCGCGAGCGAACTCCATTGTCCAGGGGAACGATTCCGGAATTAGCTCGTCCTTCGTGTGGGGGGCCGTCAAGAACCTGTGCAGCCATACCCACCAGGGGTCGTCTGTCAGGATGGGCGGCTTGCTAGCGCGGTCTGTCACGAGCAACTGAACTTTTTGTCCCATGCTAAGGCGAGAGAACTCTCTGCAGCTGTCGGTGGCATGGCTCGTGCTGTTGCAGAACACACACCCCCGAATGCCAGTGGTGGTGATGCAGCCCTTCAAGGTATGGCAGGTGCTGCCACACTCAGCACAGAGAACCTTAACCACCTTAGGCACCTCGACGACGCGGCTCTCGAGGCCACCTTGAGCCCTGATCGCGCGATTTTGGCGGGGCTTATCGAGAGAAGCATACGCCTCAGCCTTGATCTGACGACGCTTGGCCTCGGCGATGCGATCTGGCCGAGCTGACTGTGACTGGGACCAGCTGGGCTGTCCTCGCTGACTTCTGTTGACCCCGTATCGCTCAGAAAGAGTCGGACTGCTGTCGATCGTAGCTCGGTTCCTATCAGGGCCAATATTGCCTCGGCCAGAACCGGATGCTCTGCCAGATGCGTCAGTACGTTCGATCTCTGCGTATCTGGTGTTGCGAAATACCTGTCCCGCGTTGTGTGTTCATTAGGTGCGCAATTATCAGACATAGTGGATGATGGTCGTAAAATAATGTTCAGGCGGACAAGGAAGTGTTGCTTTCTCGAGATGTTGATTCTCGATGCGAAAGTAAAATGGTAATGTACCTTGGCCCAGTTTGTGGCTAGCGCAGGATCACAGCAAATGCTTGGACCCGCTGCGCTGGCTGCGTTAGGTCTACATCCACTGTAAAGATGGTTTAGACCAAGCATCTCGCCACACAGTGGGCGTACCGAATGTTTGCCTCTTCTCGGTCAATAGATTTTCTCAAATTCGTGTCCCCTACAAACGTTATCTTATAACTCTTATTACTGATAAATGCCCCCCAGCTATTGAACGATAAGTTATCGCTTATTAACTGTGAAATTTATGACTGTGCCTCTACGTTTTATGAGGTGCGTATTGAGCGGTCTATCAGAGTGCAATCTTATCGCAGCACAAACAGTTGAAATTATCAGATAGACGATGAAGAATATAATCCCACTGACCTCAGAAGTGTGTAATTATACATTATTTTAAATCGGTTATTGGATTCCGCCTTGGCTGCAACCCCTGGATTTGGCAAATGAGAGGTTAATTGTCTTACGGGCTTCTTTCGTTGATTCTACTGTGTCATGTTGTGACGTCGTCTCCAAGCGCGGAGACTTAGTCCAGCTCCTCATGGGTCCATTCATGGGTTATAACCAATGATCAAGCATGTGTCGTCTTGGTCAGACAGTCTCTAAACGCTAATCATCAAAAGTCTACAACCTTGCAAGGGTTGGTGATGGCCGCCTACCCTGGAGACCCCTTCCACAATTTAAACCACATCACATTCAAACTTAAGTATGATGGTTTTAAATGCTGCCAGAAATCGGGACATGATATTTTGAGATCGAAATATCGTGGATATTCATTGGACTGATCAACGGTTAATATGTCTTGTTGTGACCGAGCTGCCAACTTGCGGACGCTGATGTGGACTTCTTCACGACAAAGAAGTGAAAACTGGTTGTTAATCGCACAGGTCCCACGCGGCCAACACGTATGTTTCACATCTTGAAAACTGGAAAGATACCGGCAGACATGACCCTCTCATTGCTCTGAGTCTGTCGTCCCTACCGACCCTGGTTCTTGAATCCTCCTACAAATCCTCCTACAAATTAGGAACCACAACGATCGTGTCGGGACCGCCGCCCTTCACGGATTTCTGTTTAATAGATCTTATCAGACTCACCTTACACGGAAGATATGGAGAGTTTCGTTGTGCTCAAGTGGTGGCTATTGTGAAGATGTGGAACCCAGGCTTTAATCAATTTATCATACGTGAAAGTGGCACTCGACAGCTGTGAAACGCTGCAAACAGCCCTGTGCAAACAGAGAGGGAGACAAAGGCTCAGCAACTCCACCTTGAATTGTGAATTTCCAAACTCCAATTCTTCCTCCTTCATCATAGAACAAAGCCGGTCACGGCACAACGAACACGTACAGCACAGCACAGCACACACACACACACACTCTCTTTTTAGGCCCTTTCTCAAATACAAAAAATGGCTTCCACTAGGTTTCACCATTCAGCAGTTGACGTCCTGAACCTTGCGGCTCGTCGGGCGCACATGCATGCGTTTTTCATGCACCTTGGGGTCTGGGACAGCGCCAAGGTCGCAAGGACTCGCGAGAAGTGCGTCGAGTTATTTTGCAAGTTCCTACATGAACAGGGTTATGTCTCCATTTCTCACGACTACTTTGAGTACGAGGTGGACGCCCTTGTCTGGGACAATTATCGTAAGCTGTATCCTGCTCACTGTGCCCGACTTGAACTAACAGCATTCAGTCAAACGCAAGAAGATTTTGACCAAGGCTAATGAGTGGCCTTGGTCAGAGACCGTACCCAGAAAACACGACCCGACGACCCAAAATTCTCTGGTCTACAAAGACTGGCTTCGCCGCGATCCGCTTGTCAAGGTTGAAGACGATGACGTGGAAAACACCCCACCAAACGCCCCCGAAGGCCAAGAAAACGAAGTCCCTGCTACCCTGGTGGATGGAAAGGGTATCAAAGAAGAAAAGGACCAGTTTTGATGATGCTGTGGAACATTGATTGACAGAGAAACCGGTGATGATGATGCCTTAGAGCTTGTGTCGATGGCAGGGTTACTTCCTGTACGTTAGTAATTGAATCGGTGCTGTTACAGCCGTCTCAGCGTATTTCACTTGAACAGCATCTCTTTGATGTCAATCTGGCCAGAATCAAGGCTCTGAAGCGTGACACTCCCAGGGAACAGAGCCTTGTTTCAGCTCGTAAGGGGAAGCTCCCCTGGTTTGGTCCTTATGTCAATCCCAAGGACCTTCTCTCCAATCAGGAGTATTGGGGGATCCATGACTTGGATGTGGTGGATGCCTATCCACTCCCAGACAAGGACCTTCGTGAGATGCTCTGGTGGAGGACTATCAGCTATATTATGGCGGATGAAGTAGAGGAATGAATGGCAACGAATAGGCAGCAATGAAGAATGAGATTAATAACTTTGGGCATAGAACGATTGCTCCAAAACTGAAACCAATTGACTTGTATGCGGAATGGGCTGTGGTTACTGTCAACCGCCCGTTCAAGTTACAACCGTGCTCCAAGTTCTCGTTCACAACCTGCTCACATGATCTCTTTAACGTGACTGTCAATTAACCCGAAAGCGTCCCTTCGATTCAGAACTACTCAGCGCAATTCATTTGTGCCATATACCCCAGCCATCACCCGTCTTCATCACGAAGTCACATCGATTGCCAGCCTCCCCTTCTATCCATATCCGTCAACGATGTACACATCTCAACCTTGCAGCGGTTCTCTCTGAACAGTTGAGTGAGGTTAGGCGATTTTATTGCAGCAAAAGTACTATTTGACTTGGTAATCAAGGCGGTCGCGGTCGAATCTGTGATGGCCATTTTGTCTTCGCAGGGATATGCTCGCACATCATGGACCGTTTCTGAATGTGTTGGAGTTGTGGCTCGTGGTAAACGATGGTTAGGTTGGAAAAGACGTGGTAAGGTTTCAAAACTGGTAGAAGGGCTGTCAGTATCGAAACGTAATGCTGTTTTCTTGAACTTACATGTCAAAAACTGGTCGGAGGTAGACATCAGGCGAAGCTCACCCAACAGCAAGGACTTCTCAATGTCGAGCTGTTGGCAGTCTACACCTGCGTGAAGGCCCATGCATGATAAATTACTTCATCTCCTTGCACACCTCAGCGAGCCATTTTGACTTCTTGGCCTGAAGCGTGCGGTGGGCAATGTGACCTTCGGGATACCGCACCGCTGCATTGCCTTCTCGGCTGACAAAGTCCCTCTCAGGCAATATCACCTTGCGAATTGAATGCATCGTGCCCGGTCGCATTCCAGGGATGGTCCATCTAACTCCCTTGCTTGGAGCCTGTGTCTTTGGATTCCCGTCGGGAATACCAGACACGTTGTTTGTCTCGACGTCGTCTTCCTGAACAGGATCGACAATCGGGAGCGAAGGTTCGGGAGTCGAGCCTGCGGGAGGAGTAGCGTCTTTCTCAGATGTCTCCGAGATACGATCGTCAGACCCAGGGGTCTGCTGCTTGGACATGCTCTGAGTAGGCATTTCCTCGGCAGGCTGAGTGCCGGACTCGGGCTTGGGGTCGGTCTTCGGTTCGCGTTTAGCAGGCGGGGCTGGGGCTTCACCAGAGGCGCGTCTCTTTCTCCCTGGTACCGGGCTCATTTTCTTGTCTTTGTTTTGGTGGCTGATGTGCTTGATCGTGTGATGTTGATGATGAGGCGTGAGGCGAAGAATGCGAGAGCTGAGCAATCAGTGTTGACGTGTTGAAAGTAGGGAAACCCAGAATCGTCTGTATCGCACGAGGAGCCCTCCAGCTGTTATCAAGTTTCTTGTCGTTAACGTCACTCATAATGGTGCAGGAATTAACATGACACAGACTTTACAGCCGACCTTGATTTAAAACCTCAGAAACTGATTTATATCACCATCCCTCATTTTTGTGTTCTATGATCTGCTTCCAACCGCCTTCGCACTGTATCATTCTCCAAGTCCATCTTTTAATGTTCCATGAACCCCTTTGCAAACCACACAGGTAGAGACTGCTCAACATTAGATTCGGTTCTCAGGGGCTTCTTGATTGCAACTCACCGCCAGGAATCATCCTGAACTTTCAGACATCGTCGGGAGTGACGGGCAGTAGCTTCTGACTCCATTCAATTTCCTGAGTCTCCTCTGATGATCTTGTACCTTGTCAGAGGGAGGATCTCATCAGCCGCGTATGCCTTGGCACAAAGTGGAAACGCGCCATCGACCACCCCAAGAATGTAGCTGCGCAACTGCTTCTCGTCCAAGGCCCGGATGCGATGGGCGGGGAACCGAGTTGAACCACCGCCAAAGATGCACTCGATATGAGTATCCTTGGGCATGTAATCAACGTGAAAGGAGAGTTTGTCGAAATCCAGCACTTGTCCTGTTGCCATGATGTGCTCAATCTTACCGGGCAGGCTGCGTCGTTGCCATTCCTTGTAAAAAACAGACGGTCCGGAGGTGGCCACGTCCGTCTTGTCAATCACGCCCTCGTACGTCCAAGGCCAATCGGGATCTTGGCCGAACAGGTTGCCGTTATTGACAACGTTGAACCAAAAGATTTGGTCAACCATAAGCTCGAAGTAAACTTGGTTGACTTGGCGTTGGCCTGTGCCGTACACTATTACACAAGCTTGCTCCTGACTGTAATTGCGAATTTCTTTGACCTTCTCCTCAATCCAGAGGCCAAGGTGAAGAAAGAACGCCTTCATGTGGGCGCGACGAGCATTGACGTTACGAAAATCAATGCTAGAGTGATCAAAGTTGGACAAAGTATTGATGGGAGACATTGTAAATGCTTGAGATAGTCGTGTGATCCGTGAAAAAGTTATCTTGTGCCGAGAGTAGTCTTGGTGATGCGCTGAGCTGAGTTGTGTGGACCAGAATTGATGCGTGTGGAGGGTGGGTTGTACAGATGGGACTGAGCTTGCTTAGCATGGGCCAGCCTGCCTGGGCTCTTGGGTGGTCAGTTAGTGAGCCAATGATTGGATAGTTCCGGAGCTACGGCTGTGGATCGTTCAAACTGTTGGGTGGTGTAAGAACAGCACTTCTTCCAGTGGGACGCCCACTGCCACTGGCAACGACAGCGCTGACCCACCACCAAAGCGGATCGTTAATCAGGGCAGTTAATGTCAAGCAGGTCCACTGGTACGAGCAATGACTGAAAAACCTCCACAAAGCATCACCTCCAGCAGCAGCAGTAGCTCAACAACAACCTTTCCCCCATTCTGCTTTTTACGACGCGTTATTTACACGAAATCACGATGACTATTCATAAGCCCGACAACTCTGGCAAAGCTTCTCGTCAAGGCGATTTGAACCGTGCTCGTCCTGGTCATGGCCAAGCAAGACCTCGCCAAGATCCTCGTCCACATCAGCGCAACCACCAAGCTACTGAGCAGGCCACTTGTCAGGCAGCCGGGGATTCTGGTGGCCAGCAAAGCCACAGCTTGACCAACACTGGATCCCAGGCTGGTGGCATTCGCAGTGCCTCTTACATTCCACATGGGAGACCTTCTGGTGACAATCAAGAGAGTCCTCACTTTGGCAGTGGCTCGAGTTCCCAGCACCAGATTGAATGCACGTCCCAGGGATTCCGCAACACACCCCTCCCCCTGGTCGCTAAATCTAGTCAGACCCAAGTGTCCGACAAGGATGGCGCCGTGGCCAGTCAAATGGACATTAAATCAATGAAGGGTGAGAACACCCATCACTGGTACTCACATAGACCCGGAGATCGCATGTGGGGTGAAACCTGTGGAGGTGGCGTCGACGATTTGATTGAGGATGTCAAGAAGCGAACTGGTGCCGCCTCTGTTCAGTTCACCATCACAGCAAACATCGACGGTCGGTTCGAACAGATTGCTGCCAAAGAGGTTGAGAGAACCTGGGAGGACAACAATGGCTGCAATGACAAGGGCAAGCCTGCTGGTGTTCTTCGACACGGGGTCAAGATTGATTCCGAGACGAAGAAGCCCACCAAGTGTGCCTCTTGTTGTAACAAGGCGCACAAAGTGGCCACCTGTTTCTCCAAAATCGGTGCAAACGATGGAGAACAGAGCGGGTGCCCATTGTGTGACACGAATCAACACCATGGAGGCGATTGCAAAGAGATTGCAGCCCTCCCACTTCCCGAACAGGTCAAGATGCTGATCGTCAACCGAGGCAACATGGTCCCCTTTAAGGGAAAGAAGTCTTGGTGGAAACCCCTGCACGAATACTGCACGAGTCCACAGTATGACCCCAAAATCGTTACGGCCGTTCCATGGTCCAAGGAGTTTACACTCGCCTTGGCCAAAGGTAGAAAGATCAACCATATGCAGTTGAGGCATGATACCCTGCCAGCATACAAGCTTCCGAAAGATGAAGCCTTTGCCGACCCAACTTCCATCTACTGGAAGTACTGGCAGCCCGAGAACCTGGCGTGGCCTGCTGCCTTCGGAAACCTACCTGGTCGTCCCTCGGGTCCGATTGACACTGATGGCACAAAGGCAGCAGCCTCTCAGACTGGAGCTGCCGCTAGAGCTGTCGCCGGAGCTGCTCCTTGTGTTAACCCTGTAGCTACTCCAGCTCCCGCTCCCGCTCCCCAGCGTGCTGATCCCGGAGGCCTTAACCTTGGCGTGCCTCCTGGAACGGCCAGCTCGCTTAATCTGTTGCCTCGCCCCGCCCCGGTTGATGGTCAGGTCCCGACACCTGGTAACGCTCCTGTAGCTGCCCAGGCATCGGTACCTACCATAGCGAACTTCACTGGTTCGGTGCCTACCACCACATCAGGTGATAGCAAAATGGAGTCTGAGATCAACTACTCTGAAGACGATCACATGCACTAGATCTCTCCCTTCATCCCCCTTCGATCTCTGAGCCACAGGAATACGCTTTCATTTTTCCTGATCAAACACTATATCTTCCCGACATGTCTCATTCTAGAAATATCGATCGATGCGCCACATGTGCCGTATCACTCATATGGGGAAAGCAAATAACGCCTACCCATCCTCCACGTTCACCCAAGTCTCCTACAAACCACCGAAGCATAGCCACCAGGTCATAATTTGAGAATTACATGGAATTTCCAGCCGTGGAGAATACGGGACAAATAATTGTGGTGGAATGAACATAAGGTCTCGGAGCCATTGAGCAGATAGTCGGGGACATGAGGAAATGGACGATTAATTCAGTACATAACTTGCTACACGTTATCTCTTTTCTCCGTGAATTCAAGGTCTTTACATGAGTATTGCGGTTCGTATGAGTCCTGAGTGTCTGCAAGGGGCTTCGAGACAGTCTGGCTAGTGACAAGTCATTTTGGGACAGGATAAGATTAGAGGATTGGCACATCTTATTCACAAAGGGCTAGTAAAATGTCATTTGAGAGAACGTTTGTATCGTTATCTACTTGTATCCCTTCAAAATTTTCAACACCTCAGACCTAGGGGTCACAAAAACGTCATGAGCCTCGCTCTCAGCAGGGAAGCGACCGGCTCCTGTGGATGCCAGTCTGGCGATGTTCCTTTCTGGCATGGGAGGGTTTGGTGGAAGTACAGGCCATGGAGGAAGATCTGAGCTTTGTGTACTCGCCTTCATCTCCGTGTTCGTACTTGGAGTCTCAACACTCGGACATGGCAATTGTGAGACTTCCTGTGTTCTATCCTCAACTCCCCTTGCATGATTGATTTTGCCAGATATTAGTTCTGTAGCTTGCCTCTGAGTAGTTGTAGCCCGTTGCTCAGCAGGAGCCTTTTGCTTGGGTACAGGCTGATCGGAGGCAATGTCCTCTTGCATGGGTTCCACATCTACCGTTTCTTCCAAGCCTTCATCGTCATTGGGGGGCGCAGAAAGATTTTTTCCCAGCTCAGGACCTCTGGGGGCAGCATCAGGGACGATTACAGTCGTTTCCGGGAGGCTAGGCCTTTCAGGGTGGCTCTGTAAAACGTGACCATGGTTAGGCGCTTCCTTTGCTTGACGCAACTGAGTCAATTCAGATTGCATGCTTGCCAGCTGCTCCTTCATATCAAGCATCTGTTGATTTTGCTCCTTTTTCATGTCGAGAATCAGTTCCATTTGCTGTTTTTGGCCTTGTACGAGTTTGTGCAGCTTGGCGTTTTCCTCCTTCAACGATGAGATCTCTGTAGCCATCTGCTCTTCATGGAAGGAGCGATAAACCGAGGGTTCAGAAGGTCCCCGAAGCCGTGTTGGAGAGAGGGTAGCACCATGTGCAAGAGGTACATCTGCTCCAGAAGTGCTTTCGACACCGCGTTTGTCTTCTGCTGCGCTCATCTTGTGGAGATTGTCGGCGCCTAATCTTTTGATGAAGAATCGAGATGGTGCATCTTGATGTGTCAGTGTGTTGTCTTGATTGTCCAAAGCGATGGATGTGCTTACTTGTATTCGCTATCCTTTCGATGAAGAGTGGAAACTCAGCAAAAATGAGCCGAAGCCGCGTGCATTGGTTGACGTGAAACCGCTGATTTAGTACAGGCACCCCACGCCCCAGTGAACAAACGTACCCACACTTTCACAGCCAAGACAACCTTGTCTCAAATCGAACTCGTCCTGCACAAAGTGGAACATCGGTCCTGGAGTTCTACGCCGACACAGCGATTCTCAAAAGTAGTGGCTCATCAACCGCGCATTCCACTGGAAAAGAGAGCCCCGCCCCGTCACAAAAGCTGGTCGTTCTTCACTATCTTCCAACAAACTACAACCTTGACCAAGAAAATCATTCCGCGACCGGTAGAGTACAGAATCACAGATCTTTATAGCACTCAGTCTCGCTAACCTTTGGCAGCACCATGGATCCCTTCAACTCTCTGCCGCCGGAGATCCGGCTCAAGATTCTGCTTTTAATCACCTCAAAGTTCTCCATCTCCTCCATCATCCGAGCCTCACCGACGATGCTGCAGCAGTACTTTGAGCGACGAAAGGATATCCGGAAAAGTCTCATCGCTGCTGACTTTGATGAAGAGATGATGCAGGACGCGATAGCAATCATCGAGTTTCCGAGACCAGGAGGGCAAAGGCAAAACCTGCGGCTTGTTCGTGATCACTTGAAACGTTGGCTGGACAAGGACCTTGCCAGTCCGTTAACCAACCAAAATGACTATCTGTTCCAACTGCTGGACGACCTCCATGGCATGCTGCTCCATTTTATCCAGGATTACTGCAGCAAGGCCACAGCGTCCTACATGCCGAGGGAGTACCTATGTTTGCAAGGAGTCCATTCACCGTCGCCGACAGCTCAGCTATACTTTCGCGGCAGGCCCATCATCTCCAGCTTCAATCCCGACACTCTTACCACCTCGGAGTTGAAGCGTTTCTTCAGGGCTTTCTTGTTATATCAACTCAATTGCAAGGTCAACAAGTCGCTCGGGACGTCCCCCAATCCGAACAACCCTCTGAACAACCTCCCCAAACGCGCCATTCACCCGTCCGAGGATGAAGCCATCCGATGTGTTCATACATACGTTCGCTCAATGTATGGCGCCTGTATCGCTCAGCGCGACGATGGCTTCCTTCCAAGCAGTCCCGATGGATCTGCTTTTGAAGCGGCACTTGTCTTCCCAGACAACTTCTGCTTCGACCCTGATCTTTACACTGGAGACAGAGGATTGCGAGGAAACTATCACGGCGATGTCACGTCTCATCTTGCGAAACTCGGTTTAGACCAGATTGCCAAACTCACTCGCTACCGCTTTGGAGTTTCATCGGGAAATACCTCGTTTGACCAAGAGTTTGATAAAGTCTTCGAGTCCCTATCGTATCGAATGGGGCCATATCAACACACCATCACCAGAGTTGAAGCATCTGAAGGCTCTAGTTCACCCACGTACGACCGTATCTCCGCCCGGCTTTCCCAGTCCAGCACGATCCAAGTCCAGATATGTCAGCAGAGGGCTTGGGTATTTTTCGACAACTGTCGACTTTACCCTCCAAGGATTCCTTCAAGGCCTCGCTTCCCGACAGAGAGCTTCCTTTCCCGGGAAGCTGACAGGAAGATCCTCCTTGATGATGTTCTGTGGCCGTACTCAGAGCTCATGAGGAGCGAAAGGCGATCACAGAAATGGCAAGACGAGTATGCAACTCGGAAGAGGCGACAGGCAGATCAGGATCAAATCCTGGAGTTGCGACAACAGTATTCAGCTGTCAAAGGCAAGTATGACAGTCTCCGCGAGACCGTCAGCGGAAATCCAGAAGCGTCTGTCCCGGTATTCGAGGATCCTGAAGTGCTCCGTGAGGAGCTCAAAAGGATGATTGAGGAATCCACACCCTGTGATCTAGCAACTGTGGTCAAGTACGTACGATACGCGCCATCCGACACATATATTGTATGCCGGCAGTCCCCTCGATCCATTGATATTCCTGTGGACTTCGAGCGGTTTGAGGGCAAGACAATGACTCAGATCGAACACCTCATTCGTGGTTACTTATGGTGCCAGGAGGAAGACGAGAATTTGGTCCCAAATGAGCAAATGGATTTTTGCTTCGCGATCTGGTGAGTCAGAGTTGTTGGCTAAGTATGTGTTCCGATGCTATGATGTGTCATGGGCTGTCACACGGGGGGCGAGATGGCACGCGAAGGTTCAAAGTCGTATGGACTGGCCTTGTATTATACTATTGTACGATCAACTTAGAGGGCTATGTGCTGTAACCACACCTTACTCATAATAATGTAAAATGTCATGTACGCTGCCACTGTGCACTGGACTCGTAGCAAATATGACCACCAGAAGGATCGACTATGTGAATTCTCGCGTCTTAGGTCTCCATTATCCAGTGAGCTTCAACGCTCAGCTAACCGATAATATCGGAACCCAATACGGACCAGAAAGGTTATGGATCCACGTCGTTTACTTGCAGCAGTGCCAAATAGTAGAAGGCTGCAGGTTTAAATATCCAAACAATTTATGGCCCATGACCGCTTGGCTCTCACAGAAATGGCTGAAGTATTGACTCGAGGTCTATGAGGCACGATCGAGGCCTGATTCCTACCAATCACTACCCATCTCTTGTTTCAACGGTTAACACCAACTTCATCCCTGATCCCTGCACGCTACCCTGCACATATGATTGATCGCATACCTTGTCATTGGAAAGATTCTCGTTTACAGCCTTGAGTTTGGGTCTGATGGGCGTTTATCGGGAATCTTCCGATTGCCCGAGCCAGGACTCACCAGAAATCCAGCCTGATCACAGAAATGAAAAGATGAGGGCGCGTCGCGAAGCATACGTTAGAGGCTCGCAGATAAGGTTATGTGCGGCAAATCACACGAAGTTTGGCACATGAGCAACATCACCATTAACATGAGATCAGTACTGAGATAAACATCAAATTCCCCTTGTTTGGCTACCCATTATTCAACCAAATACAGTCCTTCGATCCGTAGCATTTCCTTTCCGCGTAATATCCTCCACCCAAGCATTTTAATTATGTGATATCCACCAACAGTTTTTGTCCATCCAAAGGCACATTGGCAGCGGCGAACTGATTGTGCTTGTTTAACATCGTACTAACTCACAACACAGCTCAGTTCTGCGTTCGAGTGTACTCCGCCACCAGATTCTGAGGAATAAATGTCCAGTTCATGGCCAACAGGGAGTCTGGTTCCTTGATGAACTCTGTGCATATGCCATAGAGAACACCGTTTCTCTCCAGGTCCTTGAAGATTGCATCAGGAAGAGGAGACACGGTCCTTTTGCTCCTTAGCTCTACACATTTGCCTGTCGAGACAACAGTGTGCTTGAGATGCGCCTCGCCATGCACGACACCGAGACGAGTGGCAATGAGTTGATGCTGGAACGCGCGTAGCAAATGTCGCATCACCTCCCGCATGTGATCATCGTCCAGGCTCTCAGTTTCATCCTCGATGCGATGGGAAGGTAGCCCGAGGGACATATCCGAGTCACTCAAAGCCTTTTTTAGGTCACGATTTGTTACAAAAAAGTGATCAGCGGCGCCGATGGGTAGTCTCAAATAGCCAGTTGCATCCCAGACCGATTCTAGAGGATAGAGAAGGCTTGCAAACTCTTTCCACCTCACAGCAATTGCCTTCCACATTCCAAGAACTTGCCAGAGATCTCCATGATTAGCGAGATTTGCTCCCCAGCCAAAAACAGGAACGTCAGCCCCAAAGTCGTTTTTGGGATCAATCTGTATAGTCCAGTCTTTCGACACAGTCAGGACAACTGCCAACTGTGCTTTGAGCAACAGGACCTTTTTATCTGATGATGGCAACGCAAAGAAATGCGCTATGCGATGGTCGTAGCCAGTTGTGCGTAGTGCAATTCGATATGTAGCCTCTTCAGTGCCTGTAAATGCAAACCTCGGTAGACGTCCATGGATCACACCCTCCTTTCGTAAAAGGCTCGTTACCTGTGAAATGACTGGAGTTGACTTCATGAAGCATTCCACGACTCGCTCGGGATCAATACCCCAGGTAGACATGCCATAGACGCCACTGATGAAAGCACCAGCATGGTCATTCATGATATGGAGGGGTCTGTAAACAGCCGCGTCTTCATTTGCACTCAGACCCTCACGTCCAGCATAGATGCGGAGGTAAGGAAAGGGGTTGTTCAGCTGGAAGCACCACCACTGCAGGGCATCAAGCTCACTCTGGGTGATTGAGACTTCAGTCTTGACAATCTGCTTGGTTTCCTCATCGAAGACTGTTCTCATGCACCGTTTACCGAGAACGATATGTATACGTTCAAAACCGTTGAGAACATCGGGGATGGGATGTTTCAAGTCTACTTGAATGACTGTGACTGTTCTCCCGAAGCCAGGCGCGCGGTTTCTGAGGCTCCAGTGCATAGTCTCGCCGCTATCAATGACGTTTCTCATCAAAAGGTACTGGTAACGCACATCGTGCGCTAACTGCAACCCTGGGAAGAAGTCTTCTCTGTTGATCGGAGGCACCACCAGGACGGCATTCCTCGATTCAGCATTCAGAGGCGACATTCGAGATTGAATGGTTGAGTATATATGTTCCTCGTGTGTCAAGTCGATAGCCGCGTCAGGAATGAGGTGAAAATGAGTTGGGATAGGCAGCTCAAAGTGTTCAACTGGCTGTTGAGAGCGGAGGCTGACGAGTTCCGATAGGAGACTGTTCCCATAGAAGTTTGAGAATGTCAACACACGGATATTTGCACCACTTGTCTGAGCCATGTCGCATGCCCACTGGACGAGGCCAGTAAGGGCGAGAGCGCAAGCAGCAGACATCCAAGGGTCCAGTGAAAAGGCAATGAACACTTGTTTGGGCAGCACTTTGTCACACTTCCACCAGCGCTCGCCGCCTTCTGCCCAGACATCAGTGTCTTCAGGTGTACCAGGCTCAACCCGACACCATTCCAAAATGGAGCAGAACTCGGCGTGATCGATTGTCTGATCGCCCCACAATAGCATCGGCATATGTTCGTACAAGAAGGATGAAAAGATGCGTTGCTCCTTGCGCGTGAGAACAAAGACCTGTGTAGACTCTGTTGCTTCATGTATAGACGAGCTCAGAAGGTCCACGACGTTGTATTTCGTAGTGAAATATCCAGGCAACGTCAAATGACCAAAGCGGACATTTGAGCGGCTCCTGGGGAGGGAGCAGAACTTCTCGATGATATCATCGAGAATTTCAAACCCGTCGATAGTTGTAACGCTCCCTTCACTCTCGTAGTCGCTTGACATGATGTTAAGATAGAAACGGAAGAGTGGGAAAGTGTGTGTGTGTGAGGACGAAAAGTTCAAGTTTACATGCGCGAAAGATTTTGTTGATGTTGTCCTCAGATTCGATACGGGACGAGGCGCGCAGTGCTTGTCAGTTTGTGCCGGTCATTGCAGTTGGGAGTCACGCACTGGATCCAGGTCCCTACCAGAAGCCAGCCAGGCATGTGGACCAAGTGCTCTGAGCCTGCCATGGTCTCCTACCCCTTCCTCCAAATAACAAGTGGCTCCCGCTGACACTGAGTGGCCTCCCTCAACCTCCGAAAGAGGTAGACACCGCTCAAGAGGTCAGCGAACCACCGTAGCAGCCTACAATTCTTATTAGCGACATTCAAACGGCATTATACTTAGTTTGGCAGACAGAAAGTCCAATCTCAATAAACGTAGCCAGGAAAGGGCCCAGCCTGTTGTAGAGAAAATGCCTCCGCCATGCATCAAGTCCTGTCTCGCGGTTTCGAGATACGCCTCGCTTTGCCCTCTGGCCTGACGGTGTTGAGTTGAACTTGGCAATTGAGCGCCAGACTCATAACCGATCGCAGACTATGCCATTGGTATTCCAGCATATCACGTCTAGTCTCAAAACAAGGTCTCAGCACCGTGAGATCTTTCACCGCAACAGGTTGAATTGTCAGAGGTTGCATCAAGCTAATCGACCTTGCAGAGGGATGGTTAGATATCTTGCGGCTGAATGCTGTGGTACAATGATGTCGTGAGGAGTCAATGTAAAGTGAGATGGGTGACTGAGACACAAAATCATAGAGATCCAGTTTATCGATCTGTCACACCTGTTGAGGAGCGGGCTGTCCACAGGGGACTCTAGCTTGACGGTAATTACAGTCGATTCCTTAGTATACCAATGTAACATCATCTGTAGTCTACATAAACTATCTTACGCCCCCCATCTACGATGAACTGTTATCGGGGTCACAATTCAGAGCAATAGACAACTTCATATTCCCAGAGCTATAATTTCTGTTGCAAGTCTGGGCCTCCAGATCATCGTTCTTCTGTAGGTTTTGGCTGGATTCAAGCATTGGGTCAATAGCAATGGGATCCCCTTCCTCCATCGTCCATCTATCACCCGCAGTCAAATTTCGCCAAAGGGATCCGACCCCTCCAGCTTGCAGCCACCTCAGGGAGTCCACCATTGAGTGCAGGGCCAAGTCGGACCGGGCGATGCATTTTAGTGAATTTAGTGGATGTTTAGCGCTCACTGTCTCACTGGGAGCCCTGAAGTGGACGGGATCCACTTTTGAGGGAGCTCCACTGACTTGGAAAGCTTCAGTGGCTCTGTGCTACGATCCAGCCCTGAAGCGCCCAGGATGGTGAGGCCATTCTGGGCATCCACAGCAGTTGGCTTTCCACTCTGACCCAACTTGAGGACCGGCTCCATCACACGGTCACGAGCAGACCATTTTCAGCCCCACCCACACAAACACATCCCGCAGAAGACACCCCGCTCAACCGACATTTCCCAGACTCCGAAGCTACGGCATCACACAACACAACAAAACCCTTCCCACAAATCATTCAAGATGGCCACCAACCAAGAACTCCCAGTTTTCGACCTCTCAGTGGCTGACTTCAATAAAGTCGGCCCTCGTCGCGCTCATATGGAGCGTTATTTCCGAGCTCTCGGTTTATGGAACGCAGACCTTGTCAAGATGATTCGAGATGCGAATGAAAAGAAGTTCTGTATCAAGCTTCAAGAAAGAGACGATCACGAGGTCGGCCATCTGTACTTCGAGTGTCTCGTTGACTACGGAGTCTGGTACAGCATTGGTAAGGTCAAGTGTCTTAGTCTTTAACTCGCACTGTATTAACCCAATTCTAGTCGCCTATGGCGGACTGTCACAAGATGACCATCCTTGGCCTGTTCCAGAGAGAACCAAACCTCGGAAAAAGGACTATTCCAAAGGCGTCTCTCGATTGTACAAGGGCTGGATTCTTCGCGAAGAATATGTTCGAGAGTCACAGGGAGAGTCCTCCATGGCTCCCAAGTCTGAAACCTCCGCCGCGGATACGGCCACGTCTGGGCCGCAGATTCAACCTGCTGTGAAAGTAGAGACTTGTCAAGAGTCTCTTGCCGTGGCCACCAGGTTCGACCCAGCGCTCCCTTTCGCCTCGCAGGTCAAGCCTGATCCGGCCAAGAATGCTTCTGACAACTTCTATTGAACCCCGATTGTCGGCTGGAAGACACCGTCACTGGGAAGCTCCAATGTACGTTGTCTTCCATACCCATTTGAATCGTCGCTAACCTAATTTGTCATCCAGACACATCTACAGAACTCAAACGATGGAACGGTCAGGATGATGTAATGGGAGATGAGTTGGCGGCCAAAGGGTAGCTGCTTTGACAGAAGAATTGATGACCAAGTGCCTCAAGCATACTTGATGTGGCAATTGAATGTATTCAGAATGTTCAAGGGGCTCCTTTCGATGTAAAACGTCTCAATTATGCTCGTCTGATGTTTGCCTTGTAAGTAAACATTAGTGGTCCATGACATGCTGAGCGCTTCAATCGACATATGATTCAAAGCCCTCAAGTATATAATAGCGCATATGCATTCAAGGCTGCAAAAGAGTAGCCCATCGACCCGTCTCCATCCAACGCCAGGCAATCCCCTATTTCGCTAGACGTCTGAGGTAGTGATGTTCGGTAAGCCTTACTGCCCCAAAGTTGGCAAGTCACTTGGACCACCTTCCTTCGATGACCCTGGGAAAAAGCTTTATGCTTAAACATCGACCAATGGCCACCCATGTCTTGTCCTAATTGGGAAATAAAGTGACTTCAATACACCGTCTTTTGCAACCCCTGATCCTCGTGCTCTGCGGAGATATCTCATGAACTCTTACCCGAGATCTCCACAACGGCTCCGTGGCTTCGGAATGGTCTCCACGATGCACTTGGCGTATTTACAGGAGGGATTGTTCAGAGACAATTCATGGTATCAAAGATCAGAGCTTCTGCTCAGCCTTTCTTCAAGGATGGAAAATCAACTATATGATCCTGGTACTAATGAAATTGGGATAAAGAAACCCTAGAAGTTTAGATATAGTATAAATCGGCCAGGTAACCTGTTTTCAAGTTCAAGGATATCCAGACTCGCGTCCCGCAGCGTCTTTTGCGCTTGCATTATACCTCTATACTAATTACACCACCGAAGAGTGGAGAGGCCGCTGCTTTTGAGACGCGGTGCTTGACGATAGATGCCCAGCGCAGAGGTCAACATGGCGGCCATTGTTCACACCCATTTCGGTGCGGAGAACCAATGAGAGCCTGAGGTTCTGTCACATCCCGATGCGGGCCCGCCATCATCTCTCGGGTCAAACAGCACCCTGCTGTAATTATAGGCGGCATAACCACTAAATCCGCTATAACTGCGGGATCCGCTTTCATAACTCCCGTCTGTCTCAAGCCAAATATCAACCCCCTGTAATTATAGGTACTCTATCCACTAAATCCGCTATAACTCAAAAATTCTGTTGTTCTCTATTACCCTCCACCATTACCATCAACAAACACTACAGACAATCGCAAGTGAATCAATTCTTAACTCGCTTGCTTGCTCACTCGCTGTCATTTACTTCCTATCTCTACAATCGCGTCGTTGTCCTTTTCCGCCCAAGGCCTTAATTGCACCACGCTCAAGGTTGCTTTCCTTGGCTCGTCAGTCTTTCCTTATCAGCCCCAGAACATCATGATCAGTCAAGACGTAACGGATCCAGAAGCCTGCCTCCCATTTCTAATCACTATTCACGCTTGTTGAAGCTCAAATGCGATCAGTCAATTCCATCTTCGAACAGGAAGCCGGATTGTGAGACTCGTACTTAATCCTATATCTTTGTAGACCTTAGCCCTCAATGTATCGCTCTACAGCCGCACTCTTCCATCACACAAATCTAATTGTTCCATATAGCAGCAACTACGCAGGTATGGCTTCACAAGACCAACTACATTGACATCCCTGAGCAGAGCCCGGGCGGTGTTATCTATTGGCCACAAGGCCTTGTTGTCACGGGTTGCATTGATTGTGTCACTGATCAGGCGAGCGTTTTGTGTGAGAGTTGCTGTAATTATCTCGAATAGGCGGCAATAAAGGTCTAGAGTTCCAGGATTCTTCAAAGAGATGACTTTATCTATGCACCATTGCCCTTTCCCTTCACCGTTCATGTCCACATCTCTGTTTTGATTTTGACATCAGGGCTATCGCACACCTTGTGTTCCTCTTCCTCTTCCTCGTCCTCTCGCTCTGGATGCGGATCAACCCCAGCTCGCAAGAGGAGGGCGTTCTTCCCCTTAACATTCTTCCCATTGTGATCTTCAATGGTCTTCTCGACGGCATTCTGGGAGACGGCATTGAAATGCTCCTCACTCACCGCGACCAGCTGATACATCACACGGGTGTATCCTGGTCCTGCCCTATTCAAGAGGTCCTGGGCCTCCTCGTTCAAGCCATAGCCAGGTGTAACTCCCCAACATTGATTGTAGGGTCGTCTCTGCGCGAAGGCATCGGTGTTATCACTTAGAGGTGTGTGGTTGACAATCTTGGCTGCCTTGTTACCCTGTCTGTCTGCCACCCAAATCATCTCAGATGCGGTGGCCGATGGGAGAAATCGAGGTTCCATATTGGAAGACGCAGTCCCTGGGCGGTGCGATGTCTGACTGTTGCGGTAGGCTCTACCACGCCCCAAGTGAGATCCGCCTCGACCGTTACGGCCAGTGTATCCCCTTCGAGTCGATCGAGCGCCTCCACGTGGAAGACCGGGCTGGGGATCAGATCCCTCAACACCAGTCATGTTTGAGTCGCCGACATTGACGGACAACCCTGCTAGCTGCCGAGAAACCTCTGCTTGGACGGCGGCTTTGAAACCCTCCTGATCTGGCGCCTGAATGGTAGGTGCAGCCTTCTCTACGCCATGATTGGGACGTCCTCGTCTTGCGCCGCCTCGATCAGAGTTACCTCGACCAGAGTGGGTGGGCTTGAATGGAGCCATCGTGATTGAGCGGTAAAAGGTCGTAAAAGGTAGAATTAAAAAAGCGTTGTTGTGATGATGATGCTGTTGGTGATGCTTTGCGGAGGTTGTGTTCGAGATCACAGCTCTGAAAATTTCCTTGACCTTTGCGTGTGGCATTTCTGCCTAAGCTATTTCTTTGTCAGTGTGGCTGAATGCCGGCCGTTGGCAGTGCGAGCTGGTAAGGGCTCTCGGGTTATAAAAGTGCTCATTCAAGCACTGTCAGGCCAGTGGATCGGTGAGCTTAGGTGAGTGTCAATGTGTACATGCGTTTGTTAAGGATTATTAAATGGGTATAGGCTTTGTGTCTCGATGTGAAACTCCTGCTTCCTGGTCAATTCTCTCGAGCGCCTTTTATCAGTCACGGTAATGTCTTTTCGAAGACGGGCGGCTTGCTCCAGCTTCTGTAGATATCCAAGGCCAGACCGGTTACCACTTGCAGATCATAGTTGTACAAAGTCATATCTTGACTACGATAATAAGTAAACCCCACAACTCAAACTCGAAGCTAAGCATAGAGGCAACCTTTTGAACACGGAGGCGGCTAGTCAACCTCGCCACCCAAAGACTTACATCAGTGTAGTGAATGAATTCCTGAATCTGGTGATCAGGCCTCGGTGAAAAGTATTTATTTCAGGGACTTCCCTTACTCTTAAACCCCCATGCCCAAGAAAGTCAGTTGAGCCGTCAACCAGAACCCACCAACGACTGCCCTGGCACTCCCTGGCACTTCAAATAGTCAAAGACAGGCGAACCCATTGTCCCGCGGGCAAACTCAAGCTCCGAGGCAGTATGGTTTAACTAATTACGATGGCTATCGATTGGCTCCCAGTCAAGCAGCAGATCAATCTCCAGCAAGATGGTTAAATATTAAACGGGACTGAAGACCCCTCGTTTCTGTCGCCTGGCTTAAAGAGATTATAGAGGCAACTGAAGCTTTTGGATTGGAAAGTCAATTCCTCCTTCCGTATTTATTCCATTATTTGTTTGGAATGTAAACCCTCGCGTACTGCCACTTTACAGTGCAGGCTGCTCGGGCATATCTTTTTCTTCAAGTGTTATTCAAGCACTGCGAGGTCAGTGAACAGAGAGTGGAATGAACTGTCTCGGTAACAGTTTAACTGTTCGGAAACAGTACCAAGAGCAATTGTTCAACTCAAGTCGCCGGGTATTAAATTCTCGCACAAGCGTCAAGGTTAGTTCACAGAACTCAACCAATGGCTCATTTCATGGCGTCGCCAGGCGCCCTGTTGAGAATGAAAGAACATTGGAAGTAGTAGGGGCTTTGTATCTGCCGGCAACCCTTTCGACTGCGTAGAGGAAGATCTACAAGATCCCACAGCCTGAAATCTCGAAAGCGATCAAGATAGAGTACTTGAGGGATATAATCACGAATTGGGTTGACAGGCTTGAATAAAGGCGTCACAAAGCTTGTGTAGCTTGACGTCTCAAATCGCTACGTTAAAGCGCAAGGTTTCGGCTCAAGAATAGGGAGGGTACCACTGCGACCCCAGTCTCGTTTATGCGCGTGGATACCACGCTTGTAGTTTTAACGCAACCAATGGTAGAGCATTGACTGTCTCAATTAGGCAATATCTTAACGCTAACAGAGTTTGACCTACGTCCCTTTAATCCTACCCGAGACTGATATCTGTATTTGCAATCACTATTGCGTGTCAGTCTTTATTTATCTGAAGGGAACTTGTAGGCAACTACGTCTGTCATTATGGCTATTTCCACTTTTCAGACAAGCCCGCTGGATCTTGAATCGTGATCATTTGATGCTTTTTCGTGTGATATCATTATGGTTCTTGGAAAGATAGACAAAATGGGCCAAGACCTTCTCGAGGGCTCTTCGATGTATTAATAGTACGACTGATCACAGCTTAGGACTTGGATGTCAGTTTGCTCAGACGGTGATCTTTTATAAAGAACGACAACGAGAAGATTCCTCAATTATTAAATGATAATGATTTAACACACAGGTATGGTAAGCGTGCGTTACAACATTGTCGGGTTTCACAGAAACAGTCCAGAACAGGCACAATTTAGGCTATACCAAACCTCTACAAATCAAGGAAATGACTAGAGCTCCTTACTGAAGTGCTGTTCTATTGACCTGAAAGTTCACCTGCAGGCGTTGGGCCAGAATTATCAGAGTTTATCCCCTACAAGCATCAAATAACACGATTATGGCCATGCAAGAGTGCGATTACGGTCGATACAACAAGTTCGAGTCGATTACCATCCACTCCAAGATGCCAGGCCCTGCAACAAGTTTGGATCATTGGACGGTAAGCATCTGGCCTCTACCACTGTCTACCACAACAGCCAGACATCGCAGCTGCTTCAGTGAATGATATCCCTTTGACCGATTCTAAAAAGGCTCGCGATATCTACACACCGTCTTCGACTCGTATCCCCGCCTTAAAAGGCGCAAATCTGTGCTACCAGTAGATACTCCTGTTTCCGAGGCTTGTATACTTGAGTCTGTCGAATCACAGGTCCTAAAGGTAAACCAAGGATCTTTAAATGGGACATCTGATAGCTGGTGTTGCCCACGGTGTGATAGATTAACTTCAGCCTGTATTATTTTTCTGAGAAAAGAATACATCTAAACTTCACCTGACATTCCATTTCGCAGTAATTGACATAAGAGTTGGTGTACTCTTGAGGCCGTCGCTTGGGACAGATCTGAGAGGCCCCTGTAAGTGACAGGTAGACTCCCTCAAAGTGGGTACTGAACGTCGGGCCCTTGATCCACCAGTGGGACTGGAATCCAATGTCCCATAAAGCCCCCGCTGTAGTTTTAGGTACCGTAACCACTAAATCCACTGTAAGGATAGGTAAGCTGCTCGAGTGCGGACATGTAGGCACTCAGGCCGCAAAAACCACCCGACATTCACTCCTCATCGCCAACCTCATCTTTCACTCCACATCAAAGCGACACACGGAAAGCAGTAAGCACTTGAACCTTTCTAATGTCTTTCCAGGATGTCTTACTGACACGTTAAGCTATTATCGCAGCACCATTTCGTCCCTTCCATAAAATGAACAACCCGAGCTATAATCCGCAAGCAGACAACCGATCTCGTAGTCCGAGGGCTCTCGACTCTAATAATGCTGCCGCCCGCTTTCGCTCTCGCACTCGATTGACTCACTCGGCTCAGTCTGATCGAGACTTCGGTCCTGTCGACAAAGACTGTCCTCCTGTGGACTCTTCCCGACACTCGAATTTCGCTGCTAACCGTCCCCCCAATCAATACAACAGAACCCATGGGACACCGGACAGTGGGCACCAGAAAGACCATGCACATTTCTCGACTCAGGACATATATGTGCCTGGGGGTACTGAGGCTGAGGTGCCAACACGAAGATCCCTGGCGCCCCTTTCGCTTGGAGGTCGACCTCCGCTTGATCAGGCCCTGGCTGTGGACGACCATGAACAGGTCCGTCGTAATGTAGCGACACTCGGCGAGCAGCTCGGTGCAGAAAAGGCTGAGCGGTGTCGTCAGATTGAAGAACTCAAGGTTCAGCAAGCTGAAAAGTTCGAGGTCATTAAGCGCCGAAACGCCGATGCCATTGCGACTATGAAGTCCGAGCATGATGAGGCCATTGCTTCTTTGAAGACCAAGTTTGACGATGATCTCCAGGCTCTAAGGTCACAGTATGCAGGGAGACTTGGAGAGGTCGATGCTCAGAACACCCGCGCCAATGACACTGCGACAACCCAGGCGCGTCTCATCGATGATATGAAAATACAGTCTATCATATTCTCAACACACCTGGCCATTCTTAACACTAAACAGTCTGAGACAGAGCGTCGGTGTAATGAGCAGGCAGGCCTAATCAAGACCCTCCAGGAGGAGAACGAGAGACTCAGACAGTCCGCTCCTGAACATACATCGACTGTGTTTGATGAATGGTCACAGGTTGATGTAGCCGCCGGCAATGGTTCCTCTTGACAGGCTGGAACGGTGATGGGTGCCATGGAGAGAGTGTCGGAGAGAACAAGCCTTCCCAGGGTCCAAGGAGGCTTCACGGCCACAACTATCCCGTCTGTCACAGGGTCAACCACAGCGCAAATCAACCATGTCCTGAAGAGGGAGGACTAACTATACTACTTAATCATGATGGGTATCATCCAATACAGGATACGTATTCGTTCTGTTCTAATAGCTATGTAGAAATTGAACTATGTGTGGAATTATGAACTGCTTGATTGTCTGATATGGAGGATGGGCCACAGCAACCCGCCATGTTCGATGTGCCTTAAAGTGAGATCCTGCGCTGAACGTCCCGCCTTTGTCCAACGGGTTTTGCGCTGCTGGCGGGGAGGTCAACTCCTTCAGTGCCCTGAAAATTTGTGGCTCCTGTGCTAATTTCTGGGGGCGCGGGGACGAGACCAGCCAACTTCCGGTACGTACCTAAAGGTCGCACAGTGCAATCAGGCCGGCCTCACACCCACTCAGCCCGACCAAAAATTACATCTCATTATGCACTTGCAACAACAGGCACTCATTGCTTAGCTCTTCATCTTTTGATTTCAGTTTATCGTGACCACCCAAACCCAAAAGACGGTATCTACGAAATCCATCCACCTTGCCCTACGACTCTCCGAGCTCGAGCACCGCGAGCACCAACCTGTTCAAGACTACAACGGCCGAGTTCATGAGACCGTTGAACAAGCCATTGGCCGTTTTTGAAGCAGAGGTTCACCACAAAGGCACGTTGATCATGCCAGATTCACCAGCTCACATCTAATTCCAACTCGGTCCTAAAACAAATTCCACCAGACTGCTGCCAGTAAGCCTTGCAAGAAATCGAGATAAAACTGAATCCAATCGTCGAAGCCCCCCGTATCCAGGAACAATCTTTAAATACCTTGACCCCTTTTCTGAAGAGACATCTTCTCCTCCAAATCGCTACTGAACAACCAGATGGTGAATGTCACCGTGTGCTTGGATTCAATGACATTAGTCTGCTCTCACCCAGAAGCGCGGTACCCCGATTCCACACGATCGACCTGAGCACGGACGTCTGCAGCAGACGTTGCCGGTGTGAGACGAATGATTGACCCCTGTAGTGTGAAGCAGAGATTATCGGCGTTGCAGGCAGATAATCATCTGGTGAAGCTTGAACTGGCGGTCCTTGCAGATGAGAGTGAAGTCGCTTTCGGACTGCATCAGATGTGAGAGAACGGAATGAGGCTGAGGCGCCATCGCGAAGGGTCTCCTCGTCAATTGATGAGGCGCGGTGGTATGTGAAACGCACTCCGCCTGCCCCTGTCTCATGTTCCCTTCTGCCCGTCCTATCTGTCGCCTCTCGCTCTCTCCTCCCTTCCATCCTTCTCTCCAGACTCGTGATCTTTGCTTCTCGTTGCAAGCTACCTTGATGCCTCTTCGGGACCGGTAGAAGGGTCTGAAGGAGAAACGTCGCTTTCGCTCCAAGCCATTTGGTGACAAGCTTTGCTTCAAGTTTCGAATTGCCGTTCTTCTTCATTCGGTGAGAAGCTTTGCTTCACGTCGCGGTTGACCGGTTGATGCTAAATGTAGGTGCTTGAGAAGAAAGGACAGAGAAGCTGCGAGCCTTCGGACTGTCTTCAAGTGGTTGACTGGGGACGATGAATGCAGGTCTGTGAGAAAGAATGGTCAGCGAAAATGTACTGGCCCCATGAATTGTTTGCGGCGAGTGATCAACAGGTGTACAAACTGAATGAGTCTTGGCTAGAATGCACCTCCGCATAACTCCGGCAGTAGCATAGTAGGATAGGGTCAGGATTTGAAGCGGCTTCATTTGAGCAATAGGGTCGTGTCGGGTACTGCTCGTCCGCGTGGGTAACGAGGTGCTCTACATGAAGCACTTTTCTCACAATGACGCTCTTTTGTAAAGTTCAGCATCACCAAGTTTGTCGTCGGGGGGGTCTTATACGGAAGCGTTATTGAAGTGATGTGGCGGACATGTCGCATTCCATCGTCGACAAATGAGGGCGAGCGTAAACAGCTTGTGGTGCCTGGAACTCAATGGGCCTTTGATACGAGAGCCATCGACCTTGATAACCTGCAGAGCTGTGATTTGATGGTAAGTCGTGAGCGCGGACGACAGAGTCAGAGATTCAGCCCCTGCAAGGCTAGGTGTACAAACAACTTGCTTGAGGGTATCATGTTCGCCCCAGGCAGCACAAATGGTTTGCGAGCTTTGGGGGCAGCACTCGCAAGGTCGAATGGAACACCGAACACATGACAAAGAAATGTCAGAGAAAGATTCGTTGGCCCCATGCTGCCAGTCGGTTATGGTCGTACAGTAGAATGACAAAGAGTGGGTGCAGGAGTCGCAGGAGTCGGAGGGGTCGCGGGCACCAATACCGTTGCTAGAAGTTAATGTCCAGAGGATCGTGGATACGGACGGATCGGCATCGACGACATCATGGCATGGCCCCAACGACACCTTGAGTGCACCGCGGAGGCTGGAGCTGTGTGCGTCTTAGATGCCCCTGGTCAATCATGGGAGTCTCAGTCTCAGGCGTTGTGGGCTGAACGTAAGAAGGCTGTACGGGCTGTCGGGATTGGTGACATACAGGCTTGCCTGCAGTGATGTTTATGAAGCGTTCTGGTTCATGCAAAGTGGCGATACCTTGCTCCGGGGATAACGAGGTGGGATCTGAAGAATGGTGTGAGTCTATACTCATTGAAAAGGCTTCTCAACTTGGATCACGAACCTGATCACCTCATCGCTGGGCTTGGGGTTCCTGCCTGTCCGTTCTCACTTCACGATGTGATGGGAGCGAGGATCTCAATGATTCCAGTGGGAAGGTCATGTCATCAACAAAGAGAAAAGGTGCGGGTCATATCCAAGACAATTGTAAGGCCGTGGCAATCCGTCGATGTCGCGACCTCGGTGCTGAACTGCTGATGGATGATCACTCGTTCGATTGGCGTATCAAGGCGTGGAAGGGAGAACACAATCGTGCGGTACAGCCGAACCGGTCTCAATAACCTGGGTCCGCACCCCCTGGCTCTCACTCTGACGTGTCAAAGAATCGGTGTGCAACATTTCACACTTCGCGGCCTGGATCCGCTGTGGCGTAAATATGATGGGGTTGATGAATTCGCCATCGCAGGGCATCGTCTCAATCTGGGAAATGTCAGATGGCGGAAGTGGAAAGGATGAAAAGGCCTCACAAGTAAAATGTCATAGGTCGGAAGGGCATTGAGATCTGGAGGAATAAACCACTGTGGGGCGACAGGCGAGTGTGTCGCCCATCTCGGATCCTCATCCGGAACCACAAAGCTTTGTCGAGACATCTATTGGAGCTGCAGAGGGGATGGCTGGTTTGAAACCGCGGGAGGTGCCGACAGGGGAATCGACGGCAAGGGTTTGCAGGAGTAGAGAGGAGATCCGATACGGAATCGGGGACGAATGAGGCTGGATGTCCGGGCTTGGAACCCACGAAACCTTGAGTTCGGCATACATTTCGGTGGAGTGGGAGGGGGTGTCGGCAGTTGAGAAGGAAGTCTGATGTGTTTGAGTGAATGTAAATGGGAAATGCGTGGCGACAGGATGTGTGATCTTGGCGGGCACTGGGCGGTAGATAGCAGGAAGTTTCTGCGGTCGACATGTGCATCTGTCGAAGGGATTGTGCCAAACCGAATTATACTTCCGGCAGGGCCATGCCTCTGTCGGCTCGCGCCAGTCCCGTCTCTCGATTCTTCAGCGACTATGGCTGGCCGGGGAGGGTGCGTGGGTACCAGAGGGCTCTAGCCTTGGCTCAGGAAGCCTCTTAATATCGACGGCGGTCGGACCTTGGCACGAACAAGTGAGAGACTGATATGTGGTGTTAGATAAAAGAGACTCTTGAACTCGGACAAACTTACCAAAGCCCTGTACCGTTGGGTTGGAGGTGAAGTCTCGGCTTCAGCCAAATTGAGAAGAAATCGAGGGGATGGCGTCCTGAAGGCTTGAGAATGTTCGAGGCATATGCGACATCATCAGAAGATATCGTCATGCACAGTGCGTCCGCAGTCTCTCTGGGAAGTCCCTTTGTCGCCCGAGTCATCGACGAATGTGTAAATGTCGAACTTCAACGACCTCCATCTTCAAGCCAAGGATTTGGTATGAGGCATGATTGCGTATTATGAAACTGACGGTGGAGATATTGCCACAGCAGGCGTCAGAAGGTCAGATGAAGGCGTCGCGGTGGTGGGAGAGGAATAAGCGCCCTCGGTCGAGGCTTGTCGATTAGAGTAGCTCGGGCATTGTCCTTGGGAAAGCCTGGCGCTCAGCTTCTTGATTAACGCGTTCACGGCTCGATGCGACCACAGTGTAATGACTCACCACCCTCTACGTGGCGTGCCAGCGTATGAAGCTTTGCCACGATCGAAGATAACAGCAACTCAGAAGTCACGCCAAGATGGATGGCGCACCTCCCGGATTGTGATTGGAGTGCGAGAGACACGTGTGCGGGAGGTTAATGGTATGCTTCTTTCGGGACCAATAGCAGAGGACACGATGGCCAAATCGGGAATGTGTCGCCGTGGCTGCTCGGTGCAGGGAAGGAACGGTCGGACAGCGGCGGTGGCGTGCGCCAATTGAATGCCCAAAGCTTGTTCTCAGGTTCTGTAGTATTGAACACCCGGATTGCCAAGGGCATGTGATCTGTCGAGACTCGGAGTGTTCGGTATGTTGTCGTGGTTGCTGGGAGCATCGTTCTTGGACAGCCAGGGCACAGTGACAATCGACGATATGCTGAATCTCGCGACTGACCCTCGGAATGGAGAAGGGAACGCGACCGGGCTTGAAGTGTTGCTTTGAGAGCGGGCCGAGTATGGTCTGCGCCAGTAGTCAGGTACGGGAGTCGCCAAGTGTCGACAGACATATTGGGCCGGAAAGTACTTCTGGGAGACCATCAGTGAGAGAAAACTGTCCTGACAGTGTCCATACCTCGAATCATGTGCGAGCTTGTGAGAGTTTGAGACAAGCGCCGATCCGCTGTTCAGATCGTTGAGGCAAAGGTGAGGGCAATAGTACGAGGTGAAGCTCATGAAAGGTCGGAAGAAAACTCAACAGCTGTGTCAAGAATAGAAGAGCACTCATTGGTGGATGGCTGAAAAGTGGACAAGCGTGCGATCGAGTGGCAGAGCGATTTCTGTGACTAGATTGGGAACGGCAACTGCTGATGGCTGAGGGATCTTCTGTTGGCGATTTACGATGCGTTCGGGGGTTCGGGTTGATCGGTTCGGCTGGTGATACGGTTGTTGGCGAAGGAGTTGGGAAAGTTGGAGGCTCAGGCATTCGTAGCCGGATTGATCTCATGCGACCAGTCCAACGGGAAACCCTTCAGAAACTTCGTCATCGGCGGAGAGTGAAGTCTGAGTCGGTTCAAAGACGATTGGCGGGATGGTGCGGCGCCTCGACAAGTGCTGCGAGAATCATGGATGGGTCGCCGTTTGGAAGAGTGGTCTTGTACAAGCTTGGCCTTGTTGACAGTATGGTTGCATTTGGGATGACAGGAGTTGCGGAGCGCATGAGCAGAGCCTGTTGTATCCTATCGTCCGCATGGGAGTTCATTGCTGGGAGTCAAATCGATGGCGATGGTCAAGAGATTCGGCGAGCATAGATTGAATCGCAAGTGAAAGAGGAGAGAATTGACATCGGAATCGTGTCTGCCGCGATAGGCGGTGGTGCCTGCTTGTGTCACCCAGCTGTTTGCAAATCGAGTGACAGCCAATGATGCCAAGTCAGACTAAAGGCCGGCGAAGGGCGAGCATGGGGAGTGAATTTGGCGGGTTTGGTCGATGGCGATGTTTCATATTGCACTGAGATCTGTGTCCTGGTGTGGTGATGGGACGGGTGACCAAGATGAAACCGAGTGGCGGCGAAGGAATCATCAAAGGGAGGGCTTTCGGGGCGTGTGTACAACTGATTGAAGGGGATGTTGTCAGCCGCGATCTGCAACTCAGTGTCGTGTATCGGAGGTTGAGGCGCGATGGATGACGCCATTCGAAGATGTTTGAGCAGCTGGCTTGTCTCGTTGGTCAGCTGGAACATGCGAGACGTTGAGTTGACAGGGTTCTCTTCGTGCATGGACCTGTAGGCACTGAAGTGCTCCCGTTGCGTTCAATGCCACGCGTGGTCGGCTCGATCTTTGGTCATGCCTATAGACCTTCTCTTTTTCCATGACCTCATGAAGCGCTGCCTCAAGATGATGCGAGCTGTCGACATCTACAGCGCCATCGGAGGAGCTCGGGTCCTCCAAGCTGTCGACCTCGCCGTGATGAATGGACGCCAACGAGTAGGAGTGCATCTTCGGTGGACCCTGGTCGATGCAGCAGAACACCTTCGTGCTGGTGCGAGATGGGAAGCACTCGTCACTTGCTAGTCGTGTTAGCCGAGAACGTTGATATGCCAAGCACGTATGGCGATGTTGATGCTTGAACACACCTCTGGGAATTAAGCGTGGTTTGTTTGTAGTGAAGCGTCGCGCAAAATGTGCCCATGTTCCTTGCGATTCATCGCGACTTGAAGCTTGATGTCGGGAATGAGTGAGAACAAGTCTCTGCTCCTCACTGCGATTTATGACCTCCTCATTCGTCGTGAGCTTCGAGCGCGTCGCTTTCGTGGACAGTTGGCGCGCTTGATCCATTCAGACACTATGAGAGCGGCTGGCATTGTCTCAGGTCATCGTAGAAAAGTTTGACGAATTCGACTCATGTGGCGGGCTTCTGTTGTATTGTTAGCATGTTCGTGACTACGGTGTCACAATCAGCTACCTGAGCACTGTCGCACGGATTGCTTTGAAATTCACGGCGTCGCAAAGGGCTTTCCTGACACCCCAGGTACAAACATGCGTCGTGTCGTAGATCAACCATATGAAAACAAAGCTGGCGAACGTAATTGAAGGGTTCGACTGACAAAAGTTGCTGTACCTTCCTTGATCAAGCGTGCGACGCGTGAAAACGTGACGCGCCAAAACAAATTGTGGGCCTGTTGATCTGGGATAGTGGGGACTTGATCTTGATGGTGCAGGGTAAGATCAGCCATTACCTCGAACTTGGTGATCATATAGCTGTATCATAATTCTGGGGCGTTCTGGATGACCTCTTCATTATAAAAAGAGCAATTGACACGTTTATTGAGGGTAATATTGACTAAAATCGGTGCAAACGTGACTGTTCCAATCAGTCAGGCTGATTGGAAAGAAGTGTCGGCAACTAGAGGTTCAAAAAGCTTGACGATTTATGAGCTAGTTGTGAAATTCACTTCCATTGACAAAAAGTTTCAAACTTCAAAACAATCTATTATTTATAATCAAGACTAAGCCATGAATTAAAACATGGCCTTGACATGGTTCAGGCGTCAGTCGTGGCCATCCTCACGAACAAGTCTCAAAGTCTAGCCACACTGGGAGAGAGAGTAGGGTCCAAACCGCACCGTGTCTCCCAGAACCACCCTCGCAGGCCCCCGTCGAGGACCGATCTTCCCTGGTGTTCTTCTTACTGGTGGCGACACGCACGGCAGCGTAGAATCTTGGGATAAGGACGCCCCGGAGATCCTCCACCTGCATGTATGCCTCGGTCTCAGTTTTGAAGTGTTTGTCGGTATATCGCCAGAGTAGAGCTTCGAAACGGGCAACTTCATCCGGCTCCTCTCACATACGGCTTGCAGTTCGAGGGAGTAAGTCAGGTGTCGAGTCATCGGATCCCTCCCGAGAATCAGGGCACTGTCGGGATTTACAGGGGCGAGCGACCTGGGAGGTACAGTAGAAGTGATTCGGGAGTGATATTGGGCTCTTTCTCAGGCAATACGGTGCTCAAGTCGTTGAAATATCTGCATCTCCTGGGGAAGCTCCTTTGGAGCAGTCTGTGGCACCGGAGCAGCACCTCAAAGGCGATGAAGGACCGTTGACCATTGTTGGGATGGCGGAGAATCCTGCTTCTTGCGATCCCAACTGCAAAGATTTGCGACGTCGACTGCACGTTCCTTCAGGGACAGGTCGGCTGGGTCCATCTACAATTCGTTGTCTGTCACTGAAAACATGAGCTTTCCATCCAGACCTTCGAAGGCGCCGGGAAATGCTTACCTAGTGGCCTTGAGTTTCAGTCGTGAAGAGAGAGCATGATATGCGCAAAGCGTGGGCTTGCCTCGATCATGGAGCGCGCAAGTTGGTCGAGCTCAGCACCTTCTCGAGTGATGCCGACGTAGCCACCACCAGCGGTAGGGAGCGACGGTGTTGTTGTTCTCGTTGGTAGACATTGAACTGACATGGTGGCTGTTATGATAAAAAGGAATAGGAGGGCTTGGGCGACGTGATACTAGCAGAGAGAGTTTGGTGATGTCGGTCGAAGGGGATAGAGATCAAAGGACCAAGGAGACATCGTGAACTTGACCTGCGTAAGCGCCAGTCTCTTGTATGTTGCGGTAGGCATCAATCTCACCACCAGACGTGACAGAAACGATACCAGTCTGGTCACCAAGATCACGAAACAATTGTCGCTCGCCGCTCATGTGGTCTTTCAAATTGCTCTCATAGCATTGCCGTCGCAGTTGCCCGGCTGCTTCATAGGGAAATTGTGAAGCCCGACCAGCATAGCTTGGTGGACCTGACTCATGCTCAACAGACTTGGCTTAATGAGAAGCTTGGGATCCTCACAACCGTCGTGGAGGCAGGCATTGCGCGTTTTGAGTTCTGGGAATATGTGGCTTGTTTTCTGTCGCCTTGTTTCTTCGGCTGAGTAGGGGGCGTCAGGGCGTCCAGGAATGGGGTCTTCAAGGAAAGCTCTTCGGAATACGCGCTGGGCAGGAACTTCAAAGGGTCAGTCTATAGATCAGATGGTGGCTCTAGAATCAACGGGTCTTCCCAGACCTACCTGAGTGTCTCCCGACCATGTGCCGGCTCGGGAAATTACGTTGCAGATGAACAGTAGTAAGAGGGTAGCCTGGAATCGGAGCGTGCCAATCATGCAATCGGCTTTGACTACAAACACGTGGTAGAAGACATCATGGTGGTATAGCAACTTTCTGTATGAGGGCCGCCTGTGAAGGAAGTACAGAGTCTCATGCATTCGACCAGCGCGCCCATAAAGTCGTAGCGAAGCGAGAAGCGCGATGAGTCGGTAGAGTTGGGAATAATGCTGAAACAGGGTTGTTGGTCAGATGGTTATTGTTTGATGGTGGTATTCCTGAGGCGGTGCTCGGTGGATGCCCAACGCATAACCGAGGTGACTGAGGCGCTTCGAGCAGGCGTTGACTGTATGCAGTACTTGACTCCTCGGTTGAATGAGTGCCTGGCTCATCTCAACTCTGGAACTGCCAGGATGACGTGAATTTTGAGGAGCGCCGTCATGCACGTCGCCGAGCAATTGCACATAGGGGCGCCAAGGATGGGTGGCAAGTATCGTACAGAGTGACCGCTGTGCTCGCTTTCAACGGGAAGCTGGGGCCTTTGGTGGATGAGAGTGTCGCAGCAGCTGATGCTTGGTCGAACAACTGAATCGGCCACGGGTCTGTCCATGCGATGATGCTGGCAGACACATCTATGACCATCATCGGGACCACCAGGCCCACTCAATGTAGCGTAGCGGATGACCTTCACATCGGAAGAGGCAGGGAGCTAGACCTCACGAGCAGCGTTGAGACGGTGCGCTCCATTCGGGTCATATCTGACAGAGCGCTCACCGAACGAGGATGACGATTGGTCGAGAAAGCCAGAATAACAGAGGCCAAAATTGAATTTTTGACGGGAGAGTGGTGTGCCTGAAAAGAACAGCGCTTGGCGAGGGCTATGTATGCATCGTGGTGAACGAGGCGTAGGGACCCAGCATCAACCGTCTTGCAGTCTTGGAGTTCGATGTTCCACTCTCTATACGATGGTCCGGATGAGATAGCCGGTTGACTGACGAATTGGAGGGACATGGTGACGAGAACCGAAGGAAACATGGTCGTGATGTTACCTTAGAGGGTGACGGTCAAGGAGCTTTCGCATACTGATCGATAGGATTGAAGTTGAGCTGGTGCGCATCGTAGATGTCTTTGAGGGAAATGCTCGGTGAGTGCCGGTCGGGGTCAAGAGAGGAGCTTGGTTTCGTTCGAACGATATGTCGGTCGGTGTACTGAAGGGTAACGCCGGGGAAGCATCTGAAAGCAAGTTAGAATGATCAGCCGCTCCAATGATGCTGAAATGAGGGACGTGGGATGAGAACACGCGAAACTGACCTGAGGATGCCAGAAGACAGGTAGCGTCAGGCACTTCGCCTGGAGCATGTCGATGGTGGAGAGCTCACTGCCCTCTTCTTGAGTTTCGAGAGATACTGAAGACATAGACATTCCCCATGGGTAGTGGCAAACGTCAGTCAGCTGTGTCGGTCGCGGGTTGAGCTCTTCGCATCTGGTCAGTCACCTTGGATGAGGCTCCTGTTGTGAAGTGTGCGGCCAACCCAACGGTTTGCAGGTCTTTTTGCGTTCGAGAATGAGGGCGGCGTGAGGCGATGAGATGATGTTCAGCGAGGGCAAGGATAAGTCTGAGCAGAACACGGTAGGAACATGATCGGGTTAGGCCACAAAACGGTTGGAGCCTGAAGATTGTCCGAATGTATTTCTTGTTTTATCGCTCGCTTTTTGAGACATCGTGATTGCGGCGTTTGTCTCGGTTGGCCATTATCCTTTGTTCTGGAGGACTGATGGTGAAGGACAGGACCGTTGTTGATCGCTAGGTGACGCGAAATAACGCGTCGGGTGTATCTGGGAGCCCGTACCAAAAGACGGCATCATGACGCCGATCGGTCTTGACAGCATCTAAATAAGTTTGGTATATATCGCAGTAAGATGAAGAAATGGCTTTTTGCCAGGTTCTCTGTGTTGTACGATATGCTGCTTCAATGAAAATCAAACAACTGTACTGGTCAAACTGCTCCCCACGTCATAGTGTTTGTTTAATAATGTCGGCTCATTATGGAGGCTTTCAGGTCAAATCGTCAATAAGAGAGTCAGAAGTACAAACTGAGTATCAAAAGCTTCACAAAGAAGCAGCGAGTTTAGCCACGGTATCTATATCACAAGTTATATTTCCGATAAATAAAGAAATACCTCTTTGTCAATAATGTATGGTCAGAGGTGTGAGCTTTTCGTACCCTATAGCTTCGAAACGTGGGACTCCACAAATTCCCCACTTCCCCAGATCGATGCCAGATCGGAGCCACGTTTGTTTCGCCCCACATCCTTCTCACCTGTCAGTCATGGGCAGGCACCCTTCGACGAACCGACTAACGAGGGTACTTAGGTTTGGCTTCAAGTACAAAAGAGTTCATGTACGACAGAGGCTGAGAGTTGCGGGCATGGACTGAGTGTTCAACTTGTTCCTTCGACATTTGGAAATTCGTAAGACGGGCTTGCTCCCTGTTCCACTTCGTTGACTGTATAAGCATGTACATACCTGGATCATATGACTCTTCATACTGGAATGTTTACTACCGAGAGTACATGATGTCTAAGAAGAGAACAGGCACCATTTGCCATCCGAGAGACTTTAGGTGCCCCCGCTGCCAACCTCTCCATGCCCACAGAGAATCCACCAAAAACAGCCCGCCTGATAGTCTACCTACAGCCACTAAATGATTTGGTCACACTCGCTGGAAATGCCACCTCGGGCGGGCCAAATCCGCCCACTCACTGAGGTCGTCACAGTGCTTCTTGAGAATGGCTCGCATTCCAGATACTCGAGATTGAAGTCGCGATGAGTCTTGATTGATTGTGAGGATGAACAAGGTCAGTAATCACATAATACATTGGACAGATCAACGAATTCGTGTTGAAAAACGGTCACATACACGAGACACGACAAAATTGAGTTTGTTGGCATTCTTGACTGTCTGACCACACTATCACCACCATAACCCGTCGCGACAGTTCGCTGTCGCATCGACGGCTCAGCTACCATCCAACTTCATTTGATTCCGTTGCGGCAACACGAGGATCCGTATTTACAACAGGTTGTGGCGTTCGAGCGTTCCCTTGAGACATTTGATGACCTCGTCTTTGTATCGAACTTCGGCTTCCAGCAACTTGTTCTTGGTTTCCAAGGCCTGCTTCTCTCGCTTCAACCGGGCGCACTCCTCTGCTGGAGACTCCAGTCGTCGGAGGAGCAGCTTTTCACTCGATGTCGCAGAGGGGAGTAGTCCAAGAGCTTCCGCCATCCCAGGGGGAACACTACACTCATAAGCCATCGATGGTGCTGGAACGCTGGGATTCTGGGAGGTTGTCTGCGCACTGGGCTTGTCAGTAACATTCATGTTATCTGTAGGAGCTTACTTACCGGCGCTTGATAACGGCGTCTCCGTCATCCGAAGCAGGACGTTTACCAGCGGGAGTCTGAGTCGGTTCCATCCTAGGAATATGAGAAAATGAGTGATGAGGCGGTAGGGCAACTTACTCGTCGTGATTTGTTGTGTGTGGGAGTTGGGAAATTTGAGAAGTGGGGGGAATGGCCGGGTAGGGCAAACTCATCCATTTACTGATACGGTCACGGATGGCCCCAGCTGCCTGTTGACAGGGCCTTACAGTACCTTTCAGTGGGCTACCCTCTATAATATGCTGACGCTAAGTGCCGTGGCTCTTTGCTCACTGAGTCTGAATCAAACAATAAAAGTCTTGTCGCTTGCAATAAATCAGAGACATTGGCCTGGTGAATCGATTCTGGTCACCTGGCTTGTTTTTCCTTTTTGTACTTCGCTCTGAAATTCACTTTGTTTCCTTCTCTTTACAAACCACCATCAAACATTCACCAAAATGGGCAACGAACAATCCACCATGCAGGCATCTTAAGTCAATGCAGCAGACTCGGACCAGCGACGGGCTTATCTATTGACATTTGTTCATATGATGGGAGGCAACTATGTCGAGAAAGTCATGATTGAATATTTGTTCGCAGAGGAACGGGTGTGCGACAGGCTCAATGAATTTGGCATCGTGCAGGTCGGCACCGTTCACTTCGAGTACCAGGTTGACCGAGCTACTTGGATCAATCTCTGTAAGTTAAAACCCACAGATACTTATGTGCATGCTGAAATTAAAGTTCGCCGTCTTCGCGACCAGGCTCCCCTTTTGCCTTTTGAAGAAGGATTGCAGTGGGGACGGCCTTTACCTCCGGCCAGGACCGCCGACGGGCACTCTGAGCCGAACGACAGCCGCATCGAACAACCTCGGGTTTATTGGACTTCAAGATAACGCCTCGGTCAGAACATATTCCATGAGATTAAAGAAGATGCACGGAAACCTCTCAGCCTGCACCCTAAAGAGTCTATCGATTGTCCCAGAAGCAAGATTGGTCAAAAGTCAATGCAGCGCACTCACTGAGAACCTGTGTTCGGGACAACTGCAAAAGTAGCCACGAAAGTCTCCTCTCATCCGATTCGGCCACCGCACAATCGCTACGAGAGAGGCCTCATGAGAAACGAGAGCGTGGTGAACGGAACCAATCACATGCCCACAAGGTCGAAGGTCGCGTGCCATCACGAGCTCTGGATTCTCATCTTGTTATCATTGACTAGACTGCAGACTATAGACTCGCTCCAGAACCCGAGAAAAAGGCTCCACAGCACAATCAGCGCGAGACGAGGGAAGAGGAAGACCACTAGCGACAACAACAAGATATACAAAGACCGTCAAGGTTACAGAAGACTGCAGACCAGATTGTCTACCAGATCGTATCCCACAGGTCCATCGCCAACTACTACAGTATCAAGAAGTCGGCAAAGCTCTCGACCCGCAAGATCGAGCTCATTCTCAAGAAGGAGCTGGACTTCCACATCATTCCTCTGGTCATCACTGCAGACAGAGATTCCGACATCCGCTCCGTCATCGCGTCGGCTACTGGGGGTTGTTCAGAGTTCTGGCACCCAAGAACGAGACGTGCTTGATTACACGCTTCACCATCCATCGTCGAAGTTATAGCAGGATTCACGTACAAGTCAGTGCATCTTTAAAACAGAACTTCTGTCGGCGAAAGGCGCGAGCGCAGCGAGGAAAGGCCCTCCGCCAGGAGCCACCGGAGGTATTTGGGGCCTGTGGCATTGGCATGAGGTGTGTTCAGAGTCGCCTGACTGTCGCCGCCAAATGTAATGTCGGCTGTATCGGAAGAGGAATGAGCGGTAGGATGAGGAAAATCCAAATGACGACCATTAATTGCGGGTTCATTCATCGCGGATAAACAAAGACATTGCGGTCATGGGTCAACGCGACAGTGAGAGCTTCATCTCCCGGTAATCCTTGCATGTCCGTCTCAAGAGAGTCATCAATTCTTAAGTGTAGAGGTGCTGCAAAAGAAGCTTAACACCTTAAATTGATCTTAAAAGTATAGAAAAGCTTAGAACATATAAATGATCCAATGTCTACCACTCTTGATGATACCACGTTGTGATGGGGCACCATCGTCCAGGTGAGGATCCCGGGCTTGAACAGTCCTCGGGGGCAAGAAAACAGCAAACCTTACTGTATGGTGTCAAAATAAACTTAGTAAAAGTCATCATAAACTTAATCTATTTTAACCAAGTCTTTTTATTATTTAGGACTGAGGTCCTGTATTTTCTTTCCTCACATCGACAGTCCCAATACAACACAGCAAGCCCCAGTTGAAACAGTGGATCTTCAGCGGTTATAGAGGGCAACCCACTGTAACCCGCCGTGAACAAGCGTTTGCCCGCTAGCAATGGTTACACAGGTCACTGAAGCAATTCGTTTCAGTTACCTTCTCCCGGAACTCAGTGTCATCATTTCTCCAGCAGTCCAGGAGGGGAAATTGTGTTTGTATTAAGATTTGTTCACATTACCCAATTGAGACAGGATGCTGATCGCTATTGGACAGGTGTTTAAGCATAAAACTTTGTTTGGCGATCGGCAGGTGTCTGCGCAGGAGCTGCTTCCTCGGTTGTCTCGACTCGCAGTCCCGGGTGTCCCGGGTGACGATGGACAAGGGAATGAAGGTATGAATTGGAGGCGGTGACATGAAGCTTTATAAAGGAGAAACTCGTAGGTATAAAGTGACACTCGGTACAAGAGGGCAGACTTTGAATCTGGCACGGGTGCTATGCCTGAAAGTCATGATAGAACACAGCGCTTCAGTAGCCTTTACCAATGTCTACCCTTGTGGACATGAGGCTGAATCCTCTTTTTGACCCCTCAACCCTATCACCAATGTCTACTGCTTCCTGGACTTGTCCAACTGCTCTCGCAAGAGCTGCACCTCCTCCATGGCCAAAGCCAGCTTTTCATTCAGCTCTCGGATCTCCTTCTCAAAGGTCGAAGCCCCGTAGCGAGGTTGCCGACTTGCGGGTGGCTGGTTGGGAGTAAGAAGCCGAGCTGAAGTAGCCTTTCGAACTTGCGGATCGACCGCTTCGATGAATCCAGGGTCACGAGGCTGGTGACTGTAACTATTGGACATTGTCAGTTAAGGAACACGCAGGGGGGATGGTCTTGTACTTGTTCGGTCGGTCAGAATCTGAGGCATGTCGGTAATCCATGGTGACGAGAATCGGTCTGCTGTTGATCCTGCCATGAAATTAGAAAGTAAAAACTGATGGAATTGCTTGGATTTACCTAGATGTGGAAAGACGGAATCTTGGGATGGAACCAGGCTCAAGGGAGTCGAGGAATAAGATGCAGAATCGAAGGTTTGTGCTCTACTGAATGACTTTGATCAAGTGAGTTGCCCCACACAGCTCAAACTGCTTTGATCTGCGGTAGTAGACAGTGAATGCTGTATCACAGCACGGGCCGGATTCACCAAAGCGTGAGTTAACGGTAGGGGAATTTGGTAAGTCTGGCCTTGTTACTGTACAGGTCATCAGAACCAAGCGTTCCGTCTAACGATTGTTGTGGCATGAAACTTTCTGGAATCAGGACAGATGTATCGAATGTGATTCGCCACCCACCCAGACCAACTGTAATTGTGTATCGTCACCCCTAGGAGGGCTGGCCAAGGCGGAGATTTCCTTGATGATGTAGTTGTCCCTTATGTGGACGCGATAGGTCCTGTGATGTCCCTGGTTGATGGCTGTGAGATCCAAAAATTGCAGCAAGGGGAGAAACATCATGACATCTAGTTCCAGGCGGGAGTGAGCTCAGTGTGTGCTTTAGGATTCTAATAAGCTTCACATCTCACGAATACTATCAAGAATTAGACAAGGGACTGGCACGGACGGGATGTGTCGCATGAAAAGGTATCATTTCTGGTAGCAACTGAACGAGCATTCGTGGTCTAAACAACTCCACCCCTTGACCGACCCAACCAATCCTCTCCTCTGGTCTCAGTGCAATCAGCGTCATTAGCCCGTATCCTACTCTCTGTAGGGGCGATCGGATCCATACCCAGGAGAGTTCTCCTTGACCTTCCAAGCTGCCTTTCGGAAGTAGGTTCCGTCAGAAGAAATCCGGGAATCCTTGTACTCTGTTTCCGATTGCTGAGTGTCTCCAGCAGCCGCTGCCGAATCAGCTTCAGCTGCCTTCAGTGTCAGCATACCCTTGAGGTCATCATGAACGCCTCGAAGAAAAGAGATCTGGGCTTTGGAGACAGGATAAGTGGCGATTTCAGGAAGACTGGCGAGATCCGGTAGGTTATGTGACCATGACTCGTGAAGCCCATATATGAGCATGTACTTGACAGGAGCATCCCGGACAGACCATCGATGAGCCATGAACGATGGGGGCTCATATTCGGCGATGAGGTTGGGCCCGTCGATCGAATAAGTACGGACGTAGTCGTTTTTGTGGCTTTTGTCATTGAGGCGAACAATCGCAAGGACCATATATGTCTTCTGCATGCCATGGGCAGCATCACTTGAGACTGGGGGACGGAAGCTTCGGAGGTCCTTGAAATCGATGGGCTGCTTCTCATCGGAGTGATAAAGAAGGCGGATGATGGGAGGTCTCGCGGTGGTCGTCTCGAAAAGGTCATCGGCGAAAGCCTGGAGAGTCTGACCTGGCTTTTGAGCAGGACGGAACTCGAGCAAGTCGGCATGGAGATAGCTGCCGGCAGCGTTGCTGCTTTCCACCTGGGCGGGAGGACGGACGACACGGATGCCAGGGTGAGACCAGAAAGTGTTCTTCATGAGCGACGATTCGCAGAGCGTGTAGAAGGACTCATTGGGTGAGAAGCCCTTGGAACGAAGATCCTCGACCCACTTGTTCATGGATCTGGTTGCTAGCTTGATCTCCTCTGGCTCGTCGCCAAATGGGTGCCATGCGGCGCGCAAGATTGTATTCTGTTTCTCCTCCGACTTCACCCAGTCGAGGAACGGGAGAGCTCCAGGTTGAGTAAGGAGATAGGCATAGATGACTCTCAGGACAACGATGAGAGACGCTAGCCCAGGGCTTGTGGCGGAGCTAGGAGGCCGTCCATTGAGGATGGCGATGGCGGTTCTCTGGCCACGATTCAGGAAGGCGGCGATTGCGGCTCTCTGGGCACGGCCTGTCACATCGTGGTGGGTTCGGATATCAGTGGCGTCCATCTTGGATGCTGCAAAGCGTTAGATATCTTGAGCCATGGAGAGTGAGGTTTGCTTACCGTTCCCGTGGAGTTTGATGTTGTGAGGAGGAAATTTAACTTGGGTGGGCTAAGGGCTGAAGTAAGGCAAGGGTTGGGTCTTGTGCAACACCAAAGCTGGAACGCACATCTGTTGGCGTGAAATCAGACAGTATAGGCGGTGAATCAGGGCAGCATGTCCCCCGTCCGATTCGAAAGACCTGTGTAACCATTAGGTTGCCACTGGACCAAGGTTCGTTCGTAGCGTGTTACAGTACCTTCAGTGGGTTACCCTTGTGAACCCTGAATTCTCACAGGCCCATTCAAGGGTTGCTTCGTGGTGTTGGCATTGCTCAAGTCTCAGAGCTCGCCCTGAACAGGATTTCTGCTGAGTGACAAGCTTTGAGGAAGAGCATCGACGTCAGCTCTTTGAAAGTCTGCAGTCCGAACTACGTAAGGTAAAAGGGATTGTTGACCCGTCCAACTCCCCTCTAAACAATGAACTGGATAGCAACCCTCCCCGAGACGTATTCTCATCTGGTAATCATTGACGTAGCCCAGACTTGTGGAACGGGCTCCATCCTGTATAACGAGCGCTCATCAGAGATCAACGCATGTTTAGGGGAGGTGTATGAGGATACTTATGCGTAGAGTTTGCCTGGGGATGTAAGACTTACAGTCAATCAAGCAGCGCTTATGGATTGCGAATGTCTGAGATGCCGTCTGGAGAACGCGCTTGGAGAAAGTATTAGGATTACTCCTGATATTAATTACAAAGCCAGTTGCACATGGTCGACAAGTGACCCGTTCATCCGTTGTCCTCCGTCCCGGTGTTGGTCAATTCGTAGCTGTCTTGGTGACAGTCAACCATGTATCCTCTTCCTTCATCGTCCATCTATAGCTCAATGGCATGCACGAACTCTCATCATCAAACTGTTATTGAGTCTCTCACATATCTCGGCAGCGCGGCGTAGTGACGGGATGAGAAGGGCGATGATTAGGGAAAGCCGTGAGCGATGGGAGGACCGCTGTTGTTTGACGTCGGCGTGCCTGAACAAGCGCTTGGCGAGGGGTATATGCGAATGGCAAGGTGGCTGAGCTGTATGGAGCGGGGGTCAATTGTCCTGCAGTCTCGATGCTATGGTCCAAATGAGTTCTTGCACGGTGCAATCTGTGGCTGTTGAGATGACGCGAAAGTTGGCCAGCGGCATGATTCTCGTCACTTCGTAACTGCATCGAGACAACTCCTCGATTTGGTTGGCGAGAATCAGTCAGAGTATCGGGCGTGCTCATACACAGAACGAATTCAACGTCTTGGAAGAGGTCATGGCGAAGTTTGATGAATCGATCGCATAGTGGACTGGTCGCCGGTTCCTCGCCTGCAATGAGTAATATGGAGTTGACGGATGACTTTGAGGAGGTAAGGTGATGAGAAAAGAAAGGGAAACTGGGTCGCAATGCAGTCTCATAGGGGGGAGTCAGATGAGCTTTCGCATCCCGGTTAACGGATGAAGTTGAGTTGATGGGCATCGCGGACCCCAGTGAAGGGGATCATAAGTATGCCGGTCGGGGACCAAGGAACAGGAGCTTGGTTTCCTTCGAGCGATGCATTGATCGGTGGGCTGGAAGCTTGCGCGGAAAGCATATTTGAAAGTGAGTCAGCATCATCAAGCTGCGCCGACTGCTCCAATGAGGCTGAAATGGGGAGGCGAGGGATAAGAATAGGCAAACTTAACTGTCAAGGTGTCGGAAGACGAGTGGCATCAGACACTTCTTCTCCAGGTACGTTGATAGTGGCTCCTTCCTTGGCTTTCCTGAAAACACTGAAGGCATGCGTGACAATTCCCTTCATGCGACCATAGGGCTCTCCGGCAAGTCCGCCTCACACTTATCGAAGACATTTCCATGAGTGTTAGCGAACATCAGATGTCGCCTAATGAGTTCTTCCCTTCTGTTCGATCTTGGATGAGGCATTCTTATGTTCATCATGTGAAATGCGGCCTTGGCTTGATCGCAGTATGGGATATTTTCGTAACCACAGTCTCAGAGTCTACTGCCAAACTAACGGTTACAGAGCTTTAGGACAGCGCAGTCACTGTCGAAAGTGACGCGCACGATGTTGCTGTGGTGCAGGTGATGAGCTCAGTAATTTTGACCGAGACTTTCTCTCGGCGTAAGAGGTCGGTGTTACTCTGGAGTATGTGCAACTCCAGGACGTCACCAACTTTTCATCCTGCCGCTTGGCCAGTGGTGCGTCAGTTGCGTTCGATGTCGAGCGCACAGAGCCGTGAAGTGATGAGACGATGTTCGTCGGACGTGTGAAAAGTCAGTGCGTGCCTGCTCAAACACAAACGCGTAAGATGGAGGGCTTGGGGGACAAAACATGCGTCAAGGAAGCCTACAGCTCAACTGATTCCGTTTGTCTGTCCTTTTCATTTGCTTTTGGAAAAGTTTGATTGCGACGACTGGCTCGGTTGGTCGTGTGGTGTTGTGTTTGTTCTGGCATGGAGGAGGCTTCGATTTCTTCGCTTTAGGGGCAGTGTTGTCGAAAAAAGACTGCTCGCCGCGTCTTACAGACACAGGAACACCTGGATTTTGCCCTCGACAACATCGTCCGCAGTGTCAAAATGGCTCATCCTGAATGGGGTGTTGATAGCGATATCAGGGCATACAATGGCGCACTCGTAGATGAGGCAAAGACAACAGCAAGGTCCCAAAAAAGCGGCTAAGGAAGCTCTTTCATGTAAAGCGCTTTTTCGAAAGAACTGGTGGCTCCTGTTGAGGAGAAGGGAAATACGTAGAATTGAGAGGCGACACATCTTGAACAACAAAGCGAGTTGCGATTAGCGATGGCGACGCGTGAAAACCATGTGGGGCGAAACAAAACAAGGATGTGGGGAAGTGGAGACATCTCCACAATCATAACGGTACAGGGTAAGAAAAGCTCACACCTCTCACTTTACATTATCAAGAAAAAGGCATCTTTATATTGAACAGAAGCGATTATTGTTGTTTGGATGCTCTCATTGGACTAAATGATATTCTTTGGTTACTTTGGTGTAAATTTGTTAGTCATTTGCTCTTGCATTGGCGATTTGGCGTGAAAATGCTCATATTTCAACAAGATTTGCAACCAAGCACGAGAAACAAAACACGCTTAAGTGACCAGGACGGTCGTTTGATTTTCATTGAAGTAGTATTATCGTCTTCTAGATATATCCAGAGAAATTGAGGTTACCATTTCGCACAGCGACACTTATTATACTGAATGAAATGCCACCACGGCCAACAAGCGCAGTGCCGCTGTCTTTTGATGGACTCCCAAGCACAACTCCACCCGTTTTTTTTGGCGTCACCAAGGGCAGTACTGGCCTTTATACTCCTCAACCATCGATTCCGACAAGGGAGCCGCAACAACGGCAAGACAAACGGTAAATGACAGGAGGGCCAGCAAGATTCAAGTCTTTTGAGTCATGTATACTTGGAGGGCGGTGCACCCAGACAGGACAACTCGATGCGATGCTGGTGGAGGTGCCTGAAACACTATCATCTGAACCTCAACGTACACACGGGCACAAGACTTGCCTGGGATTATGCCTGATGATAGAGTGTTAACATACTCATGCGGGAACTTCAGCCCGTGGTCCGATTGCTGACAGCAGCGTAGCGAGGACTAGCCCTCCTCCAGGAGCCCCTGGAGGCGTCAGTACACAGCGCTTATGCCCCCCCTGACTTTCTCATAATGGTTGAACTGGACCTTCTGGAGGCTTTTGTGGTTGTTAAAGATATCACAGCGCACATATGTCACTGTGAGTCGTCCGATGGCGTGTGCACGGAACAGTGTTGAAGTCAACAGAGCGAGCTTGAAAATCTCGTTACGTGTGAGTTTGACACCTGATCGTCTGACAGAGCTTGCCTGGGCGGACATTTGACTAGAGAATTTGTGGTCTCGGCGCAGGGTCAGTGAAATGGAGACATCGCTGTTTTTAGACCGTCCTTTAGAGATGACTATAAATCTGTTATGTGACCAACATTGAGGCGAACGGTCTGACGTGCTATTTATGCTCCTTGATCTAGCCAATATGTGATGTTGGCCTAACAGCAAACCAGCCCAGCCTCAACTACGGACGTTCCGTGACCAGTTTGTGAGAGGCTGCGTAAGTGACAGGCAGTTAGACCCCGCTGTACTTTTAGGCGCCTTAACCACTAAATCCACTGTAACAATTACAACCTCACCGAGGGTCGACAGAAAACGCTCGGGCCACATAGCTCATGTCTGGTCTCAGTTCGTCAAGTTAATTTTTAACTCCGTCAAAACAACATACACATACAAGTAAGCAACGCAAGCCTTTCTACACAATCTTGACACATCGTACTGACTCTGTAAGCTATTCCCACAGCGCCATTTCGTATTTTGAACAAGATGAGCGCCCAAAACAACAATCCGCCAGCTCCCAAGAAGGCAGGCCGACCGAAGCGAGAGATTGATGGCCGCCTGTTGGAGTCCATTGAGGGGATATATGCAGACAATGCCGAGGTTACACTCGAGATGGTCGCTGAGATCATTGGTGACGAAGATCCTGTCGGCGATGAAGGCTGGGACCAGGCTGCAGAGGATCGTATTACGGTCTCCTGGGAGATGTCATCGAGAAAGAGGTCATCGGACAAAGTTGGCACGAGAGGGAACAATGACGACCCTCTTCGCGAGCTTTGGCGATTCTGTCTTCGTTTTATGAAGCAGGCGCCCCCGATCATGCTCTCCCCAGTGAACAGCCTGCAGTTTATGCCTTCACGCCAGAAGAGCGATTTCGACATCTCGACCGACCTTTTTACCCAGGCTGCCTGCGTGACAATGGCACAACTGGTTGTTCACCCCCTATGGGGTGGAAACTACCGTCCCTTCGTTGATGCCTTGATATTCGCTGCTTTGTGCCGTGTGGGTGCCAATACGAACATCAGCTTGTCTCTCCGGTGGCCCCATCACTGCCCAGTCATCCAGGGGCTGAACGCCAAGCTTACTGAGGCCGCAAACAGTGGTCAGCCTTTGACTGATACGCTGAAAAGGCTTCACATCGCGGCAAGGGAGACTGTCCACAGACGTGGTGATGTGGGCAAGGAAAGCGTGTTCTCGGAAGCACTCTTTTGCATTGGGAAGAATGTGGTTGCGGAGTCGCCTTCGGACGCTGAACTGGCTCAGCTTCAGCAAGGGATTGTCCCTTTCCAGGGGAAAGACTTGAAAGCCATCAAGAAAGCGCTTGATGATATGATTTCCACTGATAGTCAAATGCCGTACTCCGTGGATGACATCCATGCTGCCTTCAAGCTTGTTGGCCATCGCGGCGAAATCCCTTCCAGGCAGCTGCTTCAGTCATTGGACGCTCGCGCATGCAAGCAGGTCTTTAGGATATCTGAAAGACCCGAGAGGTTTGGCTCTGTGAGCCTCCCATCTGACTAGTTATCAGAAGAGGGTACTCCAGCAAGCAGCATGCAAGAAGAGACTGAAGAAGCCCGCCGATCCATGCCAATCAGTCAAGGGCGCGATCGATTCCACCTCCGACAGACCGATCTACCTGGATCTGATCGAGACTTCCGTCCTCTCACGCAGCGGGAAATTTCTTCTCCCGCATTCCCCCCTAGTCGAGACCCAGATGTCGCCGATGAAGGTCGTTTTTCCAACAGAGGCGACAGCGTTGATGAGTTGCCGGCAGGTGAGACACCTGAGGATACCGGCTACTACCCAGATGACGATGGCTACATGCCTGGGGATAATGAGTTTGCCGGCCACGTTGAGGCTGAGGAATCATCACAGATGAACCCAGATCTCCCTTCGCCCAGACATGCAACGGACATTCGGCCTCCGCTGAGCCAAGCCCTGGCTACGGATGAGATTGCACAAGTCCGTCGTGAGGTAGACAGACTTGGCAAAAAACTCCGTGCCAGCGAGACCGAGAGAGATCGTCTGATTGAAGAGGTCAAGACTCATCAGGCCGAGACAAATAAGGTCTTCAGGGAGAGGCATGTCGAGGCCATTCATGAGTTGAAGGCGACTTACGAGAAGCAACTCCAAGCCTCTAGGTCTGAGAGTTCTAAGACTATTGCGGCTTTAAAGTCTGAGCATGCCGAGGTCATTGAGGCTTTGAAGGCTGAGTTTGCTTCTTTCAAGTCTGGGCTTGACGATGGCCTCCAGGCTGTGAGGTCTGAGCAGGCAGGTCTTATCAAAACCCTCCAGGAGGAGAATGAGAGACTCAGACAGTCAACCCAGGCTTCCGCTCAAACAGCTGAGCCTACAAATGTTGAGGAAACGGTTGATCCTGAGATATCTGAGCAGCGTGAGTGCTCTCAAGATACCGAGTCACTGGCAAGTGTCTTGTCGAGGCGGCCTGAGGGAATATCCTTTCCTACGTTAGGTCTACGACCCCCAGTGGTCAGGCTTCCTGCCAGTGGAGACGGGACATTAGCAGGACGCAGTCGGTTTGCCAGGGAGGGAGGCTTTGGCGACTCAGCTTATAAGCAATTTTAGATTAGATTAATTTATGGCAAGACCTATTGATTGATGGATTGATTGACTGACTGACCGACTGATTGATGAACTGATTGATTCAGCGATGCTTGATATATTTGCGGACGCCACCCAAGCAGAATACTTCAGGTTTGAGTGTCACCCTCCTTGATGCCGGATTCTTTGATGAAGCGACTTCTAAAGTCTTATTTTGAGTTGATAGACCCCACAGCTGATGGCTTACATCGCGCGCCTTACACGCTCACATCGGGCGCCTCACACGAAGGAGGTAACCTATATCCAAAGCCTTATGACTGACGTCGACATTAACACTGGCCGAGAATTGCCAAAGACATAATTACAGTGGCAACCTTGGGATTATAAGCTTCAACATCCAGGCACGGCTTTTGGTGACTGGTAGATAAGCGAGCCATGCTAACCCCACCCTTTTACACTCTTCCACTCCGTAATTATCTTTTACTCACTCCCCACCTTCAACCTTTCACGACTGATATCACTCAACCTTTTCTCCAGACCGAACGAAACTGTAAGGTCACTCAAATGTTATGGAATCGCCGCTGACATTATAAGAAGTCCATGATTATGACTTCCCACGAAGTCGTAGAGCGCGCCCTCCTCGACCGCATCGAGGAGCTCAAGGCAGAACTACGCGAGACAAAAGCCCGCTATGCGGCCCTCGAGATCAAGGCGAGAGACGACGCCAAGAAGCTTGCCGACATCGCGTCAATCATTCGGAACGGCATGCCTGACCGTTGTGGCGCCAACGATAACCCTAGCGACGTCGAGAACGGGCGTTTCGAGTCCCCAGCCGTTGCGGCTGAGAAATCTGAGCTTGGCGATGCACTTCAGGCTGAAAGGTCTGGCCAGGCAGATCTTAGTGATACCCTCCAGGAGGAGAACAAGAGACCCATGCAGTCGGCTCCGGCTCCGGCTCAAACAGCTGAGCTTGCGCCAACACCTGTTCAGGAATCAGCTCAGCCTGATGTTTCCTTTCAACAGACTGAGTCATTGGCAAGTGTCATGGCGAGAATGACTGAGGGGGCGCAACTTCCCAGGATTCAAGCACGATACACAATCAGAGTCACGCCGCCTTTCGCTGGGTCGTTGACAGCCCGCAATGAATCAGTTTGGGAAGACGAAGACGAGTTTGAAGATTGAAAGGTATATGTCTATGTAGAATATAAGTTCGGTCTGCTCTTATACTGAATGTGAAAATTGAATCTTGTATTGGGTGATTGGGTATTCGAGTGATTCGGTGATTTACCATATACTTGCAATTTGTGTCGAGCTGATTGTGCATTAGGATCAGAATGACATAGACATGATAGCAATGAGTCGTGTTGAAGCGGCATGAATCCGAATCTTAGACAAGTGCAGATTTGTGATACCTTTTGCTAAAGCGATGTCTTGAAATAAGCAATTTGATCGGTTAGAGTGAGGGAAAGCTGCAGGACGATACTTTTTAGAAAGGCAACGGAATGCCCTTGATAACGACTTAAAACTAATGCTTGTGGTAAATGAAGCCCGAGAGCCAGTGGACTGGACGCCGGGCAGGTGGACTTTAAGAAGTCTTGGTGAGTCTCAGTCGGGTGGCCTCTCTCATTAACGCGATCTTGGCTTTGTCAGTTGCAAATGGCATTAAAACGCCACAATACTCCAGGAAGTTGGCGACATTCAGTTAAGCCAGAAGGCCTCAAGGTACAGCCTCTATTACAGTGTTTTTAGTAATAATCTATACGGTAGGCAATATTTAAAGCTCGAAATACTACAATTAGTTATATTCTTAAACTCTTCTCTCTTTACTTTATAAGCTTTACTTTATAAGCTTTACTTTATAAAACTACTTTATAAAACTACTTTATAATACTACTTTATAATACTACTTTATAATACTACTTTATAATACTACTTTATAATATTACTTTATAATACTACTTTATAATACTACTTTATAATATTACTTTATAATACTACTTTATAATACTACTTTATAATACTACTTTATAATACTACTTTATAAAACTACTTTATAATATTTACTTTATAAAATTAATTTATAAATTACTTTATAAAAATACTTTATAAAAATACTTTATTATTTTTATATAATTACTATATAAAATTTACTTTATAAAACTACTTTATAATACTACTTTATAATATTACTTTATAATACTACTTTATAAAAATACTTTATAAAACTACTTTATAATATTTACTTTATAATACTACTTTATAATATTACTTTATAATACTACTTTATAATACTATTTTATAAAACTACTTTATAATATTTACTTTATAAAATTAATTTATAAATTACTTTATAAAAATACTTTATAAAAATACTTTATTATTTTTATATAATTACTATATAAAATTTACTTTATAATAATACTTTATAGTATTTACTTTATAGTTTATGTATTTATTACTAAATCTCTTATTAAGGTTACTCCCTGTTATTTACTCTTGAATTAATTTCTCTTAACTCAATCTAAACTTTTCACGATATCAACACAACCTTCCGACAAACTCACATGTAAGCCTCAACCCGTCGCCATTATCAATACTAACGATACAAAATACAGAATGTCGCACGAAGAAAATATCCAACATCGACTTGGCGAATTCATTTCGGCCTTCAGCGCCCGCGACCGACCGAACGCGCGTTTCGCGCACATCAAGATTCCGGATTTCCGCATGGAGCGACCGAGCCTCATGGAGTCGATACGAAAGTCCTTGTCCCCGGAGAATGCCAAGTGCATGCTGTTCGTTACCTCCGAGCTGGAGAAAGCTGTTGGCCATAGCCTCGCGACGGCTGCCACCGCGGCGGATGGCATCAAACGGCAGCAAATGGGCTATTCCGAGGCATTACGCTCTGTCAAGATGAACAGGGCAGACGCAGGAGATGGCTCGGCCTGGAAGTCTCCTCGGCAGGGCAATTTGCAACAAGATGTCATATTGCCTCGGAATATCATTGTGGTGTTCCAGATCGATCCCACTGTCCCAGCAGATTGTGCACTGGCGCTGATTGCCTTTGTTCAGTGGGCTCTCGATGTGGCAGTCGATGGTGAGTCCCAAGTGATGGTCATCACCTTGGCGGTCGAAGATGACTGCGACTTTCTCTCGACGCTGGTCGCCATACGCTCACGCCACGTATCTGTCGATTACCTTGACTTAAGTGAGCCTTGGGATGGCGCTGTCCTGACCACGGGACCTGTCGAGACTACCATGCACAGATCGACAGATGTGTTGGAGACTGTGAAGACAATTGCCGCGGCGTCGTCGCGAGATCAGGACAATCGACACCTTGTGCTGTCATTTCGAGATGTCGACCTTGCTGCACAGTACGAGACACTGGTGGTGAAAGCCGAAACCCCTTTCGTGGAATCGGGCTTGGATGACAAAGGCCTAATCGATGTCATACAAGCACCGACTTTCGGGCATACCTGGCTGACCATCAACCCAGCCCTATGGCTTAGCCCAGTACAATTTAAGGGATATCAAGAAATTCACATTCTCTTGGGCTCTCAACACACGGCGTCTGTCTCCTGGGACAATGTTACAGAGCAGCTGGTTCAATACGACAGATGGACCTCAAGAGAAGAGCGGATCTCTCAGCTGCAGTGGGCTCGGCAGCTTTCTGTTCGTGATGTTCATATCTATCACGAACAAGAGGAGATAGAGTCACTGGAAGCGACCCTTGGATCATTCATTGACTCCACCAGCTGTCGTCATCGTCAAGTTGAGAACTCCCACCTTGGAGGATTCATCACTTGTGTCATGAGTATGGCACACTGGGGGTTACGCATCGACCAGGTACTGGCATGTTTTGTTCGGTGCCCCGCCCGCCTACGTTCTATGAGGGAGCGTCTCAAGATCCAAAGAGTTATCACGCCCACAGGCACCACCCTTAGGGATGCTGAGGGGCTGGTGTTCATGACACTCCTTCCTCTGCTCAACTACGATCATCGGCTCGCCCTCTTTGTAGCTTTAGACTCCGACGACATCGTCCGGAGGGTCAAGCTTCAGTTGGCGGCAATCATGCTGACTGACGTTTCCATGCTGGCCGGATTGAACGTCAATGAGCCGCTGAGCCCTGATGGACAGGAGGCTGGAACAATCCTCAACTCTTGTTTGGGTTACGGCAGTGACATCGCACCATCTGGGACTTTATGGATGCTGCTAGGTCTCTGGAAGGCTTTCGAGGTCGCCTCAGACAAAGGCAGAGAAAATGCCCCGTTCTGGAGTCTCGTTCAGGTAAATGTGGCACTGGCTAATCGTGCCAATAGAATGTTTGGAGCAATGTCTCGGATATTGCAAAAGATTGGCATAGGCTCAGCTATTCACAAGGGCTTCGAGGACGAGACCAGAGGCTTTGGCGAGGAGCAGAAACGTGTCTTGCAAACTCATCTGTTGCAGGCATACATCTTCCAGCTTGTTGCAGCATTCCCGCCTTTTAAAGACGGAGAGCCAGATCATGAAGCGCCACTTACACACTTGATCATGGCGAACAACATCGAGGTCACCATGCCGTTCATTCCGATTTATGTGACTAGCCTCGTGAATCTTGACAGAATCCTTGCAGACTCTGGCAGCGATTTCGCTCTCGGCATCTCGCAGAGTCTATTGAGGCTTCCAGGACGGCGCTGCGGCTTGATGGATTGGACAGCGATTCCGAAGGACCTGGTAGCTGAGTGGCTGGTTGAATACCGCCCAGGGCTTGACTTGCTTCCAGCATTGGCTTCATTGACACGACGCCATCCCGAGAACAAGGATGAGATTAATTGAGAAAGTGTAGAAGTTGATAGACAGCAATGAAAAACAATCCTTCAAGACTTCGCGATGACCTTGTGACTGTATGTAATAATATCATAATATGTTGAATAAGGTGTTCTGTGTGTCTGACTGGTTCCTCAGATACCTTAACCCATGAGGAATAAACTGTAATTCAGTACAGATTAATTACCAGCAATTCAGATGAAAGCAGCTACAGTCTGCACAAATTCTTAGAGAGTTACATGGGGTTTGAGAACTGAGACCACGGCAATATTGGAGTTGAACAAAAAAAAGATATTCCATGATCAATTGTCATTCTACACTACACCATCCATCCCTCCCAAGCAAAACTAAACCAAGGGAATGTCCCATATCTGTCCTCTACCGATCGTGGTGTCGTGGTATCTAGTCGGTGGGTTCCTTGTCGTGGTGAGAACTGGGTCAAAGGGAGGCCTGGGGACTGTCGTCATGATGTTAGCTTTGAAACCTTCAAAATTAGATCTCATTTCTTACCTGGAGAACCATAGTGAGACTGTCTCGTGGGCCATTGTCCTCGGTGGGTGGTCTGCGTAAAGCGGTTGATCTCTCCGATTGGAGGTGGTGTGGTGCTTCCATGGGCAGCGGAAAGCCTTGTCGAGTCTAATCATCAGCGACCTGACATTTCCACGACTGTGCCATCATCCGAGACAGCCTTTTCCGACCACTCGCAGACGGTGTCCTCGGGCTGGCCATCGTCCGAGACAGCCTTGTCTGACCACTCACAGACGCTGTCCTCGACCTCGGGATGTGACCCGGTTGACCGCCGCATGATCTCGTCGAAACGACGGGGCCTGACGAGAAACTCTGTTTGCCAGTAGTAGACATAAACGTCTTCCAGGTCCCCGATGTTGACGTTCTCGGGAAGCACAGAACGGTCATGGGTGGAATCGAATTCCGCCTGGTGGACATGGATGCCCCTGCCTTTCTCACCGACGAACAGGTCAATCGCGTACTTCGGGGCCCAAGGAAAGCTTGTGAGGCTAGGGACGCTCACAGAGTCATCTGCCTCAAGGAGGTCATAAAGATATAACCACCAACCCTTCTTGGTGGCCAATGCTGGCATATTGCCACGGTCCACGACAAGCAGCTTGACCTTGGCCGTCAGGCTCAACCTGCGAAATTTCTCACATTCATCAGTGAGGTGGCTGTCAGTTCTGCAGAAGATGCAGATCCTGACTGATCCATCTTCAGCAGTGATGCAGTTAGCCACAAGGTGGCCGTCTCCTCCACAGTTGGCACAAAGCTTCCTGCGGGACGTACCAGCCGTGCTGGCACTCTCACCCTGGGGGCGGTGGGTTTTCTCTTCCTGAGGGAAGGTGATCCTCTCAGCGAGAGGGCGCGACGAAACAGGCATTCTTGGGCGAGCGTTGTCGGTAGACATGAGGATGTCGTACGCGATCTTCTTGCTCTTGGCCTCGGCGAGGCGGTTGGGCCGGAGTGGCTGGAACCTTGTGAGCATTTGAGAGGTGCCGAAAACCCCCTGAGCAGTCTGCAAGGCCTGGCCGGCCTGCGCCGTTGTGTCGAGGACGGAGTACAGCGACTCCTGGCCATTGGTCTGATCCAACAGCATCATATTGTCCTGGCGCTGACCAGAGAGGTCGACCATCTCTGCGATGCCGCCGTAGGACCGGACCTCGCCGCGCGGGACCAAGATCAGTCGCCCATCGTCCTCCTCAGTCTGGCTCTTTTGGCTCTTCTGGCCCTTGGTGATGCCGTGCTTGTCGGTCATGGTCTGAGCATATTTGCCCGTGTCTCGGCTCTTGTCGGGCCCAATAGTGCCGCGACCAGAGCCGGATTGTCCGCCCTTGGCTTTGAGCTTGGCCGCTTGGCGCTTCTCAAAACCCTCGCGGTTGTGCTGCTTCTCGTCCTGTCGGCTGGGAGCCATCGTGAATCACTGAAAAAAAAAAGATTTAAGTGAAGATAGTTGATTCTTTTGTTTGGCAGTGCGGTGATTTCGCGATGGTGTTGTGGAAGGCTTTGCAAATTTATGAAAATGGACGGCTGAATTATTATGTGCAGATTCCTGGCCACTAGCGTAGAAATCTTGCCACCTGTTGACAGTGCTATCCCTTGGCCTTCATAATTCGCCAAGTAACCTTATACACGTCTTATTTCTTGGAAGCTTTGCAGTATCACAGCGATCCGCTGGCACTTATTGTAGGGGTTAACTCTACTGAGACGAACATGCTATCATTTTTCCATCCACAAATTTGAAGCCTGAGATTGTGAGGATCGGACAGGCGAATTTGTATAATGTGAACAGTAATACCTTGCACACAAGCTATTTACCTTAATTAAGATTGAGACAAAGCCTTTTATTAAACTCGATTCACTCTGAATCGGGAAGGCAAACGGTCTTTAAGGCTATCACATAAGTGAATGTCAATGGTGTTATTTAACACACATTCAAGGTAAAATGTTGAAGATTTGACTCTTCCCACGTAACAACGAGATACAGGTAGCTAAAGTCGTGCAGACATTAGTTTAAGCTTCTTAAATTCCACCAGTGACTTAAAAACATCGTTAGGGTGAGATATTGACAGCGTAATGTGTCTTTAGCCCCTTAATGTACCACATCGAATTCTCGTCTGAACTACTGCCGCAGACTTTCGAATCGATGTCGGTTGAAACTGGGCCTGCATATTTAGTCAGCAAGTAGTCAAAGGTGCAGCCAGGTGGGCAGTCTCATATCTTTGCATAACCCCGCTGTTCCTGTTTTTTTTTCCAACATCACAACTCTGCCTTTCCAACCTCATTTTTTTAAAAAAGAAATATCTTCAAAGGCACTTACCAACAACGCTTCCGCCGCTGAGAAAATGAGTTCTCAGCGAGTCACTTTCGATCCGGCCCAGTTGCCGGACCCAGGGAACCTGGGTCAGCGCCGTGGATATATTGAGCAGTATATCCAGCGCTTCCACCGCGACCTGGCTCCCAATATCGCTGCCAGGCGCGAGGCCGCTATCCCCGCGGTCTGTAAACAATACCACGAGAAACTTCGTGAGATACAGGCGCCTGCCGTGTACTTTGAGTACGCGGTTGACAAGACGATGTGGAAGAACATCTGTACGTTGCCAACTCTTATGGATTTTGTATATGCTAACCAATTTTGATAGTCAAACCACAGAAGCCCCCCGCGTGGCCTTGGAGCAATGGGCCAAGTGACAAGGACATGTCCCTCGGCTGGTCAAGGACCTACCGGGAATGGCGACTCCAGAATGGTTTGCCCGTCCCGCCTCAGCAAGAGGCAGGCCCCTCCAGTGGCAAAGGCAAAGCTGCTGAGAAGACCCCCGTGGTCACCAAACCTGCTGCCCCCAAGCAGCCTCAAACAGGGGCGGGCAGCTCCGGTGGTAAAGGCAAAGCCACTGAGAAGACCACCAAGGTCACCAACCCCCCTGCCTCCAACCCCCAGACTCGCAATGGTGAGTCATCCAAGTCCAAGCCCAAGCCCAAGCCCAAGTCCGATGCCGAATACACGGTAAGGATCACCAAGGAGGGCACACCTCTGCGTTTGGACAAGGCGAAGAAGGCGTGGGTGAGGGTACCCGCTCGCCTTGCGGGTCTGAAGATGACCCCAATGGCAGCCATAAAGGATCTTCCCGAGGGACCGCAGTCCTTGTTTAACAGCCTCGGCAAGGAACTGCGAGAGTCACTGGTTGAGTCAGTCCAGTCCCCTGCTGGCACCGCTCCCGAGGCTCCCACTGTTGTAACAGCGCCCAAGGCCCCCAGCGCTGCCAGTGCTCCCAGCACCAAGGGGAACATCGACCCCGTGGAGATCGACTTCTCGCTACGGGAGGCTGCCTGGGACTATATGTACGGCAAGGGATATTACCTTGGAGGTGCCGTTTTCGCTCCCTTTGCGCTCAGGATACCCCGGTGCCTTGACTTTAAAGACCTCGTTCTTGGAGAGGATGGTCGCGATATTGAGGCCATCAACAACGACATCCTCGAAGCAGGTCTGGCTGTCTCTTGGAAGACCCATGACAACCAGGCCATCGCTCTTGTCGTTGGCTTCAAGGATGAAGCTTCCCGGGCACTACCCGGAGCCATGTCGGGCTTGGCCGACCTCTGGTGTGATGTCGTCGCGTGGTACATCAACGCGGTTGCGGGTGGTACCATGACCTTGGCCACAACCTTGCGAGTGGTCCAAGTTGTCAGTTGGTCCCGCGAGAGAGCAGCGAACTTTGAGCACGCTCAGGCTGCTTATTACTTTGCCCGGGACAACTGCACGCTCATCTCGGAGCAGGTCCGCATGGCTCGCGAGGACATTCGCAAGTGGTCTCCTATGTTAAAGGCCATCATAGAGAAGCCTCTGGGAGAGGCAGAGCCAGAGCTTAAGGCCTGGGTCTGCAACAATGATGTAGACATTTATGAACGCTCCAAACGCCTGAGAGTGGCTCACCAGGTCTGGCTCTCTAGCTCCATGGACGCCAAGGTAATCCGCAGGGCTACTCACTGCCTAGATGACTGCTCCCTTTCTCTGTATTCCGCTTGAATGCGAGACGCCGCTTAAATGCGAGACATGGCGGTAGTTATGATAGAAAGAATGAAATCACTCTCATTTTGGTACATATCCGTAATCCATGCTTGCCATGCGAATACGTGTGACTAAACTATTGAATCATAAATCCTATGTCGTGCGCTGTCAATCTATACGTATTTTGTCTCGCTGAAATCCTACAATCTTTAATCATTTAGTAATGAAGGTCCCTGTGTCAAAGCCAGATTCTGCTGTTCAGGGCTTTCCTTGAAGCTTTGGATTGAAAGTGTGCCTCAAAGCTTCGCCAGCACTTTGAGTGACCGCCTCCCCACAACCTTGATATCCGTCAACGCACAAAGCCCTTGATCTGTAGTCGTTCGGAAGCAGAACTTAATTAATACACGGCTGCCACCCTCCAGCTCAATGATAGATACTGAGAACTGGGAGAGAAGCGCCATCAACCGTAGAACTACGTTACTGGCAATGCGGATTTCCTTGAACCGACCTGGCGGCGAAGAAACGTTTTTATATAGGGACTGCAGCCTCCAGAGTTGCCATCATCGCGGATAAGAAGCATAAATGGCGTGAGTTAGGTGTAATTACAGTTGTAGGTACCCCTTCGTTCTCGCGATTCAATACATTCAGTAAGCCCCCTTCAACCAGTAGTCAATGGTGATGCCGCGTCTAGCGTGACATTCTACCCATCCCAGCATCACTGGGGTACAGATCAGATATCTTCTCCATTCCCCCGGCCAGTGTGGAGGCAATTGGTGATGTAAGGATGACTGACGTGGCTGGGATATCATTAAACTAAAGAGCCTTATAATTTTTTCGTGTGAGGCGCGCGATGTAAGCCATCAGCTGTGGGGTCTATCAACTGAAAATAACACTCCTATCAAAGTCAGTCCGGGCAGTATACCAGCTTATGATGTTTTCATTCCCAGGTGGTACTTATTCAGAACTGGCTGCTACACATGTAGGCGTTGAGGGGCTCCCATCGCTATGGGCTCCATTTGCAGTCGACATGAGGCATGAAGCATAAGGAGGGGTAACTTGTGCGAGTCATCCACAACAACTTACCATCATCATCCCACAAGCCTGGCATTTTTAAAAACAAAACTTTAATCTTTATATCCGCAAAGAAAATGCCCAGAAACCGCCCTCGTGCTCAAGGAAGCACCAAGTCCCCTTTCGAGAGGCAACGCGCTCGGGATGGATACCGGCGCAGACAGTCACGCCGCCAGCAAGCTGCGGCCCATGAAAGTGGTGGTGGTCACGCCGAGAGTAACTCCAACGGTGTGCAGGGTGTCGAAGGCCACCCTTCCGACGCCGGTCATGTTGGCATGACTGGCGATCGAGACGAAGCTGGTCCCCAAGTCCAGCAAACCGCTGAGGCCGCTGTGCAAGAGGCCTCGACTTCCCCCCCTCACCTGGAGACTACCAGGCTGGCTCAGGACATGAGCTCATTGGCAATCGCCGACCCCGCTATACAGCAGGGAGATGCTCACATTGAGCAACCGAATTCCGGGCCTCAAGACCCAGACCAGATTGCTGGTGATGTTGCCCCTGACCAAGTAGCATCGAACCTACCTGAGAATATGGATTTATCATAGGCTTGCTCAGCGGAGACCTCTCCCACTTCGGGCATTCGGTGGTCAGGTACACCTCTCTTCTTCGAAAGAACCACTGGCACTAATTTGAAGTGTTTGCGTGAGGGTGTTACAGCACCTTACTCCAGCCTCTCGGCGTGAGGCAGACAATTCTTTAGATAGTGGAATTGAAGTATTACCGCTGCAGCTGTACTCTAAACTGTGTGAAATTGCTTTTCATGCCAAGCTTCCCTGCATGTGACCTACTGACCATCGTGTTTCTTTCTCAAAGTCTCTTGTATCCCCGTAATCGTTCGTGTTGTCTGGACCTGGATTTGAAGTGTGATACGGTTACAATGACCTATTTCTCACGTCAAGCTCAAAACTATGATATCTCTTTGAAGTTTGCAGTATCTCCTTGTAATACCAAGGGTGCCCTTACCGGATATAGCGTTCAACTTGGTCACCCGCCTATGAATTATGTAAGCTTCAGCCAGTCTCTTGATTACTGCAAAGCGCCTAGTTACATAGTTCAATGTACTTAAAAACAGGCTCATTATGCTCAAGCATTTTGTGCGTAAAGTAGATCTTTAATTAACCCGCTATCTACTTTCCACAGTGCCTGCGTGATCATCCCTTGTCCGCCGTGGTTTTCGATCACTACTCGAGAATGTGGTTGTCTTGCTGCGCGCCTCTCTCGTGACTTGGCTAGTCACGGTTCTCATCCCGCCTAGGCATTCGGGATGGACCAACAGGCATGAAGTTGGGGTTGGAGTTGGAGTTGTGCCGAGGCTTCTTGGCCGGACGACTCGAACCCTGCCCATCGCTGGAATGGCGTGAGCGACGATTTGAGTTGCCCATTCGGCCAGGTAATCGAGTCTCCCCCTGTTCTTGTCGCGACGAACGGGGCGACGCCGGGGCTGTTTGTCTCTGTGAACCCTCATGGACTTCCCCGGGTTCAGGAGTCTCTCCTGCTTCCGAAGCCTGAGGTTCCACAGCAGCAGCTCGACTAGCCATTGCCTTTTCGATGTAAGGCTTCATCCCTTTGTTGAAAAGGCTATGAATGGCTCTTGATTCAACATCGTCCTTGACCAAGGGCCTTGCTATCTCTGGGAAGGCGGATGGGTCGTTGAGGCTAGTGCCATGGCCAGGGGGGCCATAGAACAGCATATAGCGGTTCTGATTCTCGTCCTCAACCGACCAGTCAGTATCGACACAGGGGATATCTTCATACTCCGGGACGATTTCTGGCCCGTGGGCTGCATAGAAACGGACAAAATCTTCATCTTGTGGAGCGCATCTCATCCGAACTACTGCCAGAATGACATATCGAGCCCGCTCTCTCGTATCAAAAGGGTTTTGTCTATCCTTTGTCTCTCTCCAAATCGGGAGGTTGAAGCCACGAAGCTCCCGGAATGAGAATCGGGGCCCAGACCCGGGGCTGTACAAGACACGGATGATGGAAGGTTTCGCTGGCCTATGAAGAGTACGCTTGCCTTCTCGTCTGATAATTCCGAAGGAGCTATCAACGGTTTGCTGCAGTGTCGCATCAGGCGATGTGTCCCGATCTAGCGTCACCAAGCTCGCCGAAGCGATCTCCTCAGTGGTTTCATTGATTACCTGCCAGGTCTCGAGACACATCTTCGGCTCCAGCAAGCGCATCTCGTCCTGCGACCAGTATGACTGGTTCATCATCCTGGAAGTACAGAGGGCCTCGAAGGTGTCAGAAACTTTCAAGCGACGCTTCACAAGTTCCCTCTTCGTGCTCATCCAGTCCTTGTACCTCATCTCCATCTTGGACGGATCTCTCCCAAACATCAGCCACGAGAAGCGGATGATGGGGTTCTCTGCCTCTGCGCTTCGGAAGTGCTGGGTGTTGGCGAGACCCTCTGGACCAAGCATGACATGGCTGTTTATGCGCCTGAGAACAGCTGTCAAGCACTGAAGGCCAGTACTATGCGAGTTGCTCGCTGCAACCGGGTGGCGCGTCTCCAGGATGATGGCGACAATCCCGTTGTTGTCGCTGTGAATGTCGTAAATTTGGCGGAGATCTCCGGCGAGCGGTTCTTGGGCGTTCTCTGCATATATAGTAAGTAAAGAGTCCAGATTGGGCGGATGAAGAACCTCACCTAGAGACATATCTGTTTATGGTTATTTTGGATGGCGATATAAGTTGTTCGTTCGCAGATGTCCTAAAGAGTGTGAAGCATAACGATTGCAACCGCGCACGGGCCAACGTCAAACGATGCAAAAGTTTAAACCCTCGTCAAGACAAAGAACACATAGACCACCGACTTCTAGCCCATTGTTAACAAATTCGAGCCGCGGAGCTGACTTCTAGTACCAACAATGCAAATTTTCTTCATTAAAAATTCCCGTTCCCTGGAGCCTTAATACAATAGCCCTACATGTAGACATGTCCCCAATAACCGCTGCGAAGCCAGTGTATCTATTGCCTGTTTCTTACGTTGGCACGATGTAGTCACAAGCCACTCATGAAATCACGTGTCTTCAATGAAATTACTATGTGCATCTTAATGTCAGTCACATTAAGCTATTCCAAAGTTTAGTTAAATGAGCCTTTTCAAATGCCTCCAGCTCGTACTTTTTTAAAGGTCCAGCATACCACGCTAGGCTTCCTCGTAAGGTCATGTCACAAAGTCGCCGTGCCCCTTGCTGAGACGGAAAGCAACATCAGGACCTTGATCCCAAGTGAAAAAAAAAAAAAAAGACTTGACATGAGTTCGTTTTGATCCTAAATCAAGGTCTGATGTTTTCTTGCTCCCCGAGGCCGTGGTAGCGACCCTCCAGGGTAAGACAAGGAACAGCAAGGATCCATGTCCAGGGCTTGACTAGCGTGAGATCAGATTGCCTATTCCAGAGATAACATTATTGATGATTGGTTAACTTGGGAGCATTAAGACTTGTCTGTTGAAGCCGTTTTGGTGGAGCGACTTTCTTCGAGGGGCTGCAGGCTGAATCTTGCCAACACCGGCGCGGCTTCTGAAGGGACAAAAATCGTCTGCCAGGTTTATGAAGTCAAAATTTCACTGTCAGTAGCAAGCAAAGAGCCGAGATTCATCCTCAGCGAGGTTGACCTTTGTAGGTAATCGTTTGAGTCGCCGATAATGACCAAATTGAACTATGGGGATGAGTGCCGCCATAAGGTTAACCTTAGTAACCGAATTGAATTTCGTACCAGGGCTACTTTCACTGAGATGACTACTTAGATTAACACGAACGACGACGCTCTGTTGTACTTAGCCCATTCTAGTAAGCTTAGCCATATATTCCGCTTGCCTCATCTATTTCATGGAGCCAACGTTGTCCTCATCCGGCGAGCAGAACTATTGGCATTTTGATTTCTACCAGTACGACTATTACGGCAGCATTTATTTCTTACAGTAAGATATAGTATCTGTAAGTAATTCCTAGGGTATTAGGTACTCCCTCTAGTGACATGAGGTCCAATTCCTTATGTAATGTCTACTGATATGGTTGGGAAGGAGGTACCTTCCATGTCAAGCAGCAGTCCACGTGAACCATCCGTCTTCAAACATTCTCTTTGATCACTGCAATTCTTCAAATATCCCAAGAGTCCAATTGCACCTTCAAAATGTCTCGATCAAACCTCCCACTCAATGGCCCCTTTCACCACGAGGAAATTCCTCGTAGGGACATTGCCTCCGTCAAGGTCAAGCTGGCCAGGGCGAGGTACCTCGTGACTGACATGACGCAGAATGCGCCGACCGGTAGTGATGACGCTGCCGAGGCCGGATATCATTCCGAGAACCGTAGCCGTAGTGAAACTATGATGCTGGCAAAGGAATGTCAAGCCATCGTTGAGGCTTCCCGGTCCTTGCAGGCCGAGACTGATCAGAATATCACGGCCATAAGAGACATCCAAAGGGTCAGGGCAACGCAGGCTTCTTTGACAAACTCCCCTGGTCATCTGCGTCGAGAAGCAGCAGCTCAGGTCCTCAAGCATTTGACAGGCTCCAGAGACGGACTCCGCAGCCTGATCCGGCAGGTTGCTTCAGATGCAAGTCCTGAGGTCAGAGATGCGGTCACTGAGGCTCTCGCTCGGGCCACAGACTCGCAGGCTGAGAGGTGGATCACTGGAGCACAGCAAGCGCCAGAGGTCGCTACCCTCCAGCAGACAATTAAGGACAAAGATACCGAGTTGTCTCTTCTAAAGGGGGAGATTGAGACGAAGAGGAAAGCCAACTTCGCATTCCAGCGCGATCGTCATCAAGCTGAGACTAACCTCATAAGTGAAAAGGCCAAGGTTGCTGCTTTCGAGAAGCAGCTCAAGCGCACTAAGGAACAATTAGATAGTGCCCAGGAGAGGATCGGAGCCTTGGAAGAGGAGCTCCGCCTTGCCAAGTTGAGCGGGGATTGGTACCAGAGCCAGGCAGAACTTCTTCATGAGGCTCACAGGGATGCCGAGGATGAGAAGGAGACCCTGGCATTTCACCTGTCTCAACATAACCAGAGTGTAGCCAATCTGAGGCAGCAGCTCGCTTCCGATGCCCAGCATGCTCAGGCGGAGCAGGCTTTAATGGAGACAGAGTTAGAGAACTCCATTTCCAAGCTAGAAGCTGCTAAGACGGAAACCAAAGACGTCACTCAAAGGCTGGACCGAGCCGAAAGGCGCCTTGCATATGTTGAGGTTGAGCTGACTACGGCGCAAAAAGACCTTGCGTCCTCTAGGCAAGAGATTGACGACGCTGCAATAGCTCGTACTGGACTTGAGAAGAAGATCTCCAAACAAAGGGCATCGCTGGTAAGTCAGGCCACGGAGATCGGACAGCTAAATAGCCTCATCACAGCTAGAGGCGAGACTATTGATAGCCAAATCGATCAGGCCTCCGTCTTTCTCCGTCGCATGTCTCTGGATATGGAGTCAGACATTTGGCGCCGCGTAGCTGAGGGGGTACTTACCGACTCTACTGTGGCTCCGGCAGCCCCTATCCCATGGCAGCCATGGAGAGTTCTTCCATCGTGGTCGCATGATGAGGCCCTGGACGTCCAAGAGGATGACAGGAGTATCCACTCTCTGGCGGTGGATATCGCTGCCATCATGAAGGTCCCATCTGCACCAGCAGAGCCCCTATTGAGCCGTCTTCAATCTCTGCAGGATTTGATGGTAGATAAGTCTCCGCTGGTGCCGACTGTTTCCCAGATACTTCTGGAGTCGCTGGCTGGAGCAGTGGGAGACGAGCGCCTTCATCTGATGCACCATGTGCTTGTTTGCCAGATCGCCATTCTCTTGTGTGGGAACGGCGTTGAGCTAAATGAGGTCATTCTGGATCCACGAGCCACCGCTTTGGTGAGTGCCTTGGGGGCATGGGATCCAGAATCAGGTCCCGTCCTCAATTTGGCCTGTTCTCTTTCTTACCCAGAAGTCGCTCTGGTGGGGTTCAACCACAGCCCTCGAGGCATTATCGCTGCCAGCCCTCTGAACCGGGAGCTTCTGTGGGTTGATGAGGCTCAAATTGATAACACGCTTACGCATATAGAACTTTCTTCAGAGAAAGTTGGCACTATAGCACTACCTCTCGATACAAGGGAGAGACAGTTGTGGGCCGTTGCTCATTTGTAGTTAGATAGACTGATATGCCAGAAATGAAGAAGCAAAGCTCATGCCGAACTCTCAAAAGATGGTGACTTCTGAAATCGCTGTGACGATAGTGTGAGTAGCTGATACAATACATCGTGATCACAGTCTGCACAGATATACTGTAAGTACGTGCTTATAGTCATAAAAGAGCCTCAACGATATGGTATTCAGCTATTCCTTTCGATCACCCGAGTGGACCAGTCCTATAAGCCTCGCGATACACTTCTCGAGTGCAAATGACTGTGTAGGAAACATGAGAGGTAGGGGCTGGAGGCAATTTGTAAACGATTATTTAATTGAAATTTTAAATGCAACACCATTTCAGATATTTGGGACAAGTTGGAATAATTTAGCATAACTTAGGACAACATTTAACAGCAATAGACCAAAGCGAACGACCTCTATCCGGTCCCAGGCATGTCAGTGGACACTACATAAGGGATTAATATCATATCGATAGAAAGGAATACTTGTTGTTGTAAACCCCGAAAATCTCTTACGTACATATTATGTGTTGCCATAGAATAATGATTAATCCCGTAGTGATACACTTCAAATGTGTGATCATCTCACCTTCACAAATGGCATCGGCATGTTCGGCATCACTCGTGGCAGCACATATGGCTTTTTGGGGGCGCTATAGCCACTGTCTATACGAAAAAAGGGCAGGTTGATTGAGTTGGTTGTTGATGAACATAGAAAAGCGGCAACACAGGTGTGGTATGTTTTGGGTGGGAGGGGGGAGTCCTGGCGCCAGGGATGACTGAAGCATTAATGTATGTACTCTTTCGTGATTGGTCTCAGGCTGAAAGATTGAACTGATTGTTGCCTCTATCAAGGCTAAGCAACAAAAGATAGTGGCAGATTAAGGTGGTTCAGTATAAATGCTTCAGTTCGGTTCGTTGGATTTGATTCAGCCTCGAAAGCATCATTGCTACCGTCCAAACAATCTGATTCATCTGGGCCACTGTGTATTTTGACTTGGCTATGTTGAGATTGAGCGCAATATCCCACCAGAGCGGTCTCCTTGTACTCAAAGGCGTCAACTAGTGGTGAGGCTCTTCGATGTTCACAGGACCTGCTTCGTCACTCAAGATTATAAGGTCATTTGGGACAGCACAAAAGATCCGCCGAGCGCAATGTTTCTGCATTAACTAAACTTAACACAATTACTAATTTACAATTTAGTGGAGGTAGAACTCCAATACGGCCCGCTGTCCAGATGTTGCCACTCTGACAAGCACACATTCAGTCTCATGATCGGTGCATTTACGTCGACTTATTGCCTCGGGCCTTGGCATGCCATCTAAAACGTTCTCTAGGCAGTGCCATTCTGATGACCCGGAATCGAGAAAGACGCCGAGTTCCGTCTTTGACTCGAGTCGGAAGAGCAAGGGAGCTATCGCGAGCGCGAGCGTTCTGAAGTCGTATGGAGCAAGTGCCTGGGATAAGATCGGCAAATCTACCACCTCGCGAGCAAGTTCAGCATACATGCTGGCAAGTTCTCCAAGACTGCCTTCAGGGATCCGGAGTGATCGCTGAGTCTCTCGGGTTAGTTGACCCTCCAGCTCTGTGAGCTTGGTCTTTGCATCAGTCAACTGCCTGCCAAGGTCTTGCCTCTCCGTCTCAGCATCGGAGGAGAGCCTCAGGGCATTTTCTAGCTCAGCTTCCAGGGTCTGAACCTCGCCAGTAGCTTCGTCAAGCTTATCCCTGAGGAAATTTTCACGGGCCAAAGAGCTACTGAAGTCTTGAAGGTAAGTGGCGGCATTAGAGTTAGAAACTCTAGCCTGATTGGCAAGGTCCTGAACCTGAGCATTTGCCTCCCTCAAACGTTCTTGGAGCTGTCTCGTGTCGCCCAGATCCCTGCGCAGATTATCGAGCTCCCAATCCTTGGAATTCAGGAGCTCGACCTTGTCTTCGAGCCGTCCTTGAAGGGACTCCTTGGCCTCCTGGTGAAGGGTTTGGGCATCCGCGAGATTCTCTGTCAGCTGTTCGATCTGTGCCTCAAAGTTGGATCTTGACTCCTCCAAATCCCGCGCGCGCTGCTGGGTCTTTGTCTCCCGTTCTTCAAGCTGTAGGATTCGATTTGTCTGGCTATCGAGCCGCTCACCCAGAGAGCGAATTTTCTCCTGAGCGACGTCGTACAGACAATTGAGCTCGTCTAGATCGGTAGAGAGAGACCTGGCACGCTCAGCCTCCGCCATAATCTCCTGCATCTGTCGCTGCATCTCAGGGATCTGACCGGCCTCCGTCCTGGCCTCCTGTAGCTGTCGATGCAGCTCAGGGATGTCCTCAGCCTGCTTCTCGGCAACTTCTAACTCCGATTGCAGCTGCGAGACGTACTGGTTCCTCCGGCCGACTCTGTCTTTCTCCTGTTGGAGGAGAAGATCTACTTCGGCCTTGGAGCCTCTGAGTGTCTGCAACTGATCTATCAGTCGCTGATTTTCCACATATGCCTTCTTGAGCTCCTCCTCTTTGAGGCTCAACTTATCGCGAAGCTCAAATGGCTTGAGGAAACTCTCGAGGGTCATCTCATCCCTTAGCCCTGCACGCACATTCGCCGGGATGCCTTTAATTGACTCAGTCAGTGTTTTCACACTGTCTGTGAAGCCATTAGTCAACTCGGCAACGTGCTCCGGCTTCAAGCTGTGCTGGAACCTCTCATTGAGCCCACTCAAGGTTGTGTCAAGGCTCTCTCCGACGGCTTTGATGTCTCGGATGGCCTTGGAGGTCTCACCAGACGAGGTGTCAATTGATCTCTGGTGCGATCTGGTGGCATTGGTCATCTCTTCCAGAGACTGGGCCATACGGTCTCGGGTTTCCTTTGCCGCAGAGGACAAGGTTGACGTGAGGCTATCTATAGTCTCAGGTAAACTGGTAAGCTGCTTTGCATCTCGAAGCAACTTTTCCTTCTCTTCGAGGAGAGCATTCCGCTCATCCTCGAGAAGCCTCGACCTGTCGTCGGCTTGTGACATCAGAGCCTCTGCCTGCCGAAGCGTCTCTATCGCGCTGGCATCCTTCTGCTCAACGATTTGATAGGCGTGAAGGAGTTTCCTGCGGATGGTGGCCGCAGAGGTTCGATCAACCACCGACTCCAAGAGCCAGTCAATGGTTTCGAAATTGAACAGCGTGATCTCGGGTTGTCGCTCCATTTTGATGTTGCGAAGTGAGTGTTCAGGTGACAAGAATTGAGTCCGAGAAGGAAGGAGGTGTACCCAGGAAGTCACTTAAACAAGTACCTCAGGCAAACACCAAGATTTCAGTACCTTGATACTTATAGGTACCCTTTCCCGTCGTTTCAGGATTTAATTCTTTAAAGGCTCCAAGTATCCCGTAAGCGCCTTGATGTAATATGCCATATTCAATTACCCAAGTCACTAAAGCTGGTCTGGCAACTGTCTTCCTTCTTTACTGTAGCAACTGACGGGACTACTCTCTCGGCTTGAAGGGCTAAGCCCAAGATAAAGGAGCAAATGCACAGTTTTACAATCTCATCAGACTCAAATTTACTTCATGACTTCCCTTTTCCTAGTCATTCCATCTCACCCAGCACATATCTTGACCAGATGAAGGCTTTGTGTCAGGATGAAAATATTAAGAATGCATTACTCCGTTTCTAAAAGTAATTATACTCTAATTTTATAATCATTAATTCCAAGTGTCAGAAATTGGTTGCATTTTGGGATTGCAGATGAGACTTGTGGCTGAATGCTGAAATCAACAGATAGAACTTATCATTCTGGACGGCGTGCAATTGAGCTATTTGCCAATTTTTAGCCTCTAACTATTATCATACCCTAATATAGCTTTCGCGTCGCTCCGCCCTGAGTTTGATACTTCCGATCACCACCAAAATGCTGTTGAAGGATGCGACTCTCGACGCTGCAAGTAGATCAGCTAAAGCTCCCCATTCCACCACCGTACTCCATCAGCCCAACCAGCATCATAATATTCTTTCCACCATGGTAAACATCCGTACTACTTCTTTTTGGCAGAAGAGTGACCCTCAACGGAGCAGGGGTTATCGGTTCTCGCCGGAGAAATTGGATGAGTTGACAGCATCGACTACATAGGTTAGTATGGCATAATCAGAAGATGTTTCACGCTTACCAGAGACGGTATCAGTCTCAGACTGGTCAATACCCTGGTCGTCGCGGGCGGGGATGAACTCCGCGATGATGGTGGTGCAACCAGTTGCCTCAATGACCTTGTTGTACATCGCGACGGCTTTGGCAGGATTGCTGATGATGGCGGAGATCTCATAGCCAGAGGTGTTGCCCTGTTTGCCAGACATGGTGGGAGAAATGCCGAATGTTTGAGTTGATGCCGACAGTGAAGGACCCGAGGCGTTGATCATTGTAGATGTAAACCTGGGTACTGGTGAGTCCTCTTCCGTCTCTAAATGGCTTGCCGGCTATCTGCCGAACTATCGGGGGCCAATCGCAGGCCTAGGTGGCGAAGTGCTGCAGCGACTGAAGAGCCTTCTGCCTCAGACTCTGCTTCCTGGGGGGGGGTCATATGGGCGGAGTAGCTAGTGGCTCGCATTACCCGCAGTATGAGGCTATGCTCAATTTCCCTGACACGCCCGCGAGGTGGTCATCTTCCCCAGCGACAAGGCGACGAGGGGGTGCCGGTGCTTTGCATACACCGTTGGCGGCTAGTAGATAGTATATATAGTGTTGACGGGCACGCGCTCAATCACATACACAGCGTGTTGGAGGACCTTGAAACCTGCTCTTTCTTCCTTCACCTTAGCTCGTCAAGTGATCAGAGGGTTCATAAGACTTATAACGAGAGTCATGGGGTTTCCGAGATCGGCCAGCTAGTCGCCTGCGATTGGGGGCGATGGCGCGGGTTGAATGACTGCTTGCTGTCGGAGACCTAGTCAGCAGAGAGACTTGCAGTGCCACGGTTGGGTCTGACAGCGATCTTGAGTACCTGCTTGCACCTACGTGTACCGAACTCCCCGCGTCGCTTATAAGAACAATCTCCCTTGCCGCAATGCGAAGCTTTTGCACCATGTCAGGTAAAGCTTGACCGGTGTTTGCGGCTTCTATAAGCCCGCCGTTCATCCTCTGAGGTGCACGTTCATCGGTGTCCTTGGCTGCTTTGACGGCGCTGTGTACGGCTTTAGTGGGGTAGCTGATTTTGAGCTCTGTCGAAGTCATGCTGTAGATTGCCTTCCAATAAGCTCCAAGTCGTTTATATTGAAGGGGCTCTTTAGCTGCGACTTTGCCGGTAGAGATTTGCTTACAGCTGTATGCTCACCAATGCGACAGAGCAGGCCAGAAAAGACATGAGCCATTTGCCGTCGGCGTGGAGCTTATATAGGGTATCAGGTAATTGAAGCCCCTCACTGCCGCCAGATTGTCGTTGAGGATCTGCGAAGCCATCCTCCTAGAAGACAAGCCAGTGAAACTTTTGACGATGACGCGATAATTCCCAGCGTAAAGGAGAGTGTCGATGAAACGGGTGCCTCAGATCCCGGATTGGATAAAAGATCAGCTGTGTCAGATAAGCTTCAGGTTAGAAAAGGTGGCTCTTGTGATCAATGTGTTGCGCTTGGGAACGAACTGCAGGCGATTCACCGGCGATAGCATTATTGCTGGGACTTGCAAGTGTAGGCAGAATCTCTTAAGATCTATGTAGTAGAGATCTTTGATGCCCTTCATACCGATCAGGCCGGAAGACTTCTTTCGAAGTGAGGTGTGCCACCGTGCCTCCACCTGGTCCTCTGATTGCTGGTTCCATCTTTTACGTATTGCAGCCTCCACATTGGAGCATCTTGGGTCCTCAGGCGCAAGAGGTAATCTGATGATCTCCTGATTGTCCAAAGAGGGTTATGAGTCCCTAATTGCTGATTGTGGTCGCCATAGGCTAATTGCATCCAGTAGCTGAATATAACGCTGTTTGTGGAACTCCTCGGGTTGGGGATGGCCTGAGTCTAAAGTCTGTCGACATGCTGCATTGAACAGAAGAAAGGTCATAATGGGGTGTCCTTTGAGCATGCTTATCAGCATATAGAGATCTGTCCAACTATTGTCCAATGCTCCATGCCCAGGATGGGAGATCAACGACGGCTGTGACAAAACTTTCCGGGTGGGGTTTTTCGATGTCATTGACCAACATGAGTGAATGATCCTGTCAATACATGATTCCATGTACGCGTCTTCCGTGTAGATGTGAGCTTGAGTCGCGGTCATCTGGCGACTACTTAGCTGAGAAATAAGCTCTTCTTTGGCCAAGCGCGTACTGTAAGACACCAGTTGAGGAGTCCTGTCGTCCAGACGGCTCATGACACACGGATATTCTGGTCGCCAAAAAATTGGAAGCCATTGATGGACATGGCAGGACTGATGGTGAGCCAAATAAATGCGTCGCTCTGTTGGCGCTCAATAAAGTCTGTCAGCTCTCTTTAACCCTGTTCTGATTCCATGGACCGACGGCTGAGTTTCCCGATTTGATATGCTGATGACCGCATGGCAGTCGCCTTTCCATGAGCTTTAGAGGTTTCTAATATATAGCTTGTAGGTCCATCGTTCGTGTCAGCAGGGAAATTGTTATCAATTCGCCACTGTCTGTAGACCAGCGATATACGGCCGATCATGTCATCACGCTGAGGTCCATCCTTCCACAGCCAAGGGGGGGCTTGATCTCCGAGTCGTTTGACTATCAATGTTAGCATGTCCCAATAGGAATATCGAGGAAAAACTTACAGATTTTTCTCCAGGCATTCTTATCGACGTTGTACTCGAAGAATCCAGCACCGATCTACCTTGCTCTTCGCTGGCCAATTTCTGACTGACCACTTGCTCTGACACCCAACGCTTCTCACCAACGTGTTCGGCATAGTCGCTGCCAATCTGTCGGATGAAACCATCCAGCCTGGCTCGTCACTGGGAAATATCCCCGGGAGGAATAAGGAAAGCATCAAGAGGTATTTGCTGCGTATTTGCCCCCGCAACAGAGGGACTTGAGAATATGTTTGCATCCTGTTCAAAGGTGTCAACAGGCAAATTCCGATCAATTCGCCATTGCTTGTAGGCTGACGACACCCCGTCGCTCACGTCGTCACGCGCTGGTGATTTGCCTTTAAAAGGCTAAAGGGGAGCCTGGTCGCGAAGACGGCGAACTTTCAAGTCAGCATGCACATACCTGTGGGTTCGGATAACCCACACAGCCAGACTCGTCGCTGGCAAATGTCTCTGGGGGGGATGATGGATGCATCAAGAGGTACTTGCTGCGTATCTCTTGCCGGGGCAGAGATGCTCGAGAGTTTTTGCGGAATCTTGTTGGGGAGCATATTTTCTGAGGTCCCCGACGATCAGGAGCAAGAGTTCTACAATTCTGAACGTCTTCATTTTGGTTCATTGGTTACTGTTTCTGGCTTGACGAAACACCCTCGCTCATCTCATCTTTGGCCAACATATGACCTGTTCATCCTCCGTGGGCAGCCCCTGCTTGATATCCTTGTCTAATATCTCTCTCATGTATCGCCTGCCGAGTGCAACTTGGGCGTGAGAATAGCCATCGAGAAAGGAGGGGATTGGGTGCTCCGCATCAACTTCAATGACGGTGGCAGGGTTGTCGTGCAGTTTCTGGGTTGACTGCAATGTAAGTCGCCATTTCATGATGGGACCTGTGTCGTTGACATGCTTGAGGAGCAGGGTGTTGTGTGAAAGGGATTGAGTAATAGTCGGAAAGACGTCCTTTCTGGTGAGTGGAGGGACAAAAGGTATGGCATGTGCATCGTCTTGGTCTCTGGCTAGAACTCGGTTCTCAATGATGTTGTACATTGCATTGCCACGCGAGTTGTCGACAGCGTATTCAGGAATAGCGTATACATGCCGTGGGATGGGTATCTCGTAGTGAGCGACAGGGTAGCTGGAGCGGATGCTCACGAGCTCAGACAGTAAGTTGTTGCCGAAGAGGTTGGATGTCGTGAGAACTCGAATGGATGCTGACTGTGTCTCAGAGATATCGCAAGCTCATTGAACAAGTCCGGCCAGAGCCAGAGCGCAATCGGCAGACATGTAAGGGTCAATCGAGAATACGACAAACACTTGCTTTGGCAGCATCAGACTACTTTCCCATTCGTCCGCATCCTCGACCTGTTTTCAGTTGCCAGTTCCGTCGCCAGCACGGTTCTTCTCGAGAATAGATGAGAACCATTCGTACTCTAATGTTGTTTCGTTATACTGTGGAAGAAGCGGAAGATCCAGCATTTCCGTCCTGCATATTCGCTGCTTGTGGCGAGAATGGACGAAGATGATGGGACAATCGATTTCTTGACCCCGGATTGCAGAGATGATCTCGCGAGTTGTCGTCTCTTCCGCGCTAAGGCAGCTTGGGACGACAAGGTGGCCAAAACGGATATCTGCCAGCCAATACGGCTCGGGGGGGTTCTGAAAATCCTCAATGATGCTAGATAGAGAGAGAGCTGAGAGGGGTGTAGGAGTCCTCAGAGCCGACGTCGACTTCGTCGGTTTCGCTTCCGTAGCCGCTTGACATGGTGCCAGATGCTGATGTATGGTTGCAAAGACTCGATTTCCTTCTTCGACACGGCCAGCTCCGTGGTCAGTGCCGCCGTCAATCAACAGCCCGCCCGATGTCTGGGTTGTCTTTGTCAGCTTCGATATCAGTCACCGTCTCGTGTACCCTCACCATTCTGTTCATAATCAAGGTGCCGAGAAAAAGACGGTGGTCACCACTCCAGAGCCGGTGAACGACAAGTTTCGCGAGTGTGCTGCAAGCCGGCTGAGTAAAAGGGTGACTTGAGGTCACAAAGTCGCCGATCTGACGTGCAGGTACTGTACACCTTTAATGGGGGAGAGCATGATCTCAGAACGCATGAGGCGGTCCTCAATCTCTCCCTTCGTTTTTTGGCCAGGCTTCTGAGGTGATGGCGGCGGGAGTGGATTGTTGTTGGGGCGCTCATTTCAGTCAAGAGAAAAGTAAGCGCGGTCACGTTGAGCTTAACTGGCATCAGCAGACTTTGATGACGCAGCGGGTGTAAAGACAAACATAACCTTCAAGGTCGTGGGATATGAGCACGAAGAGGGAAGCGGCGACCTTCATGGAACCAGTAGTAGCTCCAGACATCTGGAGCGACCGGACTGCTGTATCAACAGGCAACGCCTTTGGGTCTTGGGTGGCGTCAAGCTCTGTCTGGAATTCCTTGACTGGTTTCCCGCGTTTGCCCTGGAACACCTCGATAGCAAACTTGGCAGTCCAAGGAAATCCAGTTGGTGGAGAGATATGCTGAGTCTCCTTCGCTTCGAGGAACTCGTACAGGAGTGTTCACCAGAGAGCCAGCGCAGGCTTACTAGCCCGACCGGTTACAAGCAACTTGACCTTTTCCGCAAGGGATAGCTTCTTGAAAGAGTCGCACTCGTCGGTGCGATGCCGCTTGCACAAGGCCAAGACGCGACGAAGTCGCCTTGCTTGGTATGTCGGAAATTGCGAGACATTTCCAAAAGCATCAACCACGGCCGAGCACTCTTGTCCGGAGGGGTTATATATGGCACTGCCGAAAGCCATGTGCATAACATCAGGGTATAATCTGATGTGGCCAATTGTCAGTCATCAGAGAACTCTGGTGGGCTTGGTAACTTACTTATATATAGATGTGTAGGTTGTGGGGGATGAAGGTGTCTGCTCTAGAGGGCTCCATCTTCTAAGGAACGTGGTCGAGCTGAGAAACGAGAGAATTCATGGCTGACTCAGCTTCAAGGAGGTCACTTCGGATGACCCGGGGAGATCTGGTGTTCAGACGTCAGCTAGGTGAACAAGATAGACTTGACACTCACTCGAGTGCCGGTTCATGGCTTACGCACACTTTCTCTCTCTGATCATCAGCTTTGATCGGGAAGAGATTGAGGTCCATGAAAGTGCTCACCTATAGTTTATCAGTCTTGGAGTTCATGTGACTGGGCACTGAGTAGCGGACCTCTTGGTGTCAGCCAAGGTATAAAAGAGGATGTATATATATAAAGAGAGGATATGGACTGATACCATGATCGCACTTTGAGATGAATGAGTGAAGGAGGAGGGAGGGAAAGGGATCATTTATAGGCAGAATCATGTGACCTTTCCTCCATCACAAACCCTTGTTTCCATGCATCTTCATATGCTTGCGATGACCATGACGTGTCATGGCAAAGACCAAATGGATTGCGCCGTCGACAGCTGAAAGGTTTGATCTAGTTCTGAAGATTCGAGGCTGAAATGCACTTGTAAGCGAGGTCCTGGCAAGTATGCTTGACAAAACAGTAGCAAATTCATGAAACATGCTCAACAAATGTATCTCAATCTCAAGTGGACATCACTTGGAGAAATCGGCCTTTTTGTGGGATCAAACATGCCATCATACATCTGTAACATACGGGAACCAGTTATTGAAGTTCAGATCCATGGTGAGAGATTGTGTACTGGGAACGACGACTACGTCTTCGATGGTAGTCCATCACATCATCAGAGTCTGTTGGAGAATGGTGAGAAGCCGTTGCCGTGGCTGAGACAAGGTTCCATCCCACATTGATGTGACCAATTGTGCAATTCACGCAATCTGGAATAGGCAATTCCACGACCAGCCCTTGTCCACGATCCACATAGACGAGTTGGACTGCGCCACTAACAGACGCCGCGTGCAATCCACATGGCTCGAGCCAATATCAGGGGCTAGCGTGGTGTCTTTCCAGATAAGCGTGTGGGGAGAGGGTACATTGGAAGAGGGTCGGTGCGGTGTCGAAAAAGAGAGCAGGGTATGGTTTGGGCTTCGTGAGGGATGATGGTCGACCGTATCGGACTTTGAGGCGTCGCTTCGCTTGACTGTATGTCTAGGAATCAAATGTCAGTTCTCTGCGCAAATATTGCCAAGTCGCTCACCTTTTGGTGTTTTTGGCAGCAAAACAGAATGATGCTTTGGCCGCTTGTCTTGCTTGGACCGTCGCGTGGTTTGCGTGTTGACAGAATCAGTTTGACCGCATCGCGATTGTGGAGTTGCACGTCAAGCAGAAACCGGATTTTCATGTTTGTAATTTAGTCAATGTCGGCAACTTTGCGCGTAGAGAACCAGTTGAGGGTTCAACTGTATGAGCTTGGGTGGTTTGAGCTTGTTGTCCGTCTCTTGAGCCAAATGTCTGAACGCGCTGGCCCGTAAGAGTGGGCCCGACTCTTTTGTTTACCCTGAACAGTGCAATTCCACGACACGAATGCTTGTAAACCTATTGCAAGCGCTCGTCCAGGTAGAAACCTGATTTAAAAACTATATAAAGATAAAACTCAAACAAAATCTGATTGTTAGGTCATATGTTACTTGTCATCGTTTCATCTGATACTGCATGTTTCCAGCAAAAGTTCGGATTTACAATGGGGAACTTGAGCCATCATCATGTTTGTCATGGAATGAAATAATTAAGCCGTCAGGAATCACAAGTTAGCACATCTTTTGAATTTGAGTTAGATATCAAGTTTGACAAACGAATATGGCAAAGAATGCGCATTTGCTATCCATACGTCAAGCGGAGAAGAAAGACTCCTACAGCCTCTAAAGAAGTTCATGCTTTTTCATGGACTGCATCCAGATGCCTAAGGACCAACGGACGCAATCAACTTCCCCAAGATCCATAAAGTTTGAGAGACGGTAGAATTGGCCAAAAGTCCTTTGCTGAGTTGATGGAAAAGCGGAAAAGGGTCGAAATAAAAAGGAATGGCGGGAGAGAAACGCCAGCAGGCAAGTCATGACAAAACAGGGCTCTCATGGTTGTCTCGCAATTCTCAAGAGCCAGCTCAAGCCCCATCATCCTCGCAAAATCTGGCATGAGATATCAGCTCAGTGAACGTACTGCACTCGTCTATTCCAGGCAGATATATGGCACAAGGAGTCACAAGGACGTCCAACAGTCCCATGAAGTTTCACCGTGCGTCTTCGATTGGGCCCAAACGAAGGAGGCATCGAGATGTCCCCCTAAATCGCTAGTCGCCAATCTTTTCATGAACACTACCAATATCATTTGCACTCATAAGCGACAAAGATGGTTTGGTCAATGTGACAGTGAGCAATGCGTAAATGTAACCTCAATTGTTGGTGTTGGCAGGCATCTACTCACTACCTTAAGGCCTGTTTAGATGAGTAAACTGCTGTGTCCTTGTCCATTTCACTGAAGGCAAATTGCCACTAATTATAGAGTTTGGCAAACTCTGTATTGCTGTCTTGAAATCGACCTGTAAAACTCGGGCTAACACTATTTGGCAATATGTTGAAGTTTCCTACAATCATTCTTTTTCCTACTGTGTAACTAGAAACACATCTAATGATTGTCCATCCTTCAACCATTGCCGATGTGGAGCTAGAGGCGGAACCCGATTGGCGATACAACATGTACCATAACCATACACATTCAGGAATGATTCGGCTTTCTTCAAACATGAAATCACCCTCAAACTTCGTCGTCAGCAAACCCCTCGTGGCTAACAATTGGCTCCAGCATCGCTAGAACACTTCCCACCGGTCCAGCCTTTTTTTCCCATTCATACACAACATCTTTGGGAATCAAAGTCCAGTCTCTCAAGATGAGAGTGTTGTTATCAAATTCTGTCTCGAGGGAGTGGGAAAAGCCAATGACTGTCTTGTCACCGCTGCCCCGAAGAAGACCAAGGATGTCAATCAAATTGGTTGGTGACATGTCAGGGGGCCCAAGCACACATCTGGATCCACCGGATAAAGTGCAAATCGTGGGAGAGCCACTGTGGCTTCCATCGCCGACTAATTGCTCGTGACATACAGTAGCTTGATACATGTATGCTCTGAATAGATCGCCGTGAAGCTCGCGCTGCTCTTCCGGAGTCATCTCCTCAGTCTCCTTCAGAAGGGGCAGAAAATAACCATGAAGCATGCGTTGGTCATATGGAGTCATATCCTCAAATTCCATCCAACAAGGCAGCAAATCGTCAAGAAGCGTGCTTTGGGCATATGGAGTCCTGTCACCAGTCTCCATCAAAACAAACGGCCGATGGTTGATGTCTCGGCCATGTCGACCAACGAGATAGGCCAATCGGCCAAAGACCTTCTCAATCCTTCCGCCCACTGATTCGTCAACAGACACGAATCCATCGAGGTTGTCGTAAAGAGACATATACTCGTCATGTTCCTGAATGTGTTGATCCCGGTTCCTGAGTAAGCCAAGGAACAGCCACAGTGAACCTTGCCCCGCCAGTGGTGGGCCAAAACCACGACATTCCTTGAAAATGCAATCTGGTAGCCTGGGGATTTTGTCCAACGTGACTATGTCCTCGAGGTTAGTGGTGAGCATAGCAGCCAGCTGTGTTTTGATGCGATTGACCACCGGCGAGGCCTCGGTAGCAACCAAAAGGGCCAGGCGATAGTCATAGTTTAGCAATGGTAAAGTGTCGACGAAGATATCTGCTTCTTTGCTAGTCAGGGCGCTACCATTGGACTTGATCACTTGTTGTCTGATTAGTCTGTCTGTGATCTCCCGTACTACGAAAGGATTGGTTGCGAAGGTCTTGATGATACCATCGCGATTTCTGGAGAACCATGGGAGGCTGGTGACAGTAGCAATGAAACCGCCGAGTTGGTGTGCTTCGACAAAGCGGGGGCCAGCATAACCCTGTTCGATGTATTCATGCGGGCTCAGGCCGTCTTGTATATGCATAAAAACAGACTTTTCATTTCCTTGATAAGCCCACCAAAGTTGACGGCGGCGGTCTTCCATTGACAGAGGATAGTCACGGCGGACCATCTGATGCAACCCAATGTCCCAGACTTGTGCCGTCTTGCTGTAGCCAAGCACAACATGTATCTCCTCGAAGTCTTTGATGGTGAGTGGTAATATAGCAACGTCTGGCGCGATCAACATCAAGCGAGTATTTGGACCTTCTAGCCTGTAGACCAAACGGCTGTAATCGCCTGAGCCGATTGCGAATCTGCCCTTGTCAATGAACTGGTCGTCCTCAGGACTCTGCTTCGCCTCCAAGGCTCTGTAAAAGGCAATGTCAAAGCACAGAATGAGACGAGACTTTTCAGGTTCTCCTCGGACTCGTGCCAGAATATTCGACACTTGGGTATCCATGTACTTAGAATTTATGATTGTGCAGTTTCGCAAGGGGTCGAGCTCTCCGTGTTGAGCCAAGTCGAGGTCGGCGAAGTGATATTGGAGACCTGAGGTATCCAGGAGTCTCTTGAGAAGGTCACAATCCTCTTCTGCTGAGAGGGTCACCAGCCGAATATTGTGATCTGGTAGAGTCGACTGTGCCAGCGACCACTCAACGATTCCGGCCAGTGATATCGCGCAATCCGCTGGAATGTTGGGATCAATCTGAAAGATAATGACAATCTTCTGTGGTAGCCAGCCGCCCCTGTACCGTCTCTCAGGATCCTTATATTTTAGCCAGATCGTATGATCGGATTCATTTGCGTCTCGGTTGAAGTTGCTTCGAATATGTTCGAACAGTCTGTGGTACGCCATGATTTTGATGGTGGTATGCCCATTAGAGAGATAGCCCTGCTCGACTTCCGGCTCAATGTCTGGAACAACGAACATTATATACTTCTCTTCTGGAAACATATCCAGGATTTGCTTTCGTATACTGGTCTCGAGGCGATATGGCGGGATCTTGATGTGACCAAATTGAGCAGTCGGTTGGCCAGGCACCGAATCCTTCCTGTGATGAAAATCGATGAAGAAGTTGGCGAGGGCATCACCAATCGGGTCGATCTGGTCAGTCATGGCGAATCTAGTGACTGGAGATTAATATGTAAACCGCGTTTGTTGTGGCGAAGCTCACCGTGTTTTGTGAAAATCGTTGTCCCGTCGCTGAGCCGCAGTACGGTGGACAGTTGAAGTCTGTACAGAGCAGTCTCCACCGCACTAAAAAGTGAACTATAAGGTCCTGTACTGTTTGGCTCAGGCCAGCAACAATCGAGCCGGAACATGAAACGGAATAAATTCACAGCCTTTTCAATTTCACAATGACATCAATCTGCTTGATCTTGCACTTGTGTTCTAGGAACTCTGATCTCATTTTCATTATTTTTACCTTCGTATATTCTTTGGAATCTCAAGTCGAACGTCCCACGTACATGTCGTTTTTGACTCTACACCCTTCCGTCTGTACTGAGAGACTCCAGAGCGCGGATGTGTTTCTGATGTATTTGATCTCCTCAAGGCTTGGACTCTTAAAAGCTTCTCGACTAGTTCCGTCTTACTGGATCTCTACTTGATTGCATGGACGTCGATCGTCGAGTCAGTCGTCTGGAGAGTCTTGAAGGCTTGGGATGCTCATGAGTACAACAGCCCAGCGTTGTTGAACTTCAGCAACTATTGGAACAATAGGTTGAACGATAGTGCATGCAGTTAGTTACAATTCATTTCTAAACAAGCTTGGTTATTTATTGAATGCAGTCAAATTATTCTTTCATTGACCTATCCATCATCCTCAACGCAGAAGTTGGCCGGGGGCTCGCCTATCGAGACCGTGGTTGATTGTGCCACCAGGCCTACCGAATACCATCATCCAAGCCAACGTGTTTCCTAGTCTGAACCTTGTTGTGTCTTCTCTCCCTCCAGATCCCTTGAGAAAGCGCCATGCCAAGCAAACACATCTTCCACCCCCTTACCGCTCCGAATAGCGGCCCGAACCCAGTACTTGAATGCAAGATTGAGTCGCATGTCCGCGCGGAGCATGTCTTGTCGAATCCATATCCCCAAGTACTCTCGAGCAACCGGCGGTGGTTGCTGCAAAATTGCATGAAGCTCGGGAATCAGCTGCTCCTCAGCCTCGTGCTGGACCCGGGCATTACGCTCGCTATCTGCGAGGTTGTTGACGGCCTCAAAATGAGCGGTTGCCAGCCCTTCCAAGTCCTCCATTCCCATCGGAAGTCCAAGCTTTTCCTTTGCAAGCAGAAGCGCGATATGGTCGGACAGTGTCGTGCTGTGACCCTTGGTGGCAAACAGTACCCAGTGACAGACATATTGCCAGAGTCTTCGCACCTCTAGCCGCACGGAGGGTGACGCGCTGAAGTTGTCGAACTTTGGGTCAACGCCGACGATTAAGGAAACCGGCTTACCAAACACAATTCGCCATGTGACGGTAAGTATGGGGCTGACGAGTCGCTCGATCTTATTGTGGATGGCCCGGTCCTTACCCAAGACAAGACGATTGAAGTCAAGCCATGGTGGAAGTGCGACCTCGACAGGACCGGGCACAGCTCCAGTGAGCCTTCCATCGCCGACATCCTCCCAAATTGCTTTCCGGGCATCCATGGAAGGGAAAGGCTTCATCCATGGCATCACTGTGGTGGCTCTGAAGCTGGGTACGAGGACCAGCGGCTCGTCCAAGAGGATGACAGGACTCAGTTCCTGCGCCTCGTCTGTCGCACTCAAGGCCGCAGTCTCAATCCTGCGCATCTGTGCCTCATACTTCTCGTGGGCAACCCCGGTCCTCCTTCCCCGAGCCTCAGCCTCAGCGACCGTCTCACTGGGAACAGGCAACCCATTGTTAAGGCGCCACTGTCGATAGTGGACGGAGGGGCCCAGACTCAGGTCGTGGCGACCAGGCTTCTCCTTGAAGGGCCACTTGGGGGCTAAGCCGAACTTGCTTCTATGGTGATCTGTACACATAGTTAGATAGTACTCTCAACGGAGTACCAGGAATGGATGGCTGTACTTACAGGTCTTCATCCAAACGGCCTCATCACATAAAAATTCGAAGTAGACCTCGCCCACTTGGTCTAACTCCAGAGTATGCAGCTTCTTGGCGATGCCATCCACGGACGATCGATATCTTGTGTCGAGAGAGTCTTCGTGATACATTCCTTGTCGAAGGAGATGCGCCTTTATCCACTGCCGACGGGACTGTTCGTCAAAGGGGTTCACCCCAGAGGTGTCGCTAACAGCTGTCAAGCTCATCCTGTGTTGCTGTGTACGCGTACGTTGTTGTGTTCGCCTAAGAAAGATTGGGACTTGGCGAAATGAGGTTGTGGAGGGAGGATTGCACGCCAGGCTTGGAGGCGACGCTAAGTCCAAATAACAGGGCGCTTAGCGGCTGGTATGGGTGAGCAGTTGATAGGTCTGCGCCTCCAGAAGTTAGAACTTCAGGTTCACATTGCCATGATCACAGTGAGGGCCGTTGATACATGCTCGTGGGATAACTTTGATACAGAAGCAGGATGGTTTCAGAGGTTACAAAGCAGATATTATGCTATGCTAAAAAGTCGATGATTGAAGAGAGGTTCACGAGTATAAGAGGGCGACAAGTAGTAAGTTCTTGAATATAGAGTCTCCGTGCCGTCTCAGTCGGCATGTATGAATGCACTCTGCGAGCCATGCGTCGTACTTGATCTGCCATCCTGAGATTCAGAAGGTTTACACTAAAAGAATATAACCTGGTAACAGATATTGGCGGCACTTGGAAATGGTACTGAATGTTGCTACGTCGCAGATGACCCCAACTGGTCCTCAGAGTGAAGAGACTTCAATCAATCCCTCATCACTTTCTATCTTATTGAAACACTTCGTTTTCGTCTCAAGTTACAGTAATCACACATGTTTTAGCTGAAAAGGTTACAGGAGAATTCTCTATTATCAACTACCACCCGAAGCCTTTCAACACTGCCTCAAGATTATCCGCCCTCTTCCTCTCAGTTTCACGGCCAGCTTTCTCCTCAGCCACATCTTTATGTAAGTCTGAAATCATCATCTTCTGATACTTTATTTTGTCTGATGATTCCTTTTTCTCCTCAAGCAGCTGGGCAACCTGTGCTCGAAGATCGCGAACCAAGTCGGACTCGTTGACCTCAGCAGACAGTTGGAGCCGCCTCTGCGATACGGGTTCTACCAGCACTATACCGCCGTTCATTCACAGGATACACGACTGGTTGATGTGTGTCTTGCGGTTGAGACTGTTCCTTGTTGAGGATCTGGGTGGTCTGGTTCTCAATTCGCCTCAGGGTTGACTTGATCTCTTGAATATCATCGTGGCCGGCACCCTTGAAATGAGACGCAAGGCACTGCTGGCCGTTCTTGACGACTTTGATACGCTTCTCAGGTCTGGGATCGGTAGTTGGTGAGAGAATTTGACTTGATATAAAAGCTGAGGGATGAGGAGTTGCCTCCTGTAACGAGGTTCGGACCTGTCGTCTGGGGAGTTCAAATCGCTCATAAGGCGATTCAGTGCGGATTTCCGAGAAATTCCTATCGCCCCAAGCGTACCCAGATCCACGTTGTCTGCTCTGCGGGTGAGGTGGGGACCTTGAGGCAGTTCTTTTGTTGGCTTGATTTCTCGCTAGGTCGGCTTGTTCGTCCTCCGACTCCTCTCCATCGACTAGCGCCCGATATCTGTGTTCTGGGCGGACAGGATTTGACTCAGGCGGTACGTTCTGGTTATCTTCAGGGATACCCATCTCTTCATCGACAGCCGTATCAGGACCGGGGGGCGGAATCACATCTTCTGCGTCGCCAGCCAATACATGTCCATGATCCGCCTCGTTGGCGGGAGAGCAGGTCTCAGGATTGGCATCTTGCTTGTAAGTCTCAATATCCCGAAAGACATCCTTGAGACTTCGGCCGAGGTACTCCTTCAACTCGGCACCGGTAGTTGGAAATTCAGTCTTCCCAGTTGTCCTCTCCGCTCTGGAAGCGCTGTATACGTCTCCCGGGCTACATCTCCAAGTCTCATCAGGCCAGTTGAAGTTTGTCACCGCATCAGTGAGCGCCTTAATATCTCCAAGAGTGACAGGCAACGCAGGGACGTCAAGGTAGGCCTTCTCTTGCTCGGTATCATCTTTCTTCACCTGTTGGCCGATGAAGTCAAGGAAGTCAGAAAAGACCGAGACACCACCACCGACAATGCTCTGACGCGCGGACTTTTGCATTTCAAGCAAACTTCTATCCCCAGAGCCAGATCCATCAAACATGTTGAAAAGGGCATCGATAGCAGGACATTCGCGTTCCTTTGCATCTTTGTGTGGCCAAGGATTGCGGTTATCCACTCGACATTTGACCAAGTATTGAAGGGCCAAGACGAATCCTTCATGCTCAAGCTCCCAGCAAGGATGTGTGATAAGTGTCGCAAACAGCTTGCTGAATTCGGGTGAGAATACAGCTTGGTTTGCCCTCTTCCGGCCACTCCCTAAAGGAAAGTATTTCAGTCCACACATCGGGGACATCAAAGCGATAGGGGAAATCCGCCAAACGCGCAAGCAGACTTTCCATAGTGCTTTGAATTCTTTCACCACGGGCGTATTAAGGTCCGGGTTGAAATTCTCATAATCCTCCTTCTCATTGGAGGCATCATACAGCTTCATGGCCCCCCTTTCAATCTCTGGGCTCTCTCTCGAAAATTCGACCGCTGGATCAGGACGCATAATTTCCCCCAAGTCTTTCGGAAGTAACCGAGGCCGCGCCTCAAGGTAGCTTTTGGCGACGGCACGTGCGGACTCGCTGACCGGAGTCTTTGCCTTCATTTCTGGTCTTTTCTTTGTCTTGGTCGATTCCTTCTGACCCGGCTGAGGGCGAGTGCCATTGGATCCTCGTGGTTCGCTCATTGTGTGTAAAGAAGAATAGAATCAAGCTTGTATTGGTAGAATGAACAACGCGAGGTCTTGGGGAGGGTGAAAAACTTGAGTGTGACAGACAAATGATCAATTCGAGATGGGACGTTGTTCTTTCTAGGCCCACCGTGTTTAGCGCTGCTTTGACCTCGGGGATTTAGTTTACATGGTCGAGGACTTGTCGTTCCTAAAAGTTTTTGCATGTGACATTAATCATCATAAAACTTGAATTTAGTGACGTTTTCTACATCTTATACAATCTAATTGCAGACAACAGTTACCAGATCGTAGACGTTGGCTGAAAGTCAACAGCACATCAGCCACGCCCCAAATGACTTAGACAAGAGCCTTGACAATGCATCATTACAATCACGAATCCCTCAAAACAACCGCTTTCAACACGCCAATGAATAATGTACCTAGTTATGTAACGTCTTTAAGTTCCATGACCCCTATGGTATGCCTGGTTCCTAAGAAAGAGCCCTGGTTAAGTGCCATGAGCTGCCAGTGTCAGGCACTTCTCTTACTTTGCACTTGGCCACCTTCTTATACACTTCCATCAGGGCAGAAAATCACGCACAGCGCCATGAGGGCAAATTCACCTGAGCCTGGGTCCATAACCTCTCTGTCCCTTGTCCCCCTCGACCTTCTTCTGTCCTCAACCTCCACCATCACGATCGGCCCTGGCTGCCCGTCTTCTGTCTCCCACTCAAGTTCCCAATCAAAGCACTTCCACCTCTTCTATCATGTCTACCAATCAGACCAGCAACCCTTCCCCTTGCTCTTGCGGCGGTTACCACGGTGTGACTGCAGACATGGAGCAGATCATCTCCATTGCCGTGAGCACTCTGGAAGAGAATGATGTTGACCGTGTCCGCATCTCTCTCTCTGGTCATGAGCCTGGTAAGCCAAAACTTTGTCACTATGGATTCACCATACTCATACTATTAGTCAACAACCCCATGACGTTTATTTACGAGATGGACCGCTCCGGTGCCCTCCGCTTCATCTCCAGTCGCCCTGGTGGCCTTCCCGGTAAGTCAATCACTGATTCCTCCTCTCATATCATACTAATAATGATACAGACCACATTCACAACTAGTGCGACAAAATAACTGTCGCGTGAGAAACATGAATCAAACGATGAAGTGAGGATTTCGGGCTGGCAACCGCAGCTGAAGGATCGGGGAGAAGGAAACGATAGTTGAATCCAACCATTCACGCCCCCATCATAGTTATTTCGCTTTGTGACTGTTGCTCGCCTTTCTCCATGTGCATTTCCATGTCCTTGTTTATGCTTGAATGTCCATGTGTGAATTAATGTCACCCAATTCTCATGTTTCATTACTCATTGTTCTGATGGAGGCTCTGGAATTCTATTTGAATGATATCTAGACATGGTGCCAGCAGTCTGTGGTCACCATGGAAAATAACAGCCGATTGCCCCTGTTGTCCGCCACATCTTGTGTCACGGTCGGTTGGAGAATTTATGGGTCCTAGCATCAATTGAAGGACCATCTAAAACCAACCTCGACAAAACATCGGCATACACATGAAGCCTCTGCAACGCCCACTTTTCATTTCTTTCAAAATTGACGATTCTCCAAGATCCACAAAACATCGCCATCTGAATCACGAAGTAAGCCCAAAGCAACTTTTTTTTTAAAGAAACAACTATTTCTAACTTGATTCACGATGCCCAAAACCAACAACGACAACGGTCAGGATCGACGAAGTCGTCGTGATGATCCCTTAGGTCGAGCTCCTGAGCACGCTGGTGCGAGGGAGGACTCTCCTCGACAAGGAATTGAGAGGTTGAACGTGGCGCAACGCGTCAGTCGACCCTCTCAGACACGGTCTTCGACCCCACGAGGAGGGCGTCCTGGTCAGCGAGGCCGCGGCGGTTATCACACTGTGGGTGGAAGAGGCGGGCGAGGCGGTCAATCGTCAAACAGGCCCAGGAGCTCTATGCACTGGAACTAGCCTCAGCCTGAACCAGAGACTGCGTACCAGTACAGTGCAACGGCCTTGATGACTCGTGTGTGTACCGCGGACGGAGTGCCCGCTACCAAGCTTACTCCTACGGGACTTGGTGGTGGCTTCGGCAACAATTGGTACACGGGTACCGCCAACAAAGGTCTCTGGATTCATTCAGACTCTGGAGTTGGACTTGACAAGATGGCCAAGAGGCTCAAAGAAGACAATCCCGAAGCTACCGGCTTCGTTATCACAATGTCGACCATCATCCCCGGCAAGTTTGAGGCTATCGAGCGTGACCATACGCAGAAAGTAGTCATGAACAACGACTTCCGGGACAAGGACAACAAGCCAGTCGACCTTTTCGGCAGAGATATCCAGGCGCCAAATGAGAAGGCCCCAAGTGAGAAGAAGCCAGTTGTCGAAGGAGGGTGCAAGGTGTGCGGTACCAAGTCCCACGCCTTGACTGACTGTGTCGTGAGAGGCTACAAGGGACATGTGAACGGCTGTCCCATCTGTGACGACCAGAGACATGCCGTGGACTCTTGTGAGGAGTTCAAGGCAATGAGCTTACAAGAGAAGGTCAAGCTCCTCGTTCAACAGCGAGCTAACAGGCCTCCTCTCAATACTTCAAAGCCCTGGCACACATACCTGTACGAGTTCTGTACCCCCCAGGAATTCATTCCAGGTGTTGTCAAGGGATTCCCTTGGTCCAAATCATTCTGCACGAAGAAGACGTCTCAGGAGATGCAGAAGATCCAGCGAGAAATCGACGCCGACCCCGAGAAGTACGTGTTTGACGTTGACGCGAAGACCGCGAGTTTCGAGAAAGTCTTCGAGACTTACTGGCAGCCAGTTGGTATGGCTTGGCCCGCGATGCTCGGCCCTCGCATCAAATCTGAGGACGTTGGCAGACGGGTCATCAAGACTGAGCCGGAGGCCTGAATGGTATGTTCTATTGAATTTTTCTGAATCAATTCTAACAGTATACAGTTGAGACACCGATGAATCCCTGCCATAGCGATAGTGGCGATCAATTTCTGTACGCTGGTGAGCGAGAAGGGGCGGTGTTGGGGTTGGTGATACCTGGAAGATATGGGTTGAACAATAGCTGAACCATACATCAATGGAGGGTTGTTGTCTCAGATTACATTGCTAAACTCATTTGACTTATCAGGGCGCTTGTGAATAATGCCTGTGTCGAAAATTGTAGTAAGTGGCGTTGACCTCCAAAAATCGGATGCATCCTGGGCACCTACAAAGCAGAATACAATATGCCTCTCACAGCCTCTGACTGCCACCGTTTCCTGCTACCACTTGTAGCCGTATTTCCAAACAAAGGCCCAAACAATCACATCTCACGGACTGTTGAACCCTTGTCCTTCACCACGTCCATCTACCAAAATTGCCTGTCACCCCAACCCTGGTGATGACTACCGTGTTGTGGCTAAGAGTGGACACATATACGCAAACTCGCGTTTTAAAAAAAGGAAAGGTTTCTTTTAAAAATCCATATGGCCTGTTGGCCCATACTGGGCTCGGACTCTGACCACAGTGGAAGCATCGCCTTCCCAATATCATCTACAGTGCTACTAAGCACACGTGGAAGCCACGCTGATGGTTATGCTTAATTCGACACCACCAATGACAGAACATGTAAGGTCCAGATCGGGCAAACACTTGAACCTTAGTGACTCTTAATGCAAGTAACCGTTGACCACCGCCTCGATGAGTGACCTGGATTCCAAGGATTTGAGTCTCAACCTGGTCGACTACTAATTCTCACGCTTAACCCAGCATACCTGAGCTTAAATACTTGGCTCGGTCCAGGGCCACAGAGACTTATTTGACACCCCCTGTGGAAGGTATGTGTTATGCTTCCAGGCTCTGATGGCAAACAAGACCTCAGGAGCTTACAAGTTTGCTCGGGGTTACAGATATTCTAGTGTTTCAAGGTGAGCTACTGTCACGCAAATCACCAACAGAGGTAGTATTAGAGACAAGGTAAAGAGAGCTTGATTGAGGTGCCGTTTGTTCTATTCGAAAGCAGCTTGACCACCGTCGGTACCACCCACAACGGACAAGGTGTCAGAACCCGGGCGGCGAATGGTGAAATAAGGCTCTAAGCCGAGTTGGAGGCGTATGCGACCATTGGGTCGATGGTAGGCGCTTGGACATGCGGCCCATCCACCATCATGCCCTTCTGCTCTCGCCAGTTCTTGTAGAAGTGGCAGATGCCACCAGCCATGTTCTTGGCCTCTGGTTCGATCTTCCAAGGCCAGCAACGCTCATAAGGGTCCTCGAACTTGAACCCGGCGACTAGAAAGCTGTCAGATTCCATTATACTTCAAGATTTCTAAACTTACGGTACTTTTCCCAGGCATATTCATCGACCGAGTGGTCGAAGAACACCAACGAGATCGACCGGTAGCCCTTCTGGGTGAGAGCACCGCACATCCATTCCTCGGCCTCTCTGAAGAACTTTTCCCAACTCGGCCCATCCCAGATCCTATGATACTGGAGAAACGCCCTGAGATAGGCGCGGCGAGCAACCGTATCCAAGGGGTTGACCCCTCCTGCCTTGGGGCGCCGGTTCGATGTTTGATTCATGTTCTGTGAGCGTATTAGTGAAAATGGAACCCGTGGCAGATCTTTGTCGAACTTACGCGTGAGTGAAAATGAAGTTGGTGCGTGAGGAGAGGAAGATAAAGAGAGGCAAGATACAGTAGTAAAGTGACAGAGTTCGGTTGGGTGGAGCGGCGTGCACTGGCAGAAACGTCTGATATGAGACTTTGGTTTGGCGGACCGTGACTCAGGGACAACCGGTGAGCTGTGGAACAAGCACCAGAAGATGAGCCCCACTGAGGTCAACTCGCGCTCTACAGTTCTGAATACCTAGACTTTTCTCTTTCTACACATCACACCCCCCGCAGCAGATTCCTTCACAAGCTTTCCACCATGGCCAAGATCACCGTCACTCTCGACTCCGCGGATATCGACCCGCTTGATACTGGCGCTCGCCGACAGTACATGAATGTTTTCTTCGCGAGCACTCCGATCTCGATCAGTGTCATCCAGGAAGCCTACACCAAGGCAATCGAGCTCCAGAGCAAGCATCTTGCGGAGCGGGGGCTCCGTGAAGTCAGCACGGTCTACTTTGAGTACTGTGTTGATATGACTCAATGGAACCTCATCAGTAAGTATCACTGACACCGTCTATACCTTGCTTCGTACTGATTATCACAGCGAACCTTCTCATGATCACCATGAACAATCCTTGGCCATGGACCGTCTCGATCGATGAGAGAGTCCTTTCACAGGGCGCCTCCCCTATTTTCAGGGACTGGTGCCAGTCTCGAGGACTTGATGGAGAGACTCAAGAGAGCATCAGCAATGGCCAACCCCAGGTCACTCCCCGGTCGCAACAAGCTTTCGTCCCTCAAACATTTGCTGAGGCTCAGCAGATGGCCCTCGAAGCACGCGAAAGAGCCAACAGGGTCGAACTTGAGGCCTTGCGTTTTGAGCGCATCGTCAGACATTGGCCTGTCGACTCATTGCCCCGCGACACCCACAGTGACCAGCTTCAGACTTCTGGTGCACCAGCCTCGTCATCTGGTGACCATATTCGCGCGGATAGCCCTCGTGAGCTCCAAGACGCCGCCGCTGATCTGCTCCCTCCTCTCGACCCAGGTGCAAGTCGTGCTGTCCTCTTGTCTGATGAGATGATGCTCCAGGATACGGAGGTTTGCAGAGCAATCCTTCGCAGACTGTAGAGGCGTGATGATCCGTACATGATGAACCTGTGGATCTTCACTGCTGGATCTCTTCTCACCAGCCCATGCATGGATTCTTTTTGTTTTGTGGTTACATCTTTCATCGGTCACTTAAAAGCTCAATCCCGACAATGTCGGAATCTAGAAAAAGCCATTAAAGCAATGCCCATAATGTCGCTCCACTTGCGCGTCATTCTTATTTGTCTTTTGTGAGTTGTCTTTCAAGTCTTGTTGTGATTGTGAACTAACATATACAATCCAGGCACTACTTTCTCTCCCTGCTGTTCGATTCCGCGACCGACACCTACTAGACGTCGAAATGCCCAAGGCCACACCGAATACGATTTTACGATCCGCGCATACATAGAAAGGGTTCTTATCTTTGCCTGGGTGGCCAAGACCGGTGTTGTGTCTGCTGCAGGAACACCTAACTTGACACTCGAACTTTGGAGAGGGACTTGCGAATGGATTAAAACGACAAGGCAGTTTGATTTTAGACTACAATAATTGAATCCTTCAAACATGATTAAATATCTAAATGTCGTGACATGTGTGGGTAGCCAAACCGCTGCCTGAAGTTGGCTTTGTAGTTCGGACCAAGTTCTCCGCTCATTCACTCTCGGCCACGTCTCAACTACAAGAAGCATATGGATCACAAGTCACACATTAAAGAATGTTCTATTTACAGTTGAACAGCCAAAAGGCACAACCTGTATCCAGACTTTTACTTTGTGCAGTATGGCTTTCCCCTTCAATTGACATTCAATTGCCGTTAAGCTCAATTCTCATCTGGTAGCTGTTTTCTGACCAGGTCCAGATCATCCCAGTCCACGATCTCACTTGATCATTCCGCCTTCAACTAAACCGCCATTTCCTGCGGTCCCATAGCCCAGATAACCACTTCCTGGATAGTTCTCTCATCTGTGGTACTAGACACCCAGATCTCCCGCGCAGCCTCAGCTCGCCTGTCACAGTGACGGTTTCCATGGCAAACCCGAGTACCATGGCGTAGGAAGAGATTCAGGTAGCCCGATTTTGATGTTTGGTAAGAAAAAGAAGAAAGCTAGACAAGCAGAGAAGAGAATGAAGAGTTTGAAAGAGGTAGAAGGCGGTGAGTGCTGATTAAACTCTCTTCACTCTCAGGGACTAGCCTGTGTTACCTATCTCGCCCGACAACAGTTCCAAGTCAGCGATCTACCTTACTTATATACTTCTTTTGGATGGGACGGAAGAGGCGAAGAGACTTTAGGTTGGAGGGTAATGTATCTGTTGGCTTCTGACGAACTACGGACTACACAGAATATTATGATTTCAGCATGGCCCTTAATCTCTACTTGACGGCCCCTAAAATCATCCAGCATCTATCGGTCCTAAGACTTGGCGATCCCCCGGTCGCTGGCTGAGGCCAACTTCCACGATCAGTTGGTATCATTGCAGTTACTAGGAACAGACAAATGTTTGACTCGCCTTACCCCGTGGCCCTGGTAACTCATATATTTAGAAGTATTTATCACTACTCAAATACTAACAATAGACTCCCCCATGGCATCTACACCTATGCGCTGGATCTGGAGAATCAGCTTCCAGAACTTTGATGCTTCTCTCCTGTCATCCAGATCTTGCTTCAGGCTCGCCAGTAGCTCACGCAATTCTTGGACTCTCTCATCCCAATTCATATTGGGCAGGCTCTCCAACTGCCGTTTACAGTGGGTCATAGTCTCGATAATTTCGGTCAACTCGTCGTCGATCTCTACAAGGGAGTCGAGGAACCTCTTGCGAGCCTCGAGCTCATTGACCGTGTTTCCGAAGTTGTCACGGATAAAACCTACTCGGGACATGACATATTCCATGTTTGTCTTGAGGGACTCGCCAGAACCGACGGTTTTGTAACCTGTACCACCACCCTCGGTGGCATTGAAGCCGTGCTGATACACAAGGGAGCCCGCCAGTGTCATGATCAACTGTTCCGCCATTGGCAGTTGATCAGTTTGCCAAGTGCGAAGCACCACTTTAACAGCGAGCTCAACAGGCACATGCTGCCTCCTGAAGATAGAGATTGTAAGCCCTAGTGGCTTATTGATGCCTTTTACACTAGTTTGTGTGTAACGATGAGTCCTGTCGCCCAGGTTATTCGAGCAACCAACGTATAGAGGGCTCTGTCTCATCCTGACCCGCTCGGTTGGGTCGAGGTCAGGTCGGCACATAGCCCTATATGTCCTCACAAGGGCTTCGATTTCTGCTGCATCTCCATCATCCTTGATGAAGAGTGGCGGGGCCGTGTCTGACATGGTCGAGGGCTTGTAGGCTGCATAGAAGTCAACCCCTCTGACGAGGCGGACGGCAAGTAGATCATCGCGCGATAAGTCGGACTCCGACCTGCGTATGCCTGCCCGAATATCAGCACGGAGTTTGGCATGGACCCTATAGCCTTTGACATATTCCTCCATATCTTCAATAAGCATCTTCATCTCTGCTATATTGAGGAATTCTCCCCTGTGGCCCGTGAACTGGCGATATAAAGCAATCACGTAAACGCCGGGGATCGGGGGGTCTCTGCCCTTGACAGGCGTCTCAAAGCAGGGAAATTCACTGTTGATCAAGGAGCGCCCCTCGCTCTGTTTTGGGTGAGAGTCATAAGCGACTGTGCCCTGGATGATGCTCTTTATGACTTTTGGTGACATGCTGTGCAATAGCTCGCACATAGGCCAACTTGCATCCCGTCTCAGGGACCTGACGGTGTTGACTATGTCGAATTCGTTGTCTTTGAGGACCTGGTTGTTCTCAAGGTCATCTGCCAGCCTTGGAAGCCTCAGATACAACTCGTAGAGAGAGTTACTTCTGGAAACAGCGTCAATCAGCTCCATCTGGGCTTCGTTGCCAGGCATAGGCATCTCCGCAGTCACCCTGGCGGGTTCAGGAAGATTTGGTGCTTCAGACTGTGCTTCAGGTTGCGACATGTTGAAATTTCTCTTTGGTCACAGAGAGTAGAGCAATAATGACTGTTTGCAATTATTGCAAGTTGAAAGAAGGTGGCAGGATGTACGACACGTGACGGAAGTACAACTGACCCACGGTGCACCTTCCCTCAGAGTGCATTCTGATATTACATTACCTAAGGGTTCTAAATGATTGGCCTGCAGTAATGGTGAGATATTCTAAGGTTATGCAAGTTCCTAGAGGCCTGGGTAAGAATTCTAAGACTTGACTATGGACTCAAGAACTGCCAACGTTTCGTTTACATGTCTGATCAACATCTCTTCTTTGCCCTGCCTCAGCATTCCCAGATATCATATACCTTTGTGACCTGTGATTAGTATGTCTGAGAAGTCAGACACGATTCCATTCAAGGCTGACAGGGTACATGTGCTGGAAGAAGCCAAGTGTGTTTGACTAGGAAACCTCACCACTTCTTGAAGATCTCTCAAGACAACACAACAAGTAGCATTGTTCTGCTCTTTTGACACAAAACACAAAACCCAGGCTGAGGTCCACACCAAGAATGGCTCTCGCGACAGACATACACAGGGACGGAAGAGAAATAGACGGAATCTATGTGCGTAAATGTGGGAAACGTTTATAAGCAGCACTCAGTTGTGAATGTGCGGTATTGAATTAGGTTTGTCCTCCATTCCTTTCCTTGCTGCTATGGACCGAAAAGAAACCCATTAATCATTTCTACCATCGTTCAAAGACGAGAGCTGGTCTGTAAAACTAGTTTCCGGTATTCTCTGTATCATCATTAGCATGTCGTCAAAAGGACACTGTTGATTTACTCACCATTGACGTTGTCAAGGGGTTCGAAGGTACGATAGAAACCTCCGCGGTAAATCACGATCATCAGAACATCATCGTCGACGCCTTTGGAACTAGGTAAGCATTTGTACCTATATCCGGAACTTGGAACTTACCAGGCCGAGGGTCGGGCATAAAACCAATGGCATAGTCAGTGCCAGTCTCGTCCATTTGTCGCAAGGCAGACTGGTACATGGATTCCCAACCCTGGAAGTCCTGGAGGGTTCTACCGACATGGCTGTTGTCACTGGAAGACATGGTAGCAAATCTGGATGATTTGACGGTGGCGTGGGATTGGTATGGGTGTTGGAAAAGGCGAAGAAAGGAAAAGAGACAGTAGACGCGACCTTTGCTGAGGATGGCCAAGTTAAAGTTGAGAAGTGTGAGAGAGACCCACATGTGAGGAGAGCTCATTCAAGCTCTTAGCCTCAGGCTCGAGTTGCGCACTGCCATTGTTTGCTGCAGTGAATCAGTGAATGTGAAGGGGGCCTCATGCCAGTGACACAGCCGAGCCCTCCACAGAACTTCGTCAATTTACATTTTTCAAAGCAGCTCAACTCAACTCAAACTTCTCTTCTACTTCTTTGTCTTTCCAATACCACATCCACCATGCCTTGCAGTAGACGGCAGAACCATCGCGATCGACGCCCTGACTATCAGCGTCACCGCCCACAGCGTCAGGACAACGTCAGAGAGACTGAGAACCAGGGCAGTGTCGCCATCTCGGATCATGTGAGTTGTCCCCAGCTTCCCCAAACCGTATCTGGGCATCAAACTAATAAGAGGACGCATCTGCAGGCCTCGCACGGGTGTGAACTCCGAGAGTACACCACCGACCAGGGGCCGATTTTGGAGTTGGCCAACCTTAACCCAAATATGTCGCAGAACCGGTTCTATTCTCCAACTCCTAGAGGCGGAGTTTGGGGAGTAAGCGAAGAGGAAGCGGATATCCTGTTCCATTTTCGGCAGATGAAGATGCGCCGTCCAGGAAGGGAGATCATTCATCAGTTCCCCTACCGAGACGACGAGGCGGTTTCGAAAGCCAAGCAAGATGGCTGTCCTGTTCGCGTCACAGCAAACAATGGCCGACGTCCCGAAGATGACGTGGATCGTGGGCTTGCCAGAGACATGGTGGAACACAGAGCTTCACCTCCTGAGGAACACGCCATCAGAATGGGGAGATCTTCACGACCAGTGACCCAGCGTCCGGCGTTCAGCGCTCCTCAGGCTGGCCAGCCTCCTCATCGACAGCAACGTTTGCAGCCTCACACTCCTCTGCGCCAGGTCAAAAAGGAGGAACCGGAGTAGAGAAGCTACAACACTCTTCCTTTGCGCCACTGTTACAGTAAGTCCAATAATAGCCTACCTTTCTGCAGCAATTATCTGACACAAACAGAGATGCCTGTCGTGATTGACGGGGTGCCAGCCATAGGAACATCACTGCTGCAGGTTCATCGATCAAATGTGGTTTTAGATTAGGGCAAGGGATTGAGTGAGCTTGTGTGGAATAGTTATCCTAAACCTCGCCCAAATTCATCATAAATGTACTCTGAGGCATCCATCTTCTTCTGTCTGATCTACTGTACATGCTTCTTCACCTCCCGATCAACCCCAAGCCACAGCATATCCGGCCGACTGTAGTGCCCGCAGACATCCACAAAGCTCTTGCACCGTAGAATCTCATCCAAATCAAGTGTGGCATACAGGATCCCCTCCTCACATTCGGGTACGTCCTCGGTTAGAATCCTCCCATCAGGTCCAAATATCGCAGAGCTGCCTCCCCCAGGGATATTCATGACAGCTCCATTCTCTGTGTTCATGAGACTGATTCCTTGTTCGCTGATGACCGACGTCGCATGAAGGACAAAGGCTTGTGATTCGATCGCGTATGTTTGAGATAATGAGCGGGCGCCTGTTTGTCAGTCACATTCTGAACGAGGAATGAGCGCATACCTTCTCTCGACATGGACCACAATTCCTCGCCCTTGTGCGGATGCAGTGGCGGCCATGCAGCGACGTGTATCTGCTCGCGGTGGGTGTACAGGTAATACTTGAGCAGGGGCTGAATATGTTCCCAGCAAGAGAGCGCCCCGACACGGCCGACCTTTGTATCGACAACACTCGTGAGGGCATCACCAGAAGCATCACCAAAGATTGTTCTCTCCATGTGGGTAGCTTTAATCTTCCGCCGAAGTGCAAGCAGCTTTCCGTCAGAGTTGATGATGGCTTGTGAGATGTACAGAGTATTGTGAAAGTTTTCCGAAAACCCAAGGACGACGGTGATATCGTTGTCGGCTGCGCATTGCTGGATTCTTGCCATCTCTGGGCCATCGGCACGCATGCAGTTCTTTATGTACCGGCTTGTGAGGTGTGTATCAACTGGTCGCGCCCTTTGACGTTAGTTGCGTCTAAACTCAAGGATGCCTACTTACCAGATCCAAGCAGGATATCCTGTGACCCAACACTCGGGAAATGCCAGCAGCTGAGCACCTCCTCTGGCTGCTTCACCGATCAAAGCACAGGTTTTGTCGACTGAACCCTGCAAGTCAAGCCATTTGGGCTCAGCTTGGGTGACTGCGACTCTGACGGTGGCCTCGGGGGTGGTTGCAAGCTTTGCCATTGTGTACAAGAGTCAATCAGATTGATTTGAAGTTGACTGATGCGAATGAATCTGGCTTGACAAGCTTATAAGACAAGACATGGCATCAAGCTACCAATCAGTTGCGTATCATCGGCGGAATCTCGACATCCGCCGCTAATCACTTATCGGCTTCCCCGCAAAGTTTATCCCCCGCGATCCATGTTATCAGCGGCGGCACTTTCGCATCCGCCGCTAACGAGTGGAGCTGTACGATAACCAGATACTGATGCCAAACACTCGGGAGTGTTCCGGACTGTAGAGATCAGACATAAATATGGCCATCACCATGTCCATATCCGGCAATCATCACTCACACAATGGCTTTCGGCGTTCTCGAAAGTAATGCTCCCGAGCAACCTGCTGGGACTGTCTTCCTCGAAGACTCCCAAGATGGCATGCACACGATCTTGGTGCCTGCACCCTCCAATTCTCCTCATGACCCTCTCAACATGTCCAAAATCCGAAAGGAGCTTTACTTCTTGACCCTCCTCTTTGGTGCCTGCGCAACTGGCGCAGTAGGCCCTGTTCTCGTCCCAGCTTTCGGCATCGTGTCGCAGACCTTCCAAACCCCCCTCTCCAAGGTGGCCCTCCTCAACGGATCGCTGGTCCTTGGCATGGGTGTCAGCTGCTTCTTTTTGGCAGTCGTCTCAGATCTGTGGGGCCGCAGGATCATCTTCGTCGTGACCTCGATCTTGCTGGTAGTCACCCACATCTGGGCAGCTGTTTCTCAAGGATACGAGTCACTCTTGGCAGCCCGTGTGTTCCAGGGAGTCGCCATGGCGCCATTCTTTTCCCTGGCTGGCACCTCCTCCGTGAACGACGTCTTCTTTCTTCATCAGAGAGGCAGACGGGTCGGTCTGTGGAACTTTGCCATCATCGTCTCTGTCAACATCGCCCCGGTCATCAGCGGGTATCTCATCGTCGACATGGGCTGGCGCTGGGCCTTTTGGTTCCTTGCTGTCGCCTTCGCTGTCGGATTGGCCATGGTGGTCTTTTTCCTCCCCGAGACTAAATGGCACAGGGACGAGATCACATCGAGTGTTGTTGGAGAAGAAAAGACCGATGAGAAGGCTGTAAGGGCTGAGGAAACCCCGGTCGAGATTGCACCACTGTGGAGGAAGATATGTGGAGTCCAACATCTCCAGTTCGCCAGCGCCAAAGAACTGCTGCCTAGCCTTGCCAGGTCCATTCTCATGCTTCGACATCCTGCCGTCGTATGGGGGTGCATCATGTGGTCAATGACCTTTACCTGGGTCATTGTTCTTGGTGCTGTCGCTGACCAAATCTTTGGCGCTCCGCCATACAGCCTCGACGCGACCCAGGTCGGACTTGTCATCGGCATCGCTCCTCTTGTTGGGTCTGCCCTGGGAACACTGATCTCTGGCTGGATGTCTGATCTCGCCGCTCACTACATGTCCGCGTTCAACGGGGGTCTGTACGAGCCCGAGTTCCGACTCGTCGTCATTATTCCTTCTGCAATCACCATCGCTATCGGAGCTTTTGGCCTTGGCGATGCAATCGAGCATGCCAAATCCACAATGGTTTGCTGCGTCCATCTGGCCCTGATCAACTTTGGTGTTGGCGCAGGCTGTACCGGTATCGTCACGTACACCAATGATGTGTGTATGGATCGTGCAGGAAGCGCTTTTGGTCTGGCAATGGTATGTCTTCATCTACTTCAAGATCAGCACTAACTTTCACAGCTTATCAAGAGTTCTTTTGCATTCGGCCTCACCTTTATGCTCAACGATTACTACGCCACCAAAGGCCCCATGGTCTTTTTCAGTACCTGGGGAGCCTTGACACTGGGTATCTGTCTGACCACTGTTCCGCTGTATGTGTTTGGAAAGAGGATTCGAAGCTGGATGGGCCGGTGGTGAGACAGCTTGGGATCTCTGGAGTGATGAAAGACTTGGGCGACTTGGGGTATCTCATTGTACTTTTGACCAGATTTGGGTAATTTGTTGTTCCCTCCGGGGGCTCCTAGCGGAGGGCTCTTTCTCGCTGCGCTCGTGTGAAATAGTCGTGGGTGATTGTCTCAAATGTATTGCTCTAGTCGCTTTCGTGAAACACCCATTCCCCTGTAGGCGTCGAGAGGTCGATGGTATCCAAATTCAGAGGCTCTTCAAGATTGGCAAACAACATCCCCCAATCGAGATCATTGGTGTCGGCTGGAGTCTCATGTGTCGGCGCAAGAGGAACGCTGTGTCTCATGGGCAACGCCGAAACAACGTTCCACCTGTTGGCCAGCTCTCTGAGAAGAAGCAGACCTCGCCTTGCCCTTGTCCATCTTTTCATCCTGTCCAATGCATCAACACAGATTCGGAAGCGGTGTACCGATTGGCCGCGAATGGCAGAGTTGGTTGATGTCGCATTCAGCAGTAGGCTCACAGCAGCTGTAAGAATGCAGTGTATCGCAAAGAACGGGGCATCCTCAATCCTGGCCTCTTTTTCGTATTGTCGGATCAATCTGACGAGGGCATGCGCGGAGGTCATATTTGTTCGGACGGATAATTGGTGGGCAGTACTCTCTTTCGGTTCCCTGAGATATGGCCGATGGATCAGAAGCAGCGACATGTTGTAGACCATATGGAGGAGGATGACTTGGGGGTTCATGTTGTTCTTTCGAAGTTCAAGATCGCGGCCCATCTGGCGGAAGAAGTTCATATGATGATCTCTGGCTTCCGAGAGAAGTTGATGTCGTTCGAAATGTTCCAGCTCTCCAAACTCAAAGGAGTATCTGCATAGTTAGCACAGTTGCTCCACTTGTCTGAGAGTCCTCACATTTTATCCATGTATCGGTCGTGAATGAACCACATCTGGCAGTGAGCGTCAAAGACTGTGTCGTCTGTCGTGGGGTTGCTGCATGCTTTGAGATACGGTGTGGCTCGAACTCTCCGCCATGGGATCATGCAATTGCGTCCAAGCATCGAGGTGGAGATTCTGGATCTGTAAGCACAGTTCTTCGCTGCCTGCGTCGACCTACCTGTCCATCAAAAAAGCTGACCAAAACGTCTGTACACGTACGCTCTTGTCAATGTCTGAAGGCGGCCCGACCTGCATGACATTCTCGAGAGAGCTCACGTGCAGCCCAAGGTGAACTACAAGACTCGCCGCCATGGCTGAGACGTTAGCTTGTGTCAGCGCAGATGACGGATACATACAGTTATATAGCCACGCATTGTTCTCATTCTCCAGGGCCAGCTCCCTCCAAGTCAATATCGCCAGAGCCTGTATCGTCACGACGTTGGGAATTGTACGGCAGCACCTCATCACGATAGCCTCAGCTTGGTCCGCATACGTCTGCCCCTGTGAATTGGTGAAAAGACTCGCTGCTGCCAGGACTGATGCCTGCAACAGCTCACCATCAAGAGTCTCTGGCGCTCTGAGAGTCTCAATCGCTTGAGGAGACACAAAATGATGGACCGAATTGATGTGTTGTCGGAACAGGTCGAGTAGCACTTGAACACTCTCTTGTGCCTCATGGCTGGTGGACTGTGTCTCAATATGGCCACTAACGGGGAAGCAGAAGCTACCAGATGGACCAACAAAGGACGTCTCTCCACCATGGATGTTCATCCGCCACATCATGGAGCTTACATCATTGATGGCAGAGCTCTGGCTGTCGTCTACGGTGTGCGCAGGACCCTCATCTTCTAGACTGCTC